ATATCTGAAAATTCGTATTTTCAAGTTTTATAAATTTTAAATTTATGTGATTTACTATACAACGACTAAGTCACGTCAATTATCTCTTGGCTTACAATAAAAAAAATTATATATAGCCTCCTCACTCTTCTAAGGTTGTGCAAAATGCATCAACAACTACATTTACCATGGTAGCAAGGTGCTTGTTTTCTTCAATCTGAGGTGGACCATGATCTGGTGTTGGAGCAACAGATTTTCCCTTTTCACCAGAGGTAAATGGCCTATCCACTTGCCTTGACTGAGATCCAACATGAGAAATATTTCTATAGCAAGGCTTCGCCAATTGATAACATCTGCTGGTTGCTTTTATTTATATCTCTAGGCTTGGGAGTGAGGCTTTGCTGATTGAGAACACCCATCTTGCTTTCTTGGTTTTATATATATATCTCTGGCTGTTGAGCTGAGGAGTTATGGCCACTGGTGACTCATTAGATAATCTTAACTAGTATCTTTTCAAGAGAAATTCTAGGTTGTGTTATGAAGTTTATCTTGACATTTTTTTGTGGGCATTTAGAAATCTCCATTTGAGAGATGTTCTGAAAGATATATGGCTAGAAAATGTGTGATTGTTTCATCATGGGGAATTTTTCAAAATAACTTGATTATCTATTTTCTTTAGTTTACATAAAGAATTGAGTTTATGTATTTTACTACTACTATATTTTTCTTATGGGAATTTTTTTTATGGGAACTACAAATTCTTATTTTTAATATCATTAATTAAAATAAGGGTAGGAATATAATTTTTAGTAAGAATGGATTGTATCATTCTAAGAAAATTTGCATGGCACATGATGAGGTAAGTGGTGAAAAGAAAAGGGAAGGTACTAGTTTGACTAGATAATTTATTTTCTTTGTTAATGATATCTTGCCTAAACTATATTGATTTTTTGATAACCTCAAAATCATTATTTTTAGTGATTTTTCAAGAGTAGTTTCATGGATATGCTGGGAACTAAATGATATTATTATTATTTTTTATTCAAGAGGTTACATTGAGAGATGTTCTAATAGATAGCATGCTAGAAGATGTTTGATGGATTCTTCAAGGGGCATTCTTATTTAAAGAGCATGATTGTCACTTTTGTTCATTTTGTGTGGAAAACTAATTTTATGCTAGTGTATTATTATTTGATTGAGTAAATTATTTAATGAAGCAATGAAGTACTTGTAGTTGTGTTTAGGCCAAGAGGGGTTGGGTCTCCAAAGAAACTAACTCGTAAAACCTGGGGTGCCAATCTATTAAAAGCAGTGTATATTATTGAGGAGAATAGTTAATATTAAAAATATAATTTTCTTTGAAACTAAAAGTAGATAAGAGTAGAAAAATTAATATAAAAGTTGTGTTCTTGGTCAGAGCGTTAAAAAGTTGTACTAACACTAATAATCTTTACATATGTGCTGACACATTCACCTCCCCACATTGAAACATAAGCATGCCTAGGTAAAAACCTATCTAAGATACAAGCAATTGTCAAAATTTTGAGAAATTTTAATTCATCCCTCCCTTTTGGAGTTTTGACTAGTCCTACTATTCCAGGAATTCATTAATCTAGTGGAATTTGATAATATAATTTCTCTTAGAGAGTGGATATAGGAAGGGTGTAAACTATTCAAAAATCTTATAGTACGTTAGATCTAAAACATAGAAAGTCATAGGATTAAGTTCAGTGAAAAAGATTAGAGATCTTAAAAAGTAGTTAACATTAAAAAAAGTCAAGGATTCGAATTTGATCAATTCAGCCCCCTCTTCTTGATCAAAATGTGGCCTAAAATTTAGTAGAAGAATTCATTTTTAAATTTAAAAATTAGCATTCATGAAACACATTCGAATCTCATAATGTTGAATTATAAAATTTGGTTGATTTTATCACTTGTGACATATGTATAATGTTGTGTGATAGTTTACTTTTTTTATTGATAGATATTAAGTAAAAAATAATTTAAAATATCTCATATGCTAAAATTTATGACTTTACATGTTGCAATCGTGATTCAATGTATCTCTTAGATAGACATGATTTATTTGAAGTAATTTGAATAAGTTTTGAATGAGATATTATTATTTTATTATGAGATATACTATGGATTCTACTTTAATGATAATGGATTCTTATTAGACCTATTCAAACTCATAAGCTTTATACATATCACCTATGATTAGAATTCACTTGTGTTAGTTTATCTTAAAAGATGTGTGAACAGTTAAAAGTTATATGATATTAGTTTCAAATAATTTGAATTTCTCACTAATTTTAAGATTGAAGTATTGAGAGATAATGAAAAATAAGGGAGACTTTTGAATCAAAATTCTCTATAAATTTGTTATGAGCAATCATTTTTTATCTCTCTTCCATCTCATGATTTTTGCTGATATTTTTCAAAGAGAAATATATGCAAATTTGAGTAATCTTCAAAGTTTGGTTAAATGACAAGAAGGAACCAATCAAAAAGCAACATTCAAATGATTCTAAGTCTTATTTAACTAACTTGAAATGCAAATGTCTTCTGCAATCAAATAAATTTCCAATATGAAGACAATAAAGAAAATCAAACCGAATATATTATTCTCTTCATCAAATTTTCACATACTTACAAGAAAGTCCTACTCATCCTTGTGGGAAAGATGTGATTAAATATTAATTTAATACTCAAGAGTAGAAGAGAATGTCATAATGAAGTATTGTGGGAGTTGAACCCACTAAATGAGAAGTATTTTGTTAAGTAATTTGTTTAGTGTAAAATAATAATTGGGTTCTTAAAAAGTAAACGTAAGAAGAGGGGCAAACTATTATAAAATCCTAGTGTAGTTTACATTTACATCTAGAAAATAATAGAATCTAAGATAAGAAGTAGAAGATCAAAGATGTTAGAAAGAGTTGACCATAGTAAACTTAGGATCTAATCAATTTAACTCTCTTCCTAATCTAAGTGTGGCATAAATCCAATGTATCCTATAAAAAATAACGAAGATTTAATCATAATTTTATCTTATGCAAAATAAGGAAGAATTTCACCATAAAACTTTCAAGTAGTTGATGACGACTTGAGTTACGTAAGCAATTCAATAAAGAAGAAGTCAATTTGGGCATGAGTTTCTTTGATCCCTTTGTAGAAATAAGATATATTATTGTCAAAGATGTCAGCACTTCAGTTAGGTCAAGGGTGATTGTGTCGGAATCAATTCTAGCTCATTTTCTTAGTGTTGTTTGACCAAGCTTCAACATGTGGTGGCTCATCACATGCCTGTTATTTTCCTTGCATCGATTTATATAGAGGCAAGAGTGGTTTTGAAGTTTAATTTTGAGGTACACTTGTGGTGGTTCATCATATGCCTATTCCTTTCATTGCATTTGTTTGTATGTTTTAAAGAGTGGTCTACAAAGGGGCCAATCATTCTACCACAAAGGGAGAGTCTATTAGGAGGATTAATGGTGAGAAGATGAAAATAGTTTTCATCATGGACATATGTATGACATAGTTAGAGCTTGGTTGGCATGACCCATTTGACATAATATCGAAAAAAAAAGGTTCATCTAACGATGTATGCATGACACCTAAAAAATAGGCTGGAGGTGTTAGGCCAAGAACATGCTTTTCTTGTTGTGAATTTATACTATTATGATGTCTGAAACTTGGAAATGTTTTATGAAATTTTATGGAAATAATAGCCACAAATAGATAGATGCATGTTTAAAATGTCTTTCAAAGATAGATGCTTGTTAATGGAAGATAAGACATACATTTCACTCTTGAGAAATAAAATGTCAGAAAATTATAAATAGTAAGAAGTATCTTGTTCCTTTCAAATAAAGTCGATACAAGATATATTAGTTCATAAATCAAGAAGGGCCGATGATATTTCAAGAATAAAATGGATATGAATAGGGATGTATTTGCCCCCATGGCATTGGCTCCACCAAATCACCTTTAATTATCTCATTCGAAGCATATCTATGTATTTTCATCATTCACATGTTTCATAATTAGGTTTTTCACCTAATTAACATGCCCATTATGTAAAAAAATTAATTACAAAAAAGTGGTCATCTTTTTTGGATGATTTTTTTCTATTTTATATAAAAAAAGCATACTTATTATGTAAAAAAATTACAAAAAAGTAAAACCGATCCTCTCATTTGCATGATTTTTTTCTAATTTAGAAAAAAAAACATGCCATCCAAAAAAAAAGGGTTTCTAAATATTTGCCTAAATTTCTAAGCCACCAGAAAGGCAGAAGGTTCCAAAGAAGAAAGCGAATATAATATGAATACTATTCACCGAGTAGAGGTTGATCCCCATTTATTTTAAGTTGGACATCTCAATCGAAGATTACAATTCTAAGTGTACTTCCGCCCGAGGGATGATTGAAACCAATCCCTGGTTTCCCTTTTTTTTTAAATCCACCAACGTCGTATAATATCAGCATAAAATATACGTAAAATCCTTTTTTTATTTTCTTGAAAACTGGACTGTGGTGGCCGATCACTCCACGTGCCTTTTACTCTATGGATCTTATCGGATGCGTCCTGCCTGTAGCGCACGTGAAGAAGATATGCGGCGCTGGAAAAAGGAACCATACTCGCTCTTTCCCCGGCTTATCCACAATAGGACAAGCGAGGCGCCCTACATCCCTGCGCGACTCGTTCCAGTCCACCGCGAACGGGCGTGCAACGATCGGCGACTCACGGCGCCGCGCGCCCACGTGTCGTGTCATTCTTTTTATTGGCCCACGTTCTCAGAACTAGTCAATAGCGATGATTGACCTGAAAATGAAAGAGGCAGCGGTTAAAGAAGGTTCGTCTGAGCTTCCAGGAACCTCCAAGGCAGCTCCCCTCTGCGCCTGGTATAAACCTAACCATCCACACTCTCCCTCTTCAACTCAACGCAGCTCCTGCGCCACCACCACCGAGAGCAGAAGAAATATCACCGCCGCCTCTCCTCAGACCCGGCGAGCCTCCATGGCCGGCGATGACGAGCTCCTTTCTACGCTGAATCTCATCAAGCACCACCTCCTCGACGACGCCTTCCTCACCCCCGACCCGCTATCATCTGCCGCCACCTTCTTCCTCGCTCCTCCTACTGCTCCTCCTCCGGCGGCCGCCGACTCCGGCATGACGGCCTCCTCCTACTCCTACGGCTCCTCCTCCTACTCCTACGGCTCCTCCTCCTCCACCTCCCGGGGATCTCTGTCGGTGGCCGACGACATCGCCGTCGATGACTTCCTGGAGGAGGAGCCCTTCGCAGAGTCCAGTTCCAATCCATCATTGTCCTCCTCTTCGAGCTCATCTGGAAGGCCATCGCTGATCATCGCCAGGCCTGCGCTTCCCAAGGTGGAGTGGGCAGCGGCGACGGTGGCGGGAGAGTACTACGAGGATGCGGCCCCGCCGGTGGGCGGCGGCGAGCTAGGGGACTGCCGGGGCTACCGGGGAGTCCGGCGCCGGCCTTGGGGGAAGTTCGCGGCGGAGATAAGGGACCCAAAGCGGCGGGGCTCGAGGGTCTGGCTGGGGACCTACGACACGGCGGTGGAGGCCGCCCGCGCCTACGACCGCGCCGCCTTCCAGATGAGGGGCAGCAAGGCCATCCTCAACTTCCCCAATGAGGTGGGCAGCGTCGCCGACTGGAGCCCCCCGCCGCCGCCCCCGGCGGTGGAAGTGTCGGCAAGGCCCCCGAAGAGGGAGAGATCCCCGGACAGCGAGCTGGAGATCCTGTGCCATACAAAGAGGGAGAGGTACCCCGCGGAGACTCCGGCGACCGCCCCAGCGAGCTGGAGCAGCGCCGCCTTGTGGAATAGCAGCGAGAACCGGGACATCTTCAACCTGCCGCCGCTGTCTCCCGTAGGCTACCCCCAGCTCATGGTCATCTGAGCCGCCGCCGGTGGGTTAGTTTCTACGGATAGCAGCAAGCAGCAGTTGACGGAATAAAGAGGGAAGCTGGTCTCTCCCGTAGGACCAAATTGCTCGGACCATGTTCTTTATTCATTGAAATTTAATTCTTTCAGACAGAGATGTTATCACAACCACAACGTACAAAAAGTATATAGGAGTCCTCGTCTGTGCTACCGACTCAATGTCGCAGCTGGATGATTGTAACCTCTTTTTCGATTAAACTGTTCTAATTAATCATTCCGAGTATTTCTCATATCCCCCCAACCCCTCCTCTCCCCTCATCGCCGGAGAAGACGCCGCCCCCCACCCCCCAATGCCACCACCTCTCCTCTTCTGGTTGAGAACACTCCGGCCGCCGCTGTCGGTTGCGGAAGACGGCGACACTCCGCCGTTGGCCGACTGAGGACACCGCTGGCGTTCCGTAGTCGGCCGATTGAGAATGTACCGGTGGCGCTCCGTCGTTCGGCCCATTGAGCAAGGCACCGCTGGCGCTCTACTTTTCCTCAATCAGCCGACGCCGCCGTTGGCCGATTGAAGAATGTCCCCAAGCTCCGGCGTTGACCACTTGAGGAAGGCACCCCTGGTCAATTGAGAAAGCCGCCGGCGGCGCTCCGCAGTGGGCTGAGGGTGTGACATGTGGCGATAGCCCTCGGGGAATCCCTTTCGAGGGAGAATGATTTTTTTACGATAAAACCGACATTAAAATAATTATTGAGATAAAACACATCAAATATTCGGAGATTACCGTCGCTCAGACTGATGTCTCTTCCCTTGAGTCTATTTTGCGAGGCTCATCCGATATAAATCTAATTTCCGCGGATATGTTTTTAAAAGCGGTGAGTATTTATGGGCTGTGGGCCCCAGGATGGACCCGACGACTACCCTGACCGGTTGCCATCATGGACTCCCTGTCGTTTCTTCTACGCTTCTCCTCTGTCTGCACATCCACGTGGCGGGGAAGGAAGCATCATTGCGGCTACCTCATTCTCCTTCCAGAAGGACGGAATCCATGCCAGGTCATCGAGGCGAAGTCGTCGGCTTCCCGGAGGCCCCGCCCATAGGCCAGATTTCCATGGTGAGACGACTTGCTGGCAGTAAGCTCGCCACGTCATCGATCGAGACGACCCTCTCTCTCTCTCTCGCTGGCCTTCGCGCAACTAATCGCCCCTTCAGGACAAAATGCCCACAGAAGGGCCTACTCGCGGTTATCCGGGTTGGGGACCGCGCTGAAGACGTCCCTGGAGACGGGTTGAGTCGTTTATAGTTGGCCATCAGTAAAAACTTCCAGGTGGAATACCACCCTGTCACTCTCTCTCTCTCTCTCCACCGTCTCTATCTCTCTTAGTGTATAATATGGGTTCAGCTTCTCCCTCGCTCTCTTTCTTCTTCATTTACTGTTAAGTTCATCTTCTCTCTTCCCCCCCCCTCTCTCTCTCTCTCTCTCTCTCTCTTCTCTCTCTCTCTCAAGGTAGGTTGAGTTCACCGTGTCTATCTCTCTTGATGTATAATATGAGTTCAGCTTTTCCCTCACTCTCTTTCTTCCTTCATATACTATTAAGTTCTTCCCTCTCTCTCTCTCTCCAACCCTCCCTTCCCCGTACGTGTGACGATCCCAGTTGACCGTTGACTCCCCCGCACCTCGGGCCCCATGAACTCGTCACACGCAACCCCATGTAGCGACCTCGGTGGACGTGTCTGGACCGCTTCAAGCAACACATTCTGCTGCTGCCCGCGAGCCCTGATGCAGTTAGAGAAGCGAAGAGGAGGTTCCAGTCAACGGTCGAATCAACGATCTCAACGGTTTCGCCCCCCCCCAAATCTTCCAACTTTCCACAACGTTTGGCCTATCGTTTGGGGCCCGGTCTGGGTTTGGAATCGTTGTTGACTCTGTTCGAGGATGCCATCGACATGTTGGGGGGGTGGTTGTGGTTGCACCCGCCCCCGGGTTCTGCCTTTCGTCTCTTGCCGACTGGCAAAACCCGCTCTCTTTCCCTCTCCAAGACCAGGAGAGGACCCGAGAGAGAGAGAGAGAGAGAGAGAGGAGAAAAAATAATAAAAAAATCATGCGATATTGAGTAAGACAATGACTTTTCACTATATTAAATACTAAACCATGTGAAATTTTTCGTACGCAAAGTTACCCTAGTCCTTATAATAATATGCGATGATATTCATTATTTATTTATTTGTCTCGATAATTTTTTTAATCTTTGATAAAAAAGATCATTGGTGCATCTTCCCAAGTGGACATCAATATAATTTATCCTTCCCTCACTCTCTCTGTCTCTCTCTTCAAGAGAAGGAGAGTAACTTCAAGAGAGAGAGAGAGAGAGAAAAAAAGAACATACAATATTGAGCAAAACCAAATATTTTTCACTATTTTAAATAGTAAATGATGCAAAACTTTTCTCACACAAATTTTAATCAAGCCCTTATAATAATAATAATATGAGTTGATGTTTGTTATTTATTATTTTTATAAATAATAATAAATTATTTAATATTTATTATTTCCTAATCACACTTTTTTTTTCTAATTCTCTCCAAGAGAATTATAGTCCTCAATAGTAATGCAGCCTGGCGCTCCGCCGTCGGCCGATTAGGAATGTACCCCTGGCGCTCCGCCGTCGGCCGATTGAGGAAGGCACCGTTGGCGCTCTGCCGTTGGCCGATTGACTGACGAAGGTCATCGGTGGCGTTCCGCCGTTGGCGATTGAGGAAGGCCCCGATGAGCTCCAGCATTGACCGATTGAGGAAGGCGCCGCTGGCCAATTGGGAAAGGCGCCGGTGGCGCTCCGCCGTGGGCTGAGGTTGTGAAATGTGGCGATAGCCCTCGGGGAATGCGTTTCGAGTGAGAATGATTTTTTTACGATAAAACCCACATTAAAATAATTATTGAGATAAAACACATCAAATATTCGGAGATTGCTGTCGCTCACACTGATGTCTCTTCGCTTAAGTTTATTTTGCGAGGGCCATCCGATATAAAACTAATTTCTGCAGATATTCTTTTAAAAAGGCGAGTTTCGGAGTGTGAGGCTCAGGATGGACCGCCACGACCGCCTTGACCGGTTGCCATTGTTGATTGCCTGTCGTCCCTTCTACGCTTCTCCTCTGTCTGCACATCCACGTTGCGGGGGAGGAAGGATCGTTGCGGCCACCTCTTTCTCCTTTCGGAAGGACGGAATCCATGCCAGGTCAACGAGGCGAAGTCGTCAACTTTCTGACGGCGCTGCCATAGGCCAGATTTCCATGGTGAGACGAATTGCTGACAGTAAGCTCGCCACGTCTTCGGTCGAGACGACCCTCTCTCTCTCTCTCTGACCTTTGCGTAATTAATCGCCTCTTCGGAGCAAAATGCCCACAGAAGGGCCCATTCGCGGTTATCCGGGTTGACGGCGGGCTGAAGCCGTACTGGAGACGGGTCGAGTCGTTTACAGTTGGCCATCAGTCAAAACTTCCAGGTGGAATACCACCCTGTCGCTCTCTCTTCTCTCTCTCTAAGTTGGGTTCACTGTCTCTATCTCTCTTAGTGTATAATATGAGTTCAGCTTTTCCCTCACTCTCTTTCTTCCTTCATTTACTATTAAGTTCTTCTCTCTCTCTCTCTCTCCAACCCTCCCTTCCCCGTACGTGTGACGATCCCAGTTGACCGTTGACTCCCCCGCACCTCGGGCCCCATGAACTCGTCACACGCAACCCCATGTGGCGACCTCGGTGCACGTGCCTGGACCGGTTCAAGCAACACATTCTGCTGCTGCCCGCGAGCCCTGATGCAGTTAGAGAAGCGAAGAGGAGGTCCCGGTCAACGGTCGAATTCAATGATCTCAACGGTTTCGCCCCCCCCAAATCTTCCAACTTTCCGCAACGTTTGACTATCTTTCGGGAGTAGGGGAATCGTCGTTGACTCGGTTCGAGGTCGCCACCGGCATGTGGGGGGTGGTTGTGGTTGCACCCGCCCGCGGGTTCTGCCTTCGTCTATTGCCGACTTGCAAAATCCACTCTGGGTCTCTCTCGCTCTTTCTCTCTCCAAGATAAGGAGAGGATCCTCAAGAGAGAGAGAGAGAGAGAGAGAGAGAGAGAGAGAGAGGTGGGGATAAAAATAATAAAAAGATCATGCGATGTTAAGACAAGAACTCTTCAATGTATCAACTACTAAATAATGTGACATTTTTCGCACACAAAGTTAGCCTAGCCCTTATAATAACATGTGATGATATTAATTATTTATTAATTTTTCTCATTATTATTTTTTATTTTTTTATAATAAAGATTGTTGGTGCATCTTCCCAAATGGACATCAATCGAATTTATCCCTCCTTCCCTCACTCTTCTCTCTCTCTAAGAGAAGGAGAGTACCTTCAAGAGAGAGAAAAAAATAATAAAGGGATCATGCAATGTTGAGTAAGACCAGATATTTTTCACTATTTTAAATACTAAATGATGTGAAAATTTTCATGCACAAATTTTAACCATGGCCGTATAATAATATGGGATGATGCTTGTTGTTTATTTATTTTTCTCAATAAAAAATATTATTTTTGGTAAAAAAATGTTGGTGTATCTTCCCAAAGACACATCTATAGAATTTATCCCTCTAATCTCCCTCTCTCTCTCTAAGAGAATGAGAGGACCTCAATAGTGAGAGAGAGAGAGGGAGATAGATAATAAAAAGATTATGCACTATTGAGTAAGATCGGATCTTTTTCACTATTTTTAATAATAAATGATGGGATTTTTTTTGTAGATAGTTTTACCAAGCCCTTGTGATAATATGTGATGATATTCATTTTTTCTTATTTTTTCTCAATTAAATGTTATTAATTTCGGTAAATTTTTTCTTGGTGCATCTTCTCAATTAAATGATATCTCTCTCTAAGAGAACGAGATGATCCTCAATATATATATATATATATATATATATATAGAGAGAGAGAGAGAGAGAGAGAGAGAGAGAGAGAGAGAGAGAGAGAGAGAGAGAGAGAGAGAAAAAAAATAATAAAAATGTTATGCAATTTTTCACTATTTTAAATGCTAAATAATTTGAAACTTTTCATAGATAGTTTAACCAAGCCCTTATGATAATGTGATGATATTCGTTTATTTGTCTCAATTAAATTTAATAATTTTTGGTAATTTTTTTTGTTGATGCATCTTCCCAAACGTACATGAATAGCAATTCTATATTTAATATTTTTAAAAGTAATATTTACCAAGGTGGGATGATCGTTAGTACTTCTAATCTTATGGCCAAATTGAAGGCGGCCCGGTTTAGTCCGACCGGTCCGGTCCATTCCGGGTCAAGATAGAGGCAGAAGCGCTTCACGAACCGGGGTCTGACTGTCGTGGTGGGGGGGGGGGGGGAAGCGAGGAGACCAGTGTTCCTCGCTTCTCTCTCTCTCTCTCTCGCTCTCGCTATCTTTCCATTTCCCGCTTGGCTTACCTTCTTCTGCCTCAGTGCATTGTCGGATTTAGCACTCCTTGCGGTTCCTTATTTAACGGTCACTATGTTCAGGAAGCTCTTCAACGCGTGTAGTGGTGAATCAGGGTCCAGATCGTCGACTTCCCCAGAACTGCAGAAGGTGGGCCTCGTTGCCAAGCTCTTCTCTCTAAAATGGACCCTGAGACAGTTCGTCCTCTCTTAGTTAGCTGATATTTCTTTCCTCCATTGAAAATGGATGTGCCTGTGGCTCAATTCCTTATTTTGTGGTAGCGCATTGCCCGTTCCCGTGGAGAAAAATGTTCATGGATGGTTAGTGAGGGTTTATGATGTTTAGCAACATTGAATAACTCTTCTCTGCTTGTTGTCGTCGGGGAAAGAGGGCTCCAGTAAGGTTAAAGTTCTAGCCGTAAGACTAGCTTGCTTTCTTTTCTTGTTTTTTCAGGGGCGAGTAGTGGTGTCCTGGACCAGTCTAGGGCTTTAATGAAATCAGTGGCCACTGTTCATTCTTAAGTGTTTTAGCATCCTTTTGGGCCGCATTTGTTTGCAAATTATTTGTGTATTTTTGGTTATTAGGCAAAAGTGTTCAGAGTTTATTTTGGGTTCTTATTTGATTGTTTTGCTTTTTTAAGGGTTACCCTGTTGAAAAAATTCCTAGTTTTTTATGTGATTCTGGATCCTACTTACTGAGCACAGCCAATGCCAACCATATCTCTCTGACAATACGAATGTCTTGCAAATGATGATTAAAAGGGCAGTAAAAAGATAATGTCATATCATGCAACCTTATTTATGCGAACGAGAGTGGAGTACAGACAGAAATGTAAAATCGCCAAAGATATCCATTGAATAATATCAATCCCTGGGCTAGTTAACTCTCTTAAAATTTCGAAGTATTAGTCTATAAGCCGCTGTTTTGTAGTTTCTAACAAAGATCTTGACTCACAAGTTCGAGGCCCAAGGCTCAAGCCTCCTCAGCTTAGTCCAAAGTTCAATGAGATACAAACTGAACTCCCTATATTTCTTTTAAATACGTCAAAAATGACATCGAGGGACTTCAATGTTCACTTGTACATGATGTCGATCAGGTGGGATAATGAGTTGAAAACAGAAACAGGATTGGTTCAATTCTCTAGTATTTGAGCTCCTCAAATAGTGGGAGGTGCTGAAGTATTGTGGGTACTAGAAGGATGACAGTAGTGATTAAAGCATCATGAAATGGATAACTTAAAGAGTTTCATCTGTACAAAGCATATGACTTCAAGTAAACTATAACGATCTTCTCTCTTGTATTTAAGCTCTTTTTTGACTTTGCTAGTGATCATTTTTCCTGCAAGAATTTTGAAATAGCTTTAAGTAATAATCACGGAAAGTGTGAAGTAAAAAGAGCGTCAAGAGGAAAAAAGTAAGCAGAAGCATTAGAAGAAAGGGTAAGAAGAATCATAAAAAGTATCCATTGGTCCGAAATCTAAAATCTTTGACCTGTTCAGTAGGGCATGATTTATGGTCGCAATCCTTGCTCGCTGTACGTTGCTCCAGCAATTTTTTGTGGTGACACAATTGGTCAAGAATCAGGTAGGATTCCCAAGAAATTGTCCGAATCAGTTAGATTGATAAAGTTTCTGCTTTTCTTTTGTAGCAATGAGTTAGGTGCTTTTTTCCAGAAGCAGGTCAGAACTCATCTGATCGCTGATTTTTATAGGCACTGGTATATTAATGGGAATTGTGTCCGGTGCCAATTGTATCTATCGGATGCTTGGTCTGTCTCCTCTTCTTAAAATGTTGTTCAGATGTTTATGACATAAATTATTCTTGGCCACAGAAAAAAAAAGAATAGTATAATGTGGCCCTCATTGCCTCAGTTTTTTAATCTCTGTCAAACTATCATTTTGAAGTTCCATGAAGATCCACCATATATCTTATTTAGAAACTATAAATTTGCATTCGTGCAAACCATTGATTTCATTTTTGCCCTTTTAAATTACTTTTTGAGTAGCAGTTTCTCTTCGCAAGAATATCAACCACCAGTTAGTTCTTGGAACATAATGCAGAGAGTGAATTATCAAGCTCAACTCTCTTGATGTCACGACAGAAAACCGTCACTTTCATTTGGTCTTTTAAATTTAATTCTCATCGGTAGTTGCTCACTTGCTATTCACATATATATCCAGCTTATGTCAATGGTTGGAATGTTATATAGAGAGTGTGATATCAACTGGTAAATCGAAGCTTATCACTCTTTGGATGCTGCATGAAAGTATCTTTTGGATTCTCAATATTTTAAAAGATTCACTTATTTTCCAGACGATTCTCTCTCAAGAATGATCTTTTTACATTGAGAAATGATAATCATCGTTTGTTTCCACATTCAGGAGAACTGTGATAGTACTCTCATTCTATGTTATGTACATGAAGGTGAAGTATGATCAAATCTAGAACTCTATGCCTTTACACCAGAAGGCCAATGTCTTAAGGAATTTTAGATGTTGAATATTTTCTCAACTCCGTAGAATCGTCATGTCAGAGTCCAAGGGATTTATTATGAAAACGATTGTGGATGAAGATGAGAAATAGTAGATGACTTCATATTTAATGTAAAAGTTGGACTTGAGCAGTTTATTTTGGATCTCTTACGATGTTTAGTGGTCTTTTTGATGCGGGCTATTTTAAGGATCACATCAAGGGTTTCTCACGTACACTAGTTGTTGTTGCTCGTGTGACTTGAGAGGCTCTGATAATTGAGGCATTTAGGAGTTGAGAAGGAAGGTAGCGAGAGATTTGCCTCCCTAATTAGGCCTTGAAATATATTGAAAAATGGAGGTGGCGCATCCCAGGCTGGCATTAATGGAAGATGTGACCCAAAAAAAGACCAGAACATTTACAAGGAGTGTTTGACAGAGCAGGCCAAAGCTATGTGACTAAAAAGTCAACGGAGGACGACATGTGGTTCCACTGTCCTTCCCATGAGCAATTTCATAGTGATCCTTGTGTAATCAGAGATGATATTGGTCTTCTGCTCGCACGGTGGTTCACCAGGTCCGTGGGAGACCTTGGTTTGTGCGGGCCATGAAAAATCAGAAGGTCGACCCAGACCTCTCCTACACGTTTCAAAGGGCCTCAACACGACAAGTGGAGCCATTGAAGGAGATATTTATCTTCGTTCAGGTGATAAAATAGCAAATATGTTCACCCAATTACACTGTAGGGACCTTTTCACTCCAGCTTTGTGCAGTTTGAGTATGAACATCTGGGCCAGGTGATGCATACCTGAGTCCTTACGTTGTAGTTGTCTACCAGGGTACATTTTCTGTGCAGATATGTGCCTTAATCATCAGATAGTATTTGTATTTCAACTCTAAGTCGTACTCTTACTAAATAGATCATGAGGTAGTTGCTGATCTGATGAAACTAAATCTCCACCTTCTAATACTCTAGAAAATGCAGATATCTCTTGCTCAACGTACTGAACTTTGTGCAGAGGTTTCTCTTCTTCATCCTTCTTCTACCTGTAATTTTTTTCATCTGAAAGCATTAATAGGAAAGAATGTGCGTTCACCTGCATCTTTCAGGGGCATGAATGACATTTCACTTCATTATGATTCTAGCTATTCTCTCATGAGTGACATTGAAGTTCGGCTGATTTACAAGTAATCTGAACTCGGAGGCCTTGACCTTCCTCGAGATTAATATTCTAGGATTGTCTCGTTTTCCAATCCAAATAAAAATGGCTTCCAATCAGTCACCTCTTTGCGTTGACCAGAAGATAATGGTGATGCTGAAGGTCAACTCTGGAGAAATGCATCTACATTTCTCTAACGTGAATTGATAGACTAATTTTTGTGCGAACCAAGTCACCTTTCTAACTAAACTTTTGAATTAAGGCTGTGTATTATTCTTTCAGTATGACTCACCTCCAGTATGCTTCCTGTGTAATGATATCTTCGCTTCCCAGACTCTGGAGATGCTCGAGGGGAAGGAGGCTGCACTGCAGCAGAAGATTTCGATAGAAGTTGAGAGGGCAAAGGAATTCACCAAGGCAAACAACAAACAAGGTTGAGACAGGCCCGCCCATATCTAGATAGACAGTTCCACTTTTAGCTCTACTCCGCTTCTATCTATCTGTTTGCATGGTTTAGGTTTTGCATGAAGAGACACTTGGCAGACTGCCTGCATTGCCACTTTCCTCTGGGAATGGTACATCGCATAGTGAGGGCCCTGCTGAAGGATCATGGATCTTACCTTTTGCTCATATAATGAGCTTTTTTTCTGTTTCAGGAAGTTATCTTGCCCAGTTTAAAGATTTTTCTCCAAATTTGGACATAAAATTGATATTTCTTAGATTTTATTCATGTTTTTCCCTACATATCACAAATTGGCAGCTCCCAACGTAGGATAATATCTCACCACCTTTACTTGGCCATTAATGGTATAATATCTTATGACTTTGACTTTGACTTTGACTTTAACCAAAAGGAAAATGCTGCTACATTTGGTCGTCATAAAGCATTACATATTCTACCTTCCCTGTAGCTGCATTGCAGTGCCTGAAGAGGAAGAGGTTCTATGAAGGGCAGGTGGAGCAGATTTGGGACTTCCAGTTGCGGATACATGACCAGGTAATTTTCCCTAGAGATGTCTTCTCTTGCCTTTTCACCAGTCAACTCTCTCTTTCTTACTCCCTGCGTATGCCTAGACATAGTCTGTGATATATATATGCATATGAACAGTTTTTTACAGCTCTAATCCTGGCTTGTTTTCTGTGGAGAGCAGCAAAGGCAATCGCAGAAACATCAACAGGATGCTCCAGATGGGTGCGGAAGATGAACATTGCGAAGGTGCTCAACTTTCCCTGCCCAAAGAAAAAAAAAAATACTTTGATATTTACAATACCCCACCTCCCACCGTGACTAAGAAGAAGAGCACTAATAATGCCATCTGAAAGTATAGTTTTATGGGAGAATTCCCTCAAGAATAGTCACTTATTGCTAATTATACCGATGAACACCATGTTGAAATGGGGTCTGTTTGTTTCAATTTTACTACTTCAGGAGCAAGCTTTCTTTCTTGCTATTACCGGAATTAATGAATGTGTAACAGTAACACAGTGATTATTATAAAAAAAAAAACAGTATTATCTGTTCATATTTGAAAAATCGTTTTTATAAAATCTAATTATTATTCTAACCAAATACGCATTCCTCCCCCCTTCCTTCCATCAGTTGAGATTCTGGGCACTCACAGTCTTCTCCTTGCTATATTTTACAGCCCTACGTGATGTGGGGAGATTGTGGATGCCACTTGGAGGAAGGTGCTGGCAGCACCGAAGAGTGAGTCAGTGCACTGCCCCCTCATAAGTTTTGGTTTCTGGGTGTAGATATGAACTCGGCTTGTTCATTATAATTTTATCAGTTTCTTCTTGCGGCAAAGATATTCAGTTTCATTAAGAAAAGAAGAAGAAGAAGCTCTCTCTCTCTCTCTCTCTCTCTCTCTCTCTCTACGTCGTGCTCTTGGACTTCACTACTACCGCCATAACCAAGCAAGTAGAAGAGAATTTAGCAATGTGAAGAGGTTGAAGTGGGTTTTGGAAAATTATATATATATATATGTATATATTTTACATACAATTAAAATAATTTGATGATGATGGTGTAAAATATAGTTTGAAGTGTCGTTCTTTTTATCCTTCTTCTTGTTCTTGCTCTAGCCGTTGGAACAGGTTGGCTTGTGGCTCCAAGGTGATGCCATAGTGGATAGATAGAATGGGAGCAAGTTTAATTATTTTTCAACGAGAAAATTGCTTAAAGCAAACTTATTAAGGATAATATGACCTATTTTTTTTAGTTATTCATCTATTCTTTATTAGATGCATGTTCATGATCTAGTGAAAAATTACATAAAGGCAACTTATTAACAAAATAAAAATGGCAGCTAGGTTTTGATTCAGATCAACAAGGGTGCTTGACGTGAGCAAAGCCCCAAGATGGATTAGTGGAGGACTCATCTTTAATCTCTAGAAAAAGAAAAAAACCTCTACATCATATAGGACTAGAGATTAATCCCATAACTATACTATGGTTAGTAGGGTTCATGAATGATCTTGCTGGATGGAATATGAGGGTAAAATATTTTTTTCTAATTATTTATCAAGTACTTCTCATTATGGCTCAAGAAGTTGTTAGTATGTTGACTTTTTTTCCTACCAATTAAATTCAATGTGTAGATTCCAACCCTCACGAAGTTAGGAGTTCCTACTTTACATAAATATGGTGGGGTCTGAATCTTATTTTGATATAATTTTTTCTCAAAAAAATTAATTTATACTTTAAATAGTATGAAATTGGAGTTATCATTCTGATTGTTATAATTGTTTAAGCGCAATTCGAGGAGGTCAACCCCTAGATATATCTAATTCCATTTTTCATTAAATTGGAAGCATTTAAAGACCTAATTCATATTTTCTTGTGAAAGGGGGTCATAATTTGATGATGATTATTTTTAAAAAAATATGAATTTAGAGAAATTCAACCCGTAAAATCTTTAATTCGGGCAATAGCCATTTTTCTGATACGAAGACTAACATACATACTAATTAATTTAATTCATGTAAACATGAAATTATTTAACTAAAGGATTTAGTTAAATTATGTGAAACAATTTAATTCATATAAATAGCCTTGGTTTTTGAATCTCCCCCTCTTTGGCGTGGCTCGCGAACCCCTTCACTCCTCACCACTCTAGTAGAGCTGCGGACTTCGGCGGTTGCATCCGCGGAGAGGAACATGAAACAAATGGTTGGCAAGATCCAGACTGCGAAGACGATTAGGAAGAAGAAATGAGTACCCTCCCTCCCTCCCTCTCTCTTTCTCTCTCTCCCCCTCTTTCTCTTTCACTCTACACATCTGCCGCGCTCTTCTTCCTCACGGCAAATTGTTTGCATCCTGTTGGTAATTAAGGTCATCATGTCTCCAAGGTTCTGGGAAGATGGTTGCGTCTTTAGTGTCATTTGCTTCTGTGAAGGTAAGGTGCAGAACTCTGGAGATCCTAAATTTTCATTAGGACGACAGATGATCCTAGATTTATTTTTTTCCCGGATGAGTGTTCTCATCTGATTATGAAACTATGATTTTGAACTGATTAGTATGGATCAATAGGTGCCAGACTTTTGGTCGTCCATAAATTGTTTCTCTCACAGACTGTATGATGGGATCACCGGATCCAATGAAGAATCTTCTACTCAAGAAAGTCAACTCAAGTCAGTGGTAGTCAAGGACAATCTTAAATCTCAACTTTCTTTTCGGTACTGATTTTTCTCTTTGATCCCGCATCATTGTAATTTCTACTGTTTCATATTAAGTCCCCAAGTCTATTCTAATGTGGGAGCTAAGTGTGGATAAGTTGTAGAAGAGGAAAAAACCCCAACATAACTCATCTTCTGCCTATAACTACCTCCGTGGCTTTGACATTGATTCTCCATACTTGAGGTTGGTGTTTGGGGGCTATTTTCTTTTCCTTCTTCGTGATATTTCCTCACTTAAGCATTGGGCGATAAATATTATGCTCTTACTGTTATCAATTCGGATGGAATTTCTGCATACTATTTGTGGCATTGCTGGAACTCTGGTGTGCTTTTCAGTGTCATGTTAATTTGTGCTGCTATGCTTCCTTCACCATCCTGAAGGCCTGCTGTTCTATCTTGGATGATGCTCTGCTTCTGTCAGTCAATTCCTCAGGAAAGCTTAGTGCACTCTGAAAATCACATTTAATCAGGAAGAATATATATAGTATTCTAATTTTGTGGCTTAGTGTACCGAATGGCTCTTGGGTGGCTCTGTATAACTAGAATACATGACCCCTATATATAACAACACAACATTACTTTCAGGCTGAAAGGTCTCATGGAATTATATTGGATTATTTAAAGTATCAAACATTTCTGGGAAGAAGTGTGGCTTAATGTCAAAGCCACCTGCTGATGATGACACTGATTTGCAAAATGATGCCAGGAGAGACGAAGATGATGAAGATGGGAATGACAAGTCTGCAAAACCAGTTTTACAGGTGATGCCAGGATTTTTTCTTCAACGTTTATTTCAGGTGAAGAAACTTGCTTGAGGCTACTCTAGAATTTAACTTAATCAGATGATGCATTCTTCTTGTACTTGTCTACTGGATTTTACCAATGCTTTTATTTTCTACAGGTGCACAAGTGGCACATCGGAGTTGTGTAAACCGGATTCCTGCAATGCCTCAGAAACCTCACATATCCGCATCTTGGGCAGAGGAAGGTAAAGTTAAGCTTGGCCTTATCTAGAGAAGTTTAAACGTCTATGCATAGCTTGCTCTCTCTTTTCTCATGATACGTGTGATATATTATTGCATGGGTTATTCAACATGCGAACAGTTGCTCTGAGTTAAAATTTTTAGTTCCGTCAAGATGAGTAATAGTTCTTCTGTGAAGTGTGTTCCCTTCTGATTCTGATAATTTTGTTCTCCATGGATTGGTAACTGAGTTTTTTTTCTTCTAAACTGTCCCTACTTATTTATGTGTTACATATATTTATTGCTCGTTAACTCATATCGATTGTATCTGCATACATTGCAGGTCTGGGACTTCAGCTGTCTTGTAAATATCAGCTGAATCTAAGGCAGAAAAGAATGGAGGCTCTAATGCGATTCAGAATCACCCGCCAATAAGGTGACATTCAAAGGGCACAGAAGAGAAGGATTTTGAATGGAGTGGAGTCCTGTCGTTCCTGGAAGGCTTGTCTCTGGTATGCTCTGGTCATTATGTTGATGTTCCTTTCAGAAGTTTTACTATTCATATTACTGAAACTATGGGAAGCATGCTTTATTGTTCGAATATAGGCGGTCCCATCTGGACTCTGGTTCTAGCCCTGTAGAGGCCCATTTCTCCAGAACCCAGATGGCGACCGGAGCGAGATCCAGCCCGTTGTGGCGGCGGCGGTGCTCCTCGTCCGCGCCACGTGGTGGCCAGTGACGGCAGGAAAGATCTCTTCTTGCTGATTTGGCGCCCTTCCCTCGCTCCCTGCCTCCCACCCTCTTGTCCGTCCCCGTCCCTTCACCTCCGGGGGGGGTCGCGGGAACCCCTCCGCTGCCGGAAGGGCTGCTGATGATCGTCTTCCCCGCCGGATTAAACAACTGAGCGAGAAGATGATGCGTCCGGCAGGTCCGTTCCCCGCTGTTTTAGACCCCACTCCAGAGTCTCTTGAATTGTCGCCTCCTCGCAGAGGGTGCAGAGATCGGTGATTTGTGTAGACCTGTTCTGTTCAGAGTAGTCACTGCGAAGAAACCGAACCTCTTCTGTCGACTTGGGTTCCAGTTTTTGATCTTGTTCATCAGACCCCTTGACTGTTTTGTACGGTTTGTTCGAGAGGCAGTTCGGAGGTTGCTGGCGATGGCGGCCGCGCCTGGTACTTCCACCCTGCGGCACGGAGTCTCCCTCTGGTGCCCTCAGTCTCCTGCCCTCCGGCGCGTCAATCTGCTCCCTTGCTCTCATCTGAGCACGTCTTCCTTTCGGAGGAGCTTCTCGGTGGCGGCGTCTGCGTCCTCGAGTTTCGCCAATGAGAACCGGGAGTGAGAACCACATACTCACCTCCTCCTCCCCTTTCCTTCCTCCATTTGGAGCGTTTCTAATCCTCGGGACGATCGTTTTTCCCCTCTCTTAATTAATCTGCAGGTTTGTGATCGTCGGAGGAGGAAATGCCGCGGGATACGCAGCTCGGACTTTCGTCGAGCACGGGATGGCAGATGGAAGGCTGTGCATCGTATCCAAGGAGGTGCTTGTTCTCTGTTTTCCCTTGCTATCGTCTAGTAAATGCTCTATATCTTGTGCCAATGGCAGCTTCTGTGAGCAAAGGCCTTCCCTGACCAGGTGTTGGTCTGTGGGAGCTCTCTATTTTCACATATCTGATTCATGTATTTCATGTACTCTGCATCTTCATGACCGCAGAGAAAGCAAAACTTTTGTCATCCGTTTTGCTTAGTCCAGACCTGAGATCATATCTGCACTACTTTTGTGACCTATTGACTTGGTTGTGGCTCAAAACTGATCCTAATTGGCTTAGTTTTGACTCATGATTGTTTATATCTGAAACCCAAATACCTCTAGAGAGTTTATTTTTGAGACTTACCTTGTGCAAACCATGGTATATATCGCCCCTTTTCTTTGTATGTTAAATTTGGTGTTGTCGAACACCACCTTTCCAAAATCAGTTGTGCTTCTTGGTGACTTCATGTTTATATGAGAAGATATTTAAATTTTTTGTAACAAAGTTGTGCTGTTGTTGTAAAATGGTGCTGATTCTAGTGTTGTTTATGCCAGATCTCGATATTACCTCGTGTCATAATCTCTCTTTTCCATGATCTGGCGACATTGATGCTCTATTTTTTTGTGATTATGGGACACTGTATGTTTCATTTTGTCAGAGATATGTCCTTTCAGATCCTTCTTATCATTTGTGGCTAAGTAATACTTATGATATCGCAACTAATGGGTCCACTTTAGTCATCAATTCACAATTTTTTTTGCTAAACCTAGTTGAAGTAGATTGCTTTAATATGATTTGATTTATATTTTCTCCAGTACTGAGCTTCCTTTTGTAAATTTTTTGATTGATGACGTAAACTTATGACTTGGTATTGCAATGTTTTTGACCCAACAGGCTGTGGCCCCATACGAGAGGCCAGCACTGACTAAAGGTTATTTATTTCCTCCAGAAAAGAAGCCAGCACGTCTCCCGGTATAGTTTATTCATACTTTCCGTGAATCATGGAGCCTGACCTCTCCAATCGGTTTTTTTTTTCTAGATGGAGATGCTGTCTGTGATTGTGACATCTCCTTACCTTGAGTCTTTTAAGACATGGACTGCACATTTTGTTTAAGTAGATGCATCATTTCTTTTATGAGTGCTCACATATACTGTATCATTTATTCCACATATTCCACATATTCCACTCTCCTGCATAAATTTACCTTTTTATCTTTAAGATAACCTTGTCTTTCATATGAATTTTTTCATGACAGGGCTTCCATACATGTGTTGGATCTGGCGGTGAAAGGCAAACTCCTGAATGGTACAAGGAGCATGGGATTGAGGTAACGTGTAGAGAGATTCACCTAAAGTTTGCATTCTTAACATTGCTCCTCTCCAAGATAGAGTCTCTTCTGTCTTTCATGACAATATTTTTTGCCACACGTGACACATCAATATTGCTTCCTGATATATTGTGGTTACGTACATGACATGTCTATCTTTTAATTTTATTTTCTGAGTATGCACGTCTTGTGTTGATCCTCAGAATATCCCCCGTAGGTTACTTTTGATTAATGGGGGGTAGCCTTCTACTTTGAGAGGCCCATGTCAAGTGGCAAACTCATATCAGAAGTAAACGTTTTCAATATTTATAAGCCACCGAAATGAGTGCATGTAACTTTGCAGTCTGTTTCTGACATGACATCCGTTTTAGACATTTAATGGAGCCTGGGTTAGAGTCTTTCCTGTCTTAAGGAGGAATACTTTTATCATTCTTGACCCATTAGAACCGCATTTTGATATATGCAAATAGCAAGGTCTTGCCGTTTATCTGAATACTAAAAATCAACAATTCATTGAATTAGCATCACATGCATCCTCATGGGCAGAAAACACCCATACCCTACCCAGGTCAAGAATCGGGAATAGGTTATACTGACTTTATATCAATCCTTGTCCTCCAGGACCATATGTAGAATAAGACGTAAAATCATACAAGTTCTCAGGGAAAACCTGAAGAATGAATCGAACAGGACTTCTGTTTTCATCAAGTCAACCGTTGATTTAGACTGTCTGCATGATATGAACCAGGTTGGATAGCTTGGACTGGGACAAACTATGTTGGAATCTATAAGGTCTACTGTTTCATCCAGTCAGCTGTTACTTTAGACTGTCTGTATGATGAGAACTAGGTTGGATGGCTTGGACTGAGAAAAAACTATGTTTGCCACCAAACTGAGCTGGATCAACATTTGTCAATCTGAAAAACTTAAAACGCTCAGATATCTTTACTTTTTTTAGAGTTTTAGAGGGCATTTCCTATACTTATAAACTTTTTTTTCATCATGTATGATGAGATAAGGCCTCAGGAAGAAATTTCGAAAGAAGTACATAATTAACATCAATCAATCAAACCGCTGTCTATAGGAAGTCATAAAATGGTGCGATGTGAATGTTGTGCATGACCAATTAAATAGTTTTAAAAGTATCGTGGATGTACAGAAGGACAATAAAATTTAGTTGGAAGCTAAATTAAACGAGTAATTTTATACGCTTGTATGCCCTCTGTGATCTATGGTCCGGACTACTGCAAATCTGTGGAGGATATAGTTTTTTCAGTCTAGCATGTGATGTGGATATCTAAAATCAACTTGTGTTACCAATATCTTTCCCTCAGGTTGAGACCTGTACTGAAATCTCATTTCTTTACATATGACGCTCGTGTCAGAGCTATGGTTTGTTAATAGCCATCGTAACTTTTATTTTTCTCCTCGCTTCATTCTGAAACGAAATCCTTTTCTTACTGAAGAAGTAAAGGATTGTATAATCGATTGTTTATACTTTACATTGGTTGATACAATGGGATGTTATCAAATGAGAGTAGTTCTGTTATATGGGAACTTGTAGGTACACATGGTACCTGGCTGTTCTCGAAGGACGCGTTGATGGTCCTCAGTCCTATGTTAATGCACGCGGCGGAGACTTTATTTCTCTCGTGTGCTGTATGTTGTAGTTGTTCATGCCGTCTTGGGATATGGTCTTAATGGACCTTGCCGTTAGAGGTGTTTTTATTTTTATCTTCTTTTGAAAATAGGTTCTGTACTGTTGATTTCCTGCTGGCAGGCCTTACTCACCATTAAGAATAGTGGTGCTAGAGTGATATGGACTTCTGTGACGACTAATGAGAATATCTGTGCAGTCTTTGTTTTTGAGTCTGTTCAATGGTTCCATATTTTCTTCATAAAGATAAATACCGACAGGGTAGTTTTCTTCTTCGTGCAGGTAATATATGCAGATCCGGTGACAGACCTTGATATCCAATCGCATTCTCTCAGAACGTCATCAGGCAAAAATCTCAAGTATGGCTCCCTCATAATTGCGACAGGATGTACTTCTGTAAGGTACTGTGACAAAAATTACAAATTTACCTCTTGAAGTTGGCATTTTTTTTGTTTTTTTGTTTTTTTTTTCATCTGATGTTTATGCACTGTGAACATTTTTCCTTCAATATTATCATCTTTGATGAATGGGAATAAATTGAAGCGTAGGAAACGTACAATGGACGGGGACATAAATGCTTGAAGTGCTAGTTTAGATACTCTCGTGTGATATTCATTTTCCAAATGTCTCATATCATAAATTGTGACTATTGGATTGACACATCCATTACCATTAATATTTTGTAAGAAAAATGTGCAAGCATTTTTTCTAAGTTGGAGGATAAATTTCGCATTATAGTTGATTTAACCTTGACTTGTATGTATGCAGATATTGACTCTTAGCACAATTTTCGGGGGTGTTCTATGATTGGCATGAGATGACTGTACTCTTAGTTGTCAATCAAAGTATGCATTCTGTATCTAAATAAATTATACTCATTTTATATAATTTAGACATTATAAGTATGGACGACCTAAACAAAGGGTTAGGTCATGGCAATAAATTGGATGGAGTTAAAATATCGTTGATTATGACCGAGGAAAGGAGTACGACTATCAATTACCCATTGCTCTCTCACAATATATATTATAAATATTAATATATATCATTTTTTATAAGCTGTTATTATGTACCATGACAAGTTGTTTATTTTTTTTCTTCTACAATGTGCTTTTTAGTTTTCAATTCACCCTTAGATTGAACAATTTTTCCGATCCAATATGACTCAAAGGTGATCAAACCTTTATGTAGGTTAAATATACGAAAAGAGCTGAAATTTAACGTTACTTATTGGGTGCTCCAGGAAAATGTGCTAAAATGAGGTCTTAAATAATGAAAGAAGTATACTCAAAGCAGTGATCATAATTGACATTGGTATTGTCTGTGGAAAGGGAAACAAGATGGTTCTAAAAACTGGTAGCTGGCACAGAGATTGAAGACAGGAAACACGTGTCAGTTAGGCTAGAAATATAAGAGTTTGCTCTAGTTATAGTAGAGGTGAATAGAACTAATTGGATTGAGACCAAATGTAACGGATTTGAAGAGCTAAAATTATTACCAAATTATGGGAGGGTTGGCTACTTAAGTCGTGTCAGTTATGACAGGATAGAGGTGGGCAATTTGAGTTATCTAGATCCTTCTCAAGTCGTGCTTCAATAGAGTTTTTTTATATTAATTGTGAGCGTACGAAAGGATAGTGGAAAGTAACATTTTTTATCTTTACACAATGGTGCTATGCGAGAGTTGTGATAATATGCTCTCAGAACTTTGTATTTTATAGCATGAGGAATTTATTTTTTAGGTGATTTATTTTATGTTAAAACATATGTTTAATGTGTTCTCTCACTGTTTAAGGTTTAGTTTTTTTTTTTGAGAATTCTAGACGATTTATGAGGCTTGATGGAAATCACTGAAATTTTGTGTTATTTATGCATTATTTGCACTAGCCTTTGAGTGCATTTTCAATTAATTTTTCGCATCTTTCAATTCAGATTCCCAGCAGGAATTGGCGGAAGCTTGCTAGGTGTCCACTACATTCGTGATGTTGCTGATGCTGATTCATTGGTTTCTTCATTGGTACTTGATGTTTCCTCTTAGAATTATTTCTTTTATTCAATTTGGGTGCTTTCACTGTGATGTTCTCTCTCATTGTGCAACTTTATACATTTTAATAGTTTTTCTCTTTCCTGGAGCGTAGCAGTCCTCTCTCTATCAACCTAAGACATCTAAAGTTGACTAAATATAAATACAGTTTTACTCCTAACATTTAACCAATACCTTGACAAAAGGTGGCCTTTTGAGTAGTGCGTAGTGTTCGTTTATTTTTCTATTTATCTACTTGTCAAAACTTGATGGCTATATATTGCTGAATACTAATGTTCGTGAAAACATTCATTATGTCGTAATTTGAACTTTTATGAGACACATGATTGACTTGCTTTATTTGTTAACATATCGCTTAAAATTTCCTTGGAACAATGCTGCTAAAGAATGTTAAACCTCATCATCAACTTTAATTTCCTCGTTGTCCGCACTGGATTTCAGAGTGAAATTAATCTTTGATTTATCACTATCTGTGTTTTTATTGTAGGAGAGAGCACAAAAGGTTGCTGTAATCGGTGGTGGATACATTGGGATGGAGGTTGCTGCAGCATGTGCTGGTTGGAAACTTGATACAACTGTAAGTTCATATTTTTTTGGTGAGAAATGTTATGCACCATTGGAATGAGGAAAGGATATTGTAATTTATAATTTTTTCTGAGATTCACATTTAGTGCACTTTACTATCTTCAAGTCTTGTTTTCTTGATTCACCATGTGAAGAGAGAACGAAGAACTTTCCCTTCTGACATCAATGATGAAAACTTTTCTTGATTTTTTATAACAATATCTTTCTTTCCGACATTAATTGTTACATAGTTGTCCACGTAAAAAATTATCTCATTGTTTCCATCCAATGAGAGTGTCAGAAGGCACTCAATACTTTGACTTATATGAATTGTATGAACAAAAACGTTTCCTATATAGATTCTTCATGCGTGAATAAATTTCTTTAAGAAAGTTTCTTTAAGATGGTAGGGCCCTACTTGGAAACAACCAGTCCAAACAAAATCAGCTATCTTTTTGTTTTTATTTCATTAGTTTACAAAAGACTGTAGTTCTCCCTCTGAAATTGGATCGGCCTCTGGGTGGTGACTTAAATCAATGAATTCGTCAATTATTAAGAGGGCACACGCTGTTCTGACTCATGGATATCTTAGGATGTTATTATATTTTATGTACTGACTTTGTTGAAACTGTTTATATGTCTACAGGTAATTTTTCCTGAGAATCATATTATGCCAAGATTGTTTACTTCTTCAATTGCTGAAAAATATGAAGATCTTTACAAAGAGAATTCTGTGAAGTTCTTGAAGGTATTTATACATCCGAATGCCGTATATGATTATTTTGAATTACCTGACTAATGTTAAAACTATGTGCATTACTAGGGTGCCTTCATTGACAAACTTGAGGCTGGTTCTGATGGAAGGGTGGCTGCTGTTCGCTTAAAGAATGGTTCTGTTGTCGAAGCAGACACGGTATTTTCTTTACCTTATCCTTGAGATTAATATAAGATCAGTTTATTCAATCAGTAACCCTACATGTTTGACTACTGCTGGGATTCCAACTATTTCTTGGAATGGGTGTATAAGATGTGTTTAAAAAGTGAAAATAGGTTCAAATACAGCAGTTATTCAAAAAGATTTTCTCGGTTTTAGCTGACCAGGTCAGATGCCTGCCCCATCTTGAGCTTGTCTCAGTCTGACTGACCTGGCAAAAAGAACACAATTGACTTCAGATTTGATCAATTAGTCAAATGAAATACTGTTGTGATCTTCTTGGTGACTTGATAAAAGGTGATTTGGAGGTTAATAGACCCTATAGGCTTCTGTCCCATTCCTCACTCGATTTGTTTGTCTTTGTGCTCTGTCATTTCTTTGTTATTCCCTAGGGAGTAGAAAAAGTAATATAACAAACATAGACCTACCAGCTAAGGTGTTTGACAAATCCAATGGTGAACAGCGAGAATACTGTGATTAACTGATAACTGGCTGGTTGCAGAAGCATCCAGTTAAGGTTACCAGGCAGTGGATGCAGTTGTATTGTGGCAGGGTACTATTTGGGATGGCCAATTCTAATGCTGTTCAGGTTGAATCTTGAATTTTCTCATCAGCAACATGGGAAGTTTGTATGGACTCCAGCTCGTGTCCTTCAGACGGTTCTGTCAACAACATGCTAGTAGAAGAATGAATATGCTTTATAATGGCTTCTGAAATTTTTGCAATAATCATTCAGGGCTCTCTTGAGTTCTGAGCAATGAAACGATTTTCCCCATTTACTTGGGAAAGTCTGTCAGCTCTATCAAAGCAGGTTTATGTGATATGAATTATAAAGTGATGATATATTGAGATTAGGATGGCTGGTTCACCCTTCATGTATAAATTCTGGCCTCTGTCGTTTTCCTTAATTTTGTGATTCCTAAATAGAATGCTATGTAACTCGAGTGGACTAATTGGTGAAATCTCTGCTTGAAAATAAAATTTATGGTATAATTCATTCACTTGACGAGACATCAGTACTTATCCAAATATCACATTTTAGAGTCAAATAAGATTGATGACAGTAGAACTGAATTACATCTGTATTTCTTGAAGACTATAAGATTGATGCTAAATTCTTTGGTGCAGACTAATGACTTTGGATAATTAAAGATTTTTAGGAAAATTGTGATTAAAGCGGACATTCATAATCTAAATTTTTCTGAAAGTTTCTGGTATATGAAACATATTATCTTGAATATTTCAAATTTTATGGATTTGTGGCTTTTCTGAATTATTGAATGGTCTCTGTAGTGCGGCTGTCTCGTCATGTTTAGAAACTGATCTATTTCAATCAATATTCACATAGGTACAAACGTGAATAGTTTATTTTCTAGTGCAGGGTAAAGTTGATATTTTATTTTTCTAAATCTGGTTTTTCAATTGAACATCTTTGTTGAACTTATTTTAGCATTTTCGATTTCAGAAAAAAACTCTGAATATCATTTTTATCAAAAAGGAGTATGATACGATTTAAGCTGTAAGCAGAATAATTTTATGACAGTCATCCATTTTGCAGAATTTTGCTTTTCCTACGCTGCCTGTATCTTGATTTAAGTGCTTGAATTCATTGTTAATTGCATCATTACCTTCACAGGTTCTGAAAATTTTCTTGAGTAAAGCTTGTGTTTTCTTTTTGAGAATAAATAAATGATGACTTCTTTGTGGTTGTTTTCTTCTAAAATTGATGACTCGAAAATTAAATTCAAGTAAGATGTTGTGTGTATCTATATATAGGTAATTGTCGGAATTGGAGCAAAGGCAGCAGTCAGTCCTTTTGAAGCCGTGGGTATGAATGATTCCGTTGGGGGAATACAGGTTGGTAACGAAATCAATATGCAATTTTGATTTTCTCATATTTGACATACCAGCCTGTATATTTTCTTTGCGATATCCAATGTCTTACTGTTTGTAAGGTAGAGGATGACTAGAAAGTTGAACAGTATTACTTTACTTTCAGTGATCTACTTTTTCAGAATGACAAAGCAGAATATGCCTGATTTTAATTTTCAAAAGTTGTTACTAGGCCTCAGACTTGTCGCTTTTTTGGCAAGTGGTGAAAACCTCTTATTTTATTGAAAACAATGAACTACAATTCCGACCGTAAACCTCATCAAGAGCGGGGACTGTCCATTAACAATAGAAAAGTTTGCTAAAAGTCAGTGATTGGGGTTTGGGGAGATCACTGAAATAGGAGATGTATGCTCAACTGAGATGATAAAATAACAGTGCGGAAAGGTTCGAAGTGGGATCCTAGTGTTCAAGTAGTATCCGTCCCTTCTCTTAATCTATGAATAAAATTGAAGGCCTATCCGTCTTGCCGGGAAGGATGTCAGTTTTCTGTTTGTAAGCTACTCATGTATGCAAGGGCAACACTGATTAATGAAATGTGTTGATCATTTCTGTTGATGTTAATCATGTGGTAGGGCCTCGTGAAAATATTATCAGATCCTCTCAAGAGTTTTTTACTTCTTGAGTTTGACATGACCTCCAGGTCAAATGATGGTAAGAATATTATTGCTTCTGGATCATTTCTGTTCCATGTGTTTGGGCGTAGCTTTGTAAACACTTCGACAATACTACATTGAGTGAAGGAGTGATTAATTGATTCCTGGGAAGTATCACAAATAAGTCGATGCATTGCTTGAACTGTCTCTTGAACTTATCACTTGTAGTAAGCCCCTTCAAAGTTCAACTAAGAAGATGGGAATCTTAGTTGGAATATGTTTTCCTAAATTTTATTTTTTTTACCCATTGATGAAAGTCATCGTCTCTTAAAAATCAGAAGTATCTGCCTGCTTGGAAATTGGCTGTTTGGTCTCCGTTTTCAGATGCAGTAATGCTACCATGTATTGTCTGGCATTGACGAAGAAAGATCTGCAGAGAAAGTAGACCTCCCAGCTTATCCTCAATGGGCTTGTCTTCGTCAGCCCTCAATAGGGTGCTTAAACTGGTAGATGATTTCCGTAAAAGATTGTTGTGGATCTGTCTTTGAGAACCAGAAGGGATAACGTCAGTGTAACCCAAGAATCTGGTAGAGTTCCTCCTGCCTACCTGAAGCACAGAACTTTATTTGTCCTCTATAACACAAAAGTTATGCTTTTTCGCTGGCGCAAGCATTTCAAAATATTCACCTGAGGTTCTTCATTCTCAATAAATTTCTCTAGAGGTAAATTTCTCGAGATGCCAACACTCAGATAGGCTTTTTCTTTCCATTCATGAATCCGATTATCAAGTTTCTCAATGAGACCATTTAGAGATGTGATCCGATAGCACTACTTTGAAATGAAAGACCATTAAATTCAGTTGTGAGTTGCATTTTTTTTTCTTCCCAGTTCAGATATTATGACATAGGTCTCCAACTATATCGCAATAAGCTTTTTTCAATGAGTTAACTCTCAGGCTGAAGCCATTGCTGATGTGCTGTCCCTTAAAGCTTACGCGTTATAGATGTTATTGAAAACAGAAGGCTGATTTCCTAGGGAAATAGTTTGTTACGCATCCATTTCACTGCTGAGGCACAGGTTACTGACAAGATCAAGAGAAAATTCTGATCGATGAATGTAGAGGACTGCTGACATGTCAGCCGAAGAGGTGCTCAAAAGTGAAGGAATCATCACCACCACAACCTCTATGTGAAGATGGAATGTAATAGATGGATGAGCCTGCTATGGCGGTCTCTGGATGAGGGTTCGTACAACTTTGGAACTTTATCTGGTTCTGAAATTAGATTGGGAAAGCAAGGGAAACTCAACTACTGGTAGGAGTTCACTGGTAGGAAAGCAATGTTCTACTGGTACCAGATATTTTTCTATATAAACTTGTTCGGAGCACAAGAAGTTGTAACTAAACGATGATGACCAGAAGGGATTGCTTGCGAGAGTCACAGTGGTGTTAGGAGTTCTCTTGATTAAGTGCGTAGAAGATAGATTAAGTGATTAATTGATTCCTGAGTGTAGTCTAATCCACAATAACCTCTACTTCAATTATCAGTTGAAATATTCTGCGAGATGGGTATCATTCAAATCTGGGCTCAGTTATCTTACTTCTTCATAGGTTGATGGCCAATTTCGAACACGTGTGCCGGGCATTTTCGCTATTGGAGATGTTGCAGCATTTCCTTTGAAGGTATGCTCTCAAACTTCGATCTACATAAGTTTTTGATTTTTCTTTTCACTAGCCATGATAAATATCTCATCTTTCATCTGCAGATGTATGACCGGGTAGCTCGGGTTGAGCACGTTGATCATGCTCGCAGATCAGCAAAACATTGTGTTGAAGCGCTTCTTAGCATCCATACTAACCCGTCAGTCAGATCCGTCTCAATGGCATTGAATCTTCCACCATTTTATTCTCTGTTCGTACACATATTATTATAATGATGGTCACTATCTGCAGGTATGACTACCTTCCATACTTCTACTCTCGAGTTTTTGAGTACGAGGGGAGCTCAAGAAAAGTCTGGTGGCAATTCTTTGGTGACAACGGTAAGAAATTCTGATGATTATTAGATGGGTTCTCCCCGGAATGCTATACTTTCTCACCTTTTCCTGCATCTGAGATCTGCCTTCTGGTTCCAGTCGGTGATGTCATTGAAGTTGGAAACTTTGACCCAAAACTGGCTGCATTCTGGGTAGACTCTGGTATGATAAAAGAAAGTCAACTTCACCTTCTCTTCTTCTTTTCTTTAAAAATGAGTGCTTGCTCATTGCTTCTCTAATACAGGTGATAGACTGAAGGGGGTTTTCCTTGAAAGTGGTACTCCTGAGGTACGTCCTTTCATCTTCTTACTATTTGGGGTAGATGCTGGTCAATTAGAGAAGCGTATGAGATCATTTGAGACTACCATTTTCCCTCAGCCCCTGTCTCAATATCTCTCGTCCACTTTCAGCAGAGATTTTGCTGTTCTTGAGGAAAATCAGTCTCACTTGACGCCACATTGGACATCTCACTCCGATCATGTTTCCAAAAGCAGCCTGATTGTACAGTTAAAGGCATATGAGACACCTAAAGATTGACCATTGGCGGTGGGTTCTACCCATCAGAAACTGATTAGCGTTTGAAACCGCATCTGGGTCGTTGCAGTTTTTTCCATTATTGGGAATCTGCTCCCATCGTCACTCCAAATGACTCCTGGGAGCATCGTTAGAACTTGTATCTGTTCATGGATATCTAACGAGGGCAACGGCGCTTTCAGGAGTTTGGACTTCTCCCTAAACTCGCCCGGCTCCAGCCCATTGTCGACAAGGCCAAGCTTCGGAGTGCGTCATCTGTGGAATCCGCCCTGGAACTCGCGGGAAGCTCCATCCAGGCTGAAGCCAGTGCCTAGATCAGTGGCTCAGGTATTTGCCCCAGTCATCATCTCCTGAGCATCATATGATCAGTGGCTTGGTCTTCATTCCTTGCTGATGTATGGGAAGTGTTCTTCGTGCGGTTAAAATAATAACCCAGTTTGAGTGTCTCAGCTGTGAACTGGTAATTTTGATGCACCGGAAGATATTCGGTGTTGGCTAACTCCAATCGACCATCATCCTTCAGAACATATCCAAAGCCTTATACCCATCTCCATGTTCTTGACGCTCTCAGCAAGATGTTAATGACTAAACTCTCTCCCTCTCTCCGGCGCCAGGGCACCTCGTGTAAAGTATGTTTATCCTTCTCAAAATGGATCATAATGATTTACTAATTATATCATACTCCATAAGATGATCGACGAAAAATCTATTGAACAATGAAATACACGGAATTCTCTCAAGAAGATAAGATGGTATTGATTACTGTTGACCTTCACAAATTGCAGTGACTAATTAGTCAAAACTTAGTTGGGTTGGTGGGCCATAATGTGTATTGATATCATGCAAGGCCAGTCGATCAAACATTTAAAAAAATAAAAAAAAAATCTGTTATTTCAGTTGAATGTGTTCTTAGAGCTATGATTTGGGCTACTAATCACATCTAAAAATAGTGTGGCGTCATCTTAGAGCACTATCATCTCTTCAGTATAACACACGAAATGAAGAGCATTTAATGGGTTTTATGGGGCATCCGTTATTTTTACGGGTTGAGGAGGAAATCGGGGCTATGTTCTTACCAGTATCTGGCAAATGGATGGCAATTTGACCATGGCTTAGCATTATAAAAACAAACTAAGATTTATCTGCGGCTAAAACACCACAAAAGTCAATAAGAAATTCTTATGAATTTGGGTAGCGCTTTATATCTTGCTTGAGGAGGGTATTCAGGGGCGTGAAAATTGCCTTGGGCAAAGTAATTACCATTTGAGGAAATTAGGATAGAGCTGATGGCGTGAAGATCTCCTGATCTGACAAGCTCTCCAGTCTCTGAATGAGAGTGTTGAAAGTTTTGAAATTCACAAAGCCGCTGACTTTCCGAGTTCTAAGCCTTTGACATTGGCGTATAATGAGTTAGGCATTGGATAATTTCATTCAACCAATGTTTTAAGATACTCTCTCGCCGATTAGCTTAAATGAGAACTGACCCAACATAGTTTTGTCTTAAAGTCGATAATATCTCTTTCAAAAACAATCATTCTGCGTCGGGCCTCATGCACTTGAAGTCTTCTGACATCACAGAGGAGATTTTGACTCTGCTTGTTCCCCGTTGACTTTATTATCATCACCAGAGGATACGCTAACATGGCTGGTCTAAGTCCATACCGCAGAGGTCGTTGAGCATTAGTAAGCTTAATGAACAAGAAGCGTGCATTTTCGCTTAACGTGGGAGAGCATGTGATTCTACCTCAAGCCTTGAAATGACATTACCCCACCTGAAATTTTCAATATGCAAAATAATTGGAGTCTGATTTTTCAGAAAAAAATATATGCTTCAGGCGCTGATTCATGGATTCAAAGGAGATAATTTGACCAAGAATTTCTAACACGCTGTTATGGGGGTATGTGGAGAGATACTGCTGGGTTTTGAGACCTGTGAATGTAGCACCTCTTCTTTCGATAGAAGCAGCATGTTGCACTCTGTCTACTTCTACGTGTTGCATGAGGGTTTGTGTGATTCCTTCATCAAGAAGTGGAAAGATGGAGCGGTGTATTGACTCATTTTTAGTCAGGGTTTTAGATTTCTCTTCATGGGACCGATTTTTCTGTGACCAGGGAGAGAAGGAATGTGCGTGTGAGTGTGTGTGTGTGTGTGAGAGAGAGAGAGAGAGAGCGAGAGAGAGCGAGAGAGAGAGAGAGCTGCATGCAGGAGACCATGCGTCGACACTGACATATCCTCTACAGATTGGCGACACCCTAACGAGCGAGTTCTACAAGAAGGTGTTGGGCTGGGTTGGGTTCTAGTACCATGCCGTCGACCCGAAGTATTGCCTAACAGAAAGTAGTACGAGGTTCTCCACCCGCCATCTCCGAAACGAAGCCTCCGCCCAGATACCCCTTCCTTATTCCAAGTTATTCTTCATCTGCCATCAGTTTCAACAGTCTCGTGGACTCCGCGCTCTTCCAGCCAACCCTTCTCGAGCTTCTTTCTGCCTGTAAGTCTCTCTCCTCTGGGGCAAGAGGCTCTCCTCCACCGCGCAGTAATTCTGGATCTGGTGGGGCGATGGACCTCTAAACCTAGAAACTGAATTTCTCCAGTCACTGAATTATTTCCGCAGAGGAGCGAGAGGGGACGTCCTACTGCTGCGGGCGGCGGCGGCGGGAGCGGCGGCAGCGTATGACGAAGGTGGCGGCGGCGGCGCAGAGGATGGTCAAGACGACCAGGATGAAGACGGAGAACAAGACGTCATAGGGTTCCCGGGTGGACCCGACGGCGTAGGCAACGACCAGCGCCGACACGTCGACGACCACGTAGACCCGCAGGAGGTACAGCCAGCGGTGGTCGCGGAAGGTGGACCGGAACACGAGCATGATGATGATGACGAGGGACTGTGCAAAGGCCACCGTGTTCCCCGCGAGGAAGGTGGCGAACCGGTTATAGTTCTTGTCCCTAAGGACGGGATCGCCAGCGAAGTGGCCCTGCCCTCGGAAGAAGGGCTCGCCTTTGACCGGCCGCGCCGCCATGTCCTCCTGCCAGAAGCCCCCCGGCGGGTTGAGCCCCGCTGTGTAGGTCACCGACGCTACCAGCACCGCCACCACCATCAGGGAACCCCGCATCTCCCTTAGCCATTCCTCCTGCTGTACCGCTCTCTCCTCCGTCTCCGCCGCAACGGTCGACTGCACCTGCGGCGACGACATCGCCGGTGACGATCGACCGGCGATCGTCTCCTCCCCTCCGCCTCCCGTATAGACCCACCCACAAGCTCGCCCTATACAGGCATATATATATATCCATCCCTTGCTCTTTTATCCGCCAAAGTGGGGAGTCAAAGCTCGGAGCTCCGCATTTCGAAGAAGGGGATGAACATTCTGCTTAATTATATGCTAAAACTGCACCCTTTTCAGGTTACTTACGGAGAGGGTGATGCCCGTTGCCTCCTTTGGCGCTCTACGAGGATTTCTTTTGAAAGCGACGCCGTCGACCTGCATTCATTCGCCTTCCAAAGTGGTGGGCTTGCTGGTGGTGGCAAGGATGCACCGCGGGTAATTAAAAAAATAAAAAAAATCCATGTACCCACTGCCCAACACGTATGTATGTATATATATATATATATATATATGTTAGCCCTACGATGCATATGTTCCACCTAGATAGGTATAAGTTGAGACTTTATAGGTAGGCACCAAAGATGGCCTATAAAAGTAATCTCATCGTTTATGTTCTTCCTCCGGGCTTTTTCTCAGTAGATGGCCTCCGAGATCATCGATTTTATTTTATTTTATTTTATTAATCAGCATATCCTTAGCATGGTGATCTTCCAACCCAAGAATCCTCACCGAAAATCAGAAACATTACATACGCTAAATGAATAATTGACCCTACTTCGCCTGCTTTGGCAGCTTCAACGTTGAAAGAAACAAGCGTATGTGGGCAAGAAATGATCGAGTCTACCTTAGACAATGAAAAAAATGTTGGGATAATATGTAATAATTACAATCACAGCAACGTCGATCATGGGTCTTGCCTCCGTTCATTCGAGCTACATTCCTTTGGTAATAATAGTATATAATTACAGCAAGCTGTTCTTCCCCAGGAGGGAAGGAATCAGGTCGATTCAAACGTGTGGCGCTCCCAACCTTCGAGCCGTCGGATGATGATGATGATGATGATGCCTCAGGAAGCTCTGCCTTCAAACCAGACCCACCTGGAGGGCCTGAATATCTGCCGCAAAAGAGCCATCTTGGGCACGTTCCAGTGTTCGACGTGCCTGAAAGGGACGAGCGGCCTTCTCACGAATTCATCCAAAGAAGAAGAAGAAGAAGCTTCTTCAGGGTAATGGGGGTTTACCTACAAACCTTCCCGGAATCAACATCAAAATAATATTCCGTGTAGCCGGTGGCTGGAGAAAAAATAAGAAAAGATACAGCAATCTCGTGAGACACTGATAATATTTAGTATTACTTATTTCATCCATCATTGGGCAACCAGAACGGATGCCATGAGAGAAATCTATTTTTCCCTGGTTGAGAAGAAATCGGAGAGACGCCTGCCAGATCATTCTAAAAGAGGAAAACTGCAATATATATACATATATTGATATTTTTGGAATATTCCAATGGTAGAATACCTGAAAGAATGGGTCTCCAAGGGAATACCATGATACAGCTGAAGCGCCAATGCCCAATCCCTTTGTCCTGATCACGTTACGACTCTACATCAGTACAGAAGAGTAGTTCTTCGGAAGTATTTGGGTTGAAAAGAATCAGGGTCATGAATTTAGTGAGCCGCTTGCCTCAAAATCCTCCCACTTCGTGAGTTTCATGTTTGACTTCACGAGCAGTGACCCAAAGTTTGAGCAATTTCTTTGAAAACGATTAAGGCCTTTGAATGAACCAGCTGGATCAGCAAATTCGCAGTCCTCCTCGTAAGCATTCAGAGTCAAGTCACCTGGGAAAAACAAAGATTATTGATCAGAAAAAAACAAAAAGACATAAAATTGAGAGGAGAAAAAAGTGGGAAAAAATAAGCACACTTTAAAATTAATGATTTTTCTTTTCACATACTGATATTTCAATCGCGTACTGCCACTAGAACTGTCACAGAAAAGAGTCGATGCCCAATTTCTTCCAAAATTTTCCGGAGTTTCCAAAATGCGAAAATTGGAAAAAGATCAAAATTTATTATCTGCCCAACAATCAGAAAACTATCACGTGTAGAACAAGGATACTCCCTGGCATAGTTTCCCAGTTTTTTTTTCTTTACATCAGCATAAGAAGATTCGGGATCAAGTTCAACAGCTAGAAGAAGATTTCTTGATTGACGACTAGATCACCTTCTAAGGTGGGCAGACGAGGGGAAAGACGCTCATCACCATATATTCAATTAGTATGACATGTGGAATATATACAGAAATCATCTACCCCAGGTCCACCCGCTTCAGATGGGTGTGGTCCAATTCAGATATAGAAATCTTTCTACCGTTTCTTCCAGATAGAAATCTTTCTACTATTTCCTGGCCGACCCTGTAAGAGAGAGACGTCTCACCGTGGGGCCGACCCTGTAAGAGAGAGTAAAACTGCAGGGTAACTTTGGCAATAAAGTGCTGTAGAAACTAAAATTCTCAAGGCATCATAGCTCGGCCGTCGATAAGACAGGAAACAGGAACAAGATGCCGAGCGGAGCTGATGGCAGCCGACTTGGGTAACGAGCTACGAGCATACTGGTTTTGTCCGAGTGAGCAGAAAGAAAAAATATGTTGAGAAATTGCAGAGCGAGAGCGCCTGACACGGAAATCCCCAGCGGAGATTAACCGTAATCCAATCCCTCGTACCTGTGACGAAGTACGAACGCTGGAAGTCCTCTTTAATCGACTCAACGACCCGCTCCCTCCCCGGAAGCCCCAATTCTCCCTCCCCAACGAGCGGCTTCTCCTCCCGCTCCCGCAGCTTCTCGGAAGATGGGCGGAAAAACGACGCCGCAATCCCAAGCATCTCCGACCCATACCACGCTGCCTTCAGCACAGCATTCTCGGATCGGCTTCCCCCCTCGTCGTCGCCCTCGGCCTCCTTACCACGCGAGCGGATACCACCAGCTCCTCGCCGGCAGCACACAGGCCGGCGGGAGGCCCCACAGCGGCCGTGGGGGATGCGGGGACTTGGGGACAGCCGAAGAGCGGACACCATCTTCCCCGCAGAAGGAGAAGACCTCCGAGGTTTCTCCTTCCCCTCCCTCAGTGCCTCCCTGCCACTCCTTTCGAATACACAAGTCCCCCCTCTCCCGTTTCCGCTGTCCCGCGCGAGCAGAAACGGCGCCTCTCCTTCTCTGCAGACCACGACGACCGCCATTTGTCGGACCTGGTGGAAGCGGGTAACTTACATTCGTAGACCGCTTCTTCTCACTGCGCTCAAAATAACGTACATTGATTGAGCCGGAAAAGCCCGCAATGTTTTCCAATCATAACACCATCTATTTTGATACGAAAAACGTGGAATAAAAATCGGGATGATAATGCAGAGATGGGATCGTAACCCAAATGAGAAAAAACCCACAAAATTTTGTAGTCATAGTCATATCATAGCTGGGAGAAAAACCCACAAAATTTTGTAATCATGTTCATATCATAGCTTGTGAGAAAAACCAACTTTTGCAGTCATGATCGTATCATAGCTTGTGAGAAAAACCCACCAAAATTTTCAGTCATGATCATATCATAGCTCGTAAAAAAAACCCACAAAAATTTGCAGTCATGATCATATATAGCTCCTGAGAAAAAACCCAATTTTTTTTGTAGTCATGATCATATCATAGCTCGTGAGAAAAACTCACAAATTTTTGTAGTAATATAGCTCGTGAGAAAAACTGAATTTTTTTTGTAGTCATGATCATATCATAGCTTATGAGTAAAACCCATAAATTATGCAGTCACGATCATATCTTAGCTTGTGAGAAAAATCCATAAATTTTCAGTCAAGATCATTGTTAGAAATAAGTGAATAATATCTATTTTTCCTTTTACAATTTCTAGTCCTTTTATTTTTCTGTTCATTGTATATCGTAATAAGGTTATAGACTAGATTCGCCTGGACTAAACCAGTTCGGATTCAACTGATCAAGTTCTCACTCTCCCGTCTTATGATGGGTGGTGAGGATATATACCAACTAATGTGTAAACCCTTGAAATGAATAAAAATTTTGGGCTCTAACCTTTCTTCTCTCTCTCATGTATCTTTCATGTGTTTGCTAGCATCATTGCGAGAGAGGACAAACAGGAGTAGCTTGGAGGAGATCAGAGGCCTGCCAATCTATTGACATGCTTAGAGCCAGGTGTGATCACCCCAGCATCTTTTAATCTCTTGATTTCTTCATGAGCAGCAGTTTTTTTACTTTGGGTGTGAGAACATGACTTTGTGACTTGTTGGACAAGCCACTAGATCACTTGCTGATTCTACATTATCTAAGTGAGAATCCAGCACAATTAACTTACAGAACATGAATTGTGGATTGTGTCTTGAGTCATAGATTGATTCTTTTCCTTGGAACACATTGACTTGATTCATGAGTTTGTAGGAATGTTTGAAGAAACTTTTGCAGCAGAACACGAATAATCTTAAGTTGTAAGGACATAACCAAGAGTTAACTATAGAGACTTGCCAATTATACCTCAAAAAGATCAACTAGATGGTAGAAATTACTTTGGGTTGTCTAAGTAGATTTAAGTTATCTTTATAAGGATGGAGAATAATTAATCACTTACATTGTCTAAGTTCAAAGGTTGGAGATTTCAGGTTTTAAACTTGGGATCAAAAGGATTTGAGAATCATAGCTTGGATGTGGACCATTGAGATATGTTGAACCTGTTTGTACATACCTACAGCTAGAGACATCGGAAAATTGAAGTGCAAGATGTTACAACTTTATAATTTAAAAATATAGATGATGACATAGGAGGCAATAGAGGAAATCAATGACATAATGTAATCATGAGGTGAGAACATTATGACAAGAATTTGATCAAATATAAAATTATTGATATGAGGGATCCATGATCACTTTGTAAGATTGAATTTTGAATATGATCAAGTCAGCATTCATATCATAAGAAGAGAGAAATTACCTCCTCTAAATGAAGTAATCTCTCAAATTAGGGGAGAAGAAATTCATTGGAAAATAATACTTGGTTCCCAAAATGTAGACCATTCAACATTTGTGATCAGAAATGGCGAGAATTGTGAATTAAAGGTGTACCTTCAAGACTAGAGTAGACTCCTAGTAATGATTTTTGAGACAAGCTATGTTGTACACATCATAGAAAATCAAGGCACACAATTAACAAGTGTTATAAATTACATGAGAGGCCTCCAAATTATGAATGGGGACAAAAAAAAGGGTAGTAGATGAGTGGAGATCAAGCACACATTATTGTTGCACAAAAAGGGAAAGTTAATACCTCAAATCATAGACAAACTACTATAGAAGAACCTCCACAAGTTCAAATACCACAAGTTTTGTGCTTACTTTCTCATTTATAAGTAACTCAAAGAAGTTCAAGTATCAAGATCACTTTGATTTGTTGATTCAGGTGGTACATAGCATATGACTTGTGTCTCTCATCTATTCAACTCCTATGCCCCTTGTCTAAATAATAGAAAAATTACCACAGTCATGGGTTCCTTAGTCACAATTGTTGGAACAAGAGACATCCATCTATCACTATACATTATTTTGAAAAACATACTTCATGTCCTTGTGTTAACCACCACCTCATTTCTATTAATAAATTTACATGAGACCCAAGTAATGTTACCTTTAATCCTAATACTTGTCTGTTTTTTGACAAGATGTCTAGGAGGATGATTGGACATGATAGAGAATAGAGTGGGCTCTATTATTTGGACTTTTTAGGTCAGTCAAACATAATAGTAAATCATAATAACATTCTTAAGGATCTTGATATGTGAAACATGAACAAAATTCAACTTCAACATTGAAGATTATGATATTCCTATTTTTTTATTCTGATTTTTTTTTCAAAACTTAAATATATTTGAATTCATGAAGTATATAAATTTGTAAAACATCGGATAATTTCTTCTCTGGAAAATAATACGAAATGTTCAATACCTTTTTTTTTGTGTTCATAATGATATACACCCACACCTAGCACTTAGTGGAGCTAGGTGGGTTATCACCTTTATTGATGATTGTACACAAATGATGTAAATTGTTTTGCTTAAAATAAATTCAACTTTAGTATGACACTCATGTGATTCTATCATCTAATAAAAACTTAGTTTGAGACAACATTTAAGAGATTTTGATCCAATAACACAAAAGATTACTTCAATGAAAACTTAATTTCTTATTTTTAGAAGGAAGGTATATTATTACCTAAGTCATTGTGTGTTTAACACATTCAATGAGGAGCTTTGGCCCTTGTAGGACCTCTATTGATTTGGCAATCCATGTGAGATCCTTGTCAATATTGAGGGGATTGAGGGAGATCCTTAGCAATCACTTTAGCATCTAGTCTTGCTTTCTTGAGTGGGGAGATGTGGAAAAAAGGATGTATTCTCCCAGAAGCTGGTAGGTTGAACTTATATGCCACGACTTTGATTCACTCTAAGATAGATATGACCTGAAGAAGTGTAGAACAAGCTTCTTATAAAGTTATCAGCCCAATGATTGTTGTTAATATGATTGAAGTTTGAGGTAGATGACATTCTTTAGTTACATCTTAATGTCATGTCATCTGTGATCTATATGTATCTTCATCTTGACTTGGGCACATTAAAGGTAGAGCTTGAGTTGCATGAAAGTTTGGTCCCTCTCTCATAAGAGCTAATCAACGTCAATTGTCTTGACAACATATGGTTCATACCTCAATAGAAGGGGGGTTGTTGTGGTCATAAATAATTTTGAATGGGGTGAAACTTGAGATCGAGTTGTAGTTAGTATTAAAAGAAAAATTTCTCTAAAAACCCTACTGACTTTATTTCCGCAGATGATCCCTTATAAAACAATCTAAGTTTCCAAACTATTGTTAATCACCTCTAACTATGTCTATTTAGAGATGGTATGAGCTTGTCTCTAACACCATAGTAGAACCATACAAATTTGGTCTCAATCTGTAAAGATAGACTCTAGGAATCCGTAAAACTATACGACATCTTGGATGAAAATCAACACTACATCTTTTGTTATCAAGTGATGCCAAAGAGCTCAAAGTGAACAAATTTACTTAGTCAGTCCATAATGATTAGGATTGACTTGTATACATCTAATCTTAGTAGTACTTTGATAAAATTTATGTTGATATCTACTCAAATTTAAACCAAGCTTGAGAAGGGTTGGAGTGGGCTGTCGAGAACTAAATTTTTTAATTTGTCCTATTATCAGACCTCACAACTAGTGACGAACTTTTAGTTGTATAATTTCATGCCCTTCCAATGAACATTCTGTATGACCCGGTGATACATTCTTTGGAACCCATAATGTCCTCTAATGATTGAGCTATGAAACTCCCACAATATGTGAAGAATGAGCTGCAGGTTTTCCAAGATGATGAGTTGTCCTTAATAAAAAAGTTGTTCTCATTGTAAGGAGTAATGTATGTAGCACTTTGGTTGCTCCATGATCTTAGAGAGAAATGGGTTGAATACGTTTTATTTGGTCATGATCTATCCATTAAATATCTTTGGTTGACTCAGTCACCTGTAAGAGATTGTCAATGGAGTCTTGAGACAAGGTGTATACGGTCTTGTTCTTGCTCTTAGTTTTAAATTTAATTTCAAAATCAAAGCCATTTTTGATATTCTAAGAGTACTTGACGTTGTTCCATGATGAATTTCATACTCCTTTGATCCATGTAAATCATAAATCTCTTACCTAACATGTAGTGCTTCCACTTCAAGATTGCAAGCACTATGACAATTCTTGTTGTTAAACTATCTTCAACTTCTCCACCATCATTACTAAAGTAAGTGATAAGTTGAAATTGTTGTATCAATACTATGATGACTCTCTTGCTATAGGCATATGCTTCAAGCTCAAACTTCTTGTTGAAGTTTGAGAGTGTGAGCACTGAGTTGATCGAGAGTGTAGTCTTGAGTTGTTGAATGGTCGCCTTGACTTTTGATCCCCAACTAAAAGCTTCATACTTTAGCATCTACATTAATAGTTAGGCAATGCTCCCATAATTAACGATAAACTAAAGTAATATCTTATTAAGCCTAAGAATTTGTAGAGCTCTCTAAAGTTATCTAGCGATAGCCAATGGAGTACCACTTCAACCTTCTCTTAGTCAACAACAACATCATCTATAGAGAGGCATTGCCTAAGGTAAGGGATGTTTTACACCCCATAAGAGCATTTCTTAGAGTTTAGATAGAGATGATGATCTCCATCAATGGAGATACTCTTAGAGCATTTTCAAGATAGTAAATATCTAATGGAGATACTTTTCATGTTCAACATGATTCCTATTGTAAACTAGTATATCATCAAAGAATATTATAACAAACTTCCATAGATATTTATTAAAAATTCTATTCATCAGGGCTTAGAAGATGGCTAGGGCATTGGAGACTGATAAGTCTTCATTATCATGAGTTAATAATTAGTAAATAATATAGTTTTAGCCTTAACTCATGATAAATAGACTTATATTTGTGTTAAAGTATGATTTATGGTTTTCAGTTGATTAACGTGAATTGTTGGGTAATTATGTGATTTTATACGATTTTTACAGTCTTACTTTTGAGATAAATGAAGAACAAGAAATAAAAATAAAAATATTGTAAAATGGGGGGACCCGTCGGCCAGTCGGGCCCGCAAGCAGGTCAGAAGCGCAGTCGGGGAGTAGCCGCGAGTAGGGGCTCGAGCGGCTTAGCTTGGACCGATAGGGGCACGTGTGCGCCACTCCCCTTCCACGTCACCGGTGGCCAGCCGGCTGTGGGGCAAAGAGTAGTCATACACGTGAGAGAAGGGACTTTGGTTAGAAAGCTAACATTACTATATATTCGCCCGAAAAATCGGCGCACAACCGATGTGGGACTAACCCGCGTCACACCTTCCTCAGAGGCAGGCGACCGACGTGGGTTCGAATCCTCCCAGAGTCAAAATTCATATATTTTTATCTGATTATCGCGACTTTCCTGCAGATCGCCGGTGAAGGATTAAGCAATGAGAATTGCTGGATCATCGACGAAAATCTCGTCAACATGATTCGCGGAGCATTGCTACTAAAATTGCTGAACGATTCGCGATAAAAGGATCACGAATCCATCGAGTAAATCATCTCCGATTGATCGACGAACAAGCCGTTGTCAGGAAGAGGACGATCTGCCGGGAGACGAGTCGCCACCTCTTGAGAGCGTACCGAATGCGATGAAGAGCCTCCTCTTGCTGTGCGGACTTGAGGATGAAGCTCCCTGACACGCCCCCCACCTCCATTCAGCTCTTCTCCATCGGGTGACAGCCGCCAGAGAGCCGCAAAGTTGCTGTTTTTCTGCTCCGCTGGGTGACAGTCGCCGGAGAAGATTTGACGACCTATTTCATTAATCTCTAGACTTCGCGAGAAGATCTAGAGATTGCCCACATCGTCTTTGTCCAAGGAGAGCCTTCGAGGCCGTGGACACTGCACGACAATCCTCCCGAACGCTCAGGATTCCAGTGCATCGCCGACGCATCGCCGTCGCGACGCCGGAACTCTGTTTTCCTACTTTCAATTTACTTTACGCTTCATTTAGTGATAATTTTTGTGTTTTTAATTTACCAAAATATACTTTGTTCTATTACGATTCTTCCGGCTTTTACAGATCTTAATTTGATTAATTAAATCGTCTGTAATCGCTTACGTAAGAATCGCTGGGCGGAACTCTATTTCCGCCCGATTCGCGTTCGCCGGGCGCTGACGTCATCCTGACATTCGCACCCTTATTTTCTTTTTTCGTGAATTTTAAATATATTTCCTTTTCAATTCTTAGTATAAATTCATAGAAAATCGTATGCTTTGAGGAAAATTCTGAATAATTACCAGATATTATATTACATCCATGTGATCGACTTGGAAAATTATTGCTATTTTTGAAAGTTTTATTGAATTATAATTGACATATTTATTCAGAAATACTTCTAAATATCCAAAAATTCATATTTTCTAGTTTTATAAATTTTATATTTGCGTGATTTAATATACAATGACTGAGTCACGTCAGAGACCTTGAATGACACTATGAAGAACTCGTAATGGTCCTCATGAGGAACTCATAATACTGTGGAAGGTTAATTTTGAGACATCTTCTATTTTCACTCAAATTTAGTGATATTTTAAGTGTAAGTCTAAATTTAAAAAAACTCTTAAGCTCTTTATAATTCATTAACTAATAGATTTCAATGGCTGTTTCACTCATATTGACTCTTCTTTTGAGTGCCTTGAGCGTGTGAATTCTTTGAACTTTTAAAAAATTAGCATGCATGATCACTTGTTTGGTTCTCATTTGGAAGGATAATGTCCAACTCTTAAATCTAGCTTGACTTTTTTTTAAGACTTTATTCATCGGAGTCTGAAGATCATGTCCATGGTTGCCAAGGGTAAGATTAGAAATTCCTTACAAATCTTGGTGGTTTGTATGTCGACTGAGATCCTATGGTGCTTGTATGTTGGTCACTTGTTTTTGCATATTAGTGATCACTTGAAAGTCCTTAGTATTTTTTATTAGCAAGTTGAGTTCTTTGACCAGAGATTGATTAATAAAATTCTGGGTGGCCCCAGTATCCACCAAGATGACAATCAATCATCTATTAATAGTTCTACAGAATTAAGAGATCGGATAAGTTCTTCTCTAGATAGAGAATGTAAGGTTACCTCTAGATGAACTAGTTCTCCTTCTTTTGTCATGGTGAATGACTTATCCTCACTCTTCTCTAGTGTCTCTAATAAATAATCCATGTTAGAGGAAGTGAGCATGATGTGCAACTACCTCTTGTAGTGGTGGCCAAGTGAAAACTTCTTATTGTAGTGATAGCACAAGCCCTTGGGACAATAGACTTGAATTTTAGTTGCTCCGTTGGTCGGGTTAGTTGTTTGCTTGAGATAGAGTAGAGGCCTCATGAGATCTTCTATCTTTGCCTCTTCTAAATTTCGATATATGTGGTCATATGAGGTCAAGGTTAGATCCTTCTATTTTCATTGTCTTGATGGTTCATGTCTTCCTTGTAGCCCCCAATTTGACAAATGTATTGATTTTTAACTCGATTTATTGTGTTGCTTGTATCATTTCTTCTAATTTGATTAGATTTAAGACACATGCTTCTATTTAGATGTCCTTGTGGAGTCCTTTGAGGAAAGACCCTTCCAATATGTCCTTTAGGATGTTGTAAAGTACCCTGGATAACAACTTGAATGCTTTGATGTATTAATCCATGATTCCTTCATGAGTAAGCTCCAAAACCACAAGTAAAGGATGTTTACCTTATTAGATATGAATTGAGTTAGCATCAACTATCTCAAATCTTCTCAACATTGAAATGATCTTTGTTATTCCACTCATTTGAGTCAATGTAAAGCCCACCATTCCATGCTGAGGCAGGGGCTTTAGCAAGTTTTTTGGCTGCAATTAAGTGATATATGTTGAAATAAATTTATGTGCAAAATAATCATCCCTCCAAGTCATGACCATCGAAGATCAAAAGCTCTTGTTGTCAATTTTGGTTGGGATCGCCAAGAGTATGTGAATGAGGGTTTCCGGTCAATCCAAATATAAGGGGGTGTGGAAAATGAGGTTGAACTTTATTTTCTATTGTTGGATCCCCTAGAAGCACTAGAGTCTGCCCATGACTAGACTCCCCCATATTCCACTCTCCACATAGGTTGTCAAAACTTTTTCTTTGCTAGCTTGGCCTTAACCTAAGGTCATTTGGTGCTGTAGACCCTCAAGGTGCATGTGATGGCAATCAATTGTTATCGCATTTCCTTCCAAACCTCTTGATTTCCCGCCTGATCCTAGAGATTTAGAGGTGGACTTTTTTGACCTTTTCCTCTATGCCTTCCCCCAATGACTTTTGCTCTCATGCAAATATCAACTAGAGCTTTGATACCACTTTGATGGGTACCCAAGGATTGAGATAAGATAAAAAGAGAATGTCTCTTACTAAAATGATAAAATAAGAAGATAGCTTTGAATTGTAAGACCATCTTACAAAAATTAGTTCACCAAATGAGACATACACTAACTTCAAGACTACTAAGAGGGGAAGATAACCAAGGGAGTCAACTCACAAGTGATGTCCCTCGAGAATGGTAGGAGGAATAGGGGCATGGCTACTTCAAGAAGGCCAATTTTCAAGACTCTCTAGATGTTCCTCCTATTCCCCTTGAGTCTAGGGTTCTTTAATAGGAGTATTTGTATAGGAAAGGTCGATTGTTTCCTAGTCTCAACATTAGAGTTGCCCTACCATCTACTCCAATTGTCCCTCAAGCTCTAGCCACCAACAGCTCACTGCCCCTTGTCAAGGTCTAGGCCTTAAGGAAGGTTGTCTTGATTGTTCTACCCAAATGATTTGAGGGACCTCTTTCCATGTGGATGCCCTTAGGTCACAAGGACCTCAATAAATACTCCCAAACACAAAAAGAGTATGGCTGCTATTATCGTCAAATAAAAAAAATATTATTTCAAGAGATGCTACCTTCAATGAGAAAGAATCATATAACACATCAAATCAGCATGAGAAGATTCAAACTTTAAAGGATCTATAATTTTATTTTTTTACATCCTATCTAGGATTTATTATCAAACTTCAAATTTGTTCCAATCAAACTACCTATTATTGAACCTATTCTTAATGAAGAACCCAAAAGAGGAAAAAGAAAGATATGCCATGAAACATTAATATTTAAAGATTTCTTTTGAGCAGGGGCAATGGGAGATTGAAATTTAACTCTAAAGGTATTGAGCCCATTGCCTTGAGACTCACCAGCCACCATTTGTTCAATGTAGACCTGCCCAAAACCTCTTGCTCCCATCATTCTCTCTACCTTGTATCATGGGAAATTTTCGACCTACACTAGTCAATTTTGGATATAACGTTTTTATCATCAAGATGTGGTGTGCTTTGAGATGGGGAGAAAAAGTTCTCTACATTCTTCTAAAAGGAAAGGAATGAGAGATGTCAAAGCATATATTTGATCCAAGATGGGAGACATTGCCACTTTCTCTTGAAGCTTGACAACCTCTTCTACACTTCCTCCATTCATGCTGATTTGTCAACAAGACAGCCTACCATCAAATTCTGATGACTTTTGTAGGTGAGGAATAATGTTAGGGAGGTGTAGATATAGATGGTGCGGTTTCATTGGTGGGTATAAATAACATTGAAGTTGTAGATCTGAGCCCCCATATGAATGACACTATGAGTAAGAAGACAGTCCTTACTACTGTAATTTATTACACATTGTCTCCATCTAAAATTATATTCTTTGTCTAACTTGGTTATTATGGTTTTAGTCATCTCAAGAGATGTTAAGAATTACATAAGGTATACTACAAGGGTCACTAAATAGACTTTTTGTCTTGGTGGGGATAAGAGTCTTTCATTTTATTGTTTCATTAAATTGTATTTTTTATTAAAAGCTAATTATGATATTATTAATAATGATTGTTGTAGATTAGAGACATCCTTAGATCAAGTCTTCTAGACATATTCATATCCATTGGACAAGTGTAAGAAAATAATCTTGACTTCATATTCAAAATTAGTATTCTATTAAAAATTATGCTAGTGGGTTTTACTAACTCCTTGAACATGATGCCACCAAGAAAGAAAATGCTTTAGAATTGACACATGTTCAAGATTCATCTCAGAATAAGTCAAATGAGACATCTCACACCAGCACCTTACTTATTGATGAGGACCTACTTATCACCCTTTGAAGAGGGGTAAGAAAATGTTCTAAAAAACTGTTATATCTTATGACACTTTTTTTATTCTATGACGTATCATCACATTCACACACGACATTCGTATTTAACCAAAATTCTATCTCAATCCTAACTTTTTAAAAAAATCTTTAACCTGTGAGAAGTGGAGACAAGTTACGAATGAGGAGATGAAGACTATGAAAAAAAATGATACTCACTAGCTTGTCTATCTACTAATATGGAAGAAAGTGTTTGGTTTCAAATAGGTCTATACAATTATCATGCAAATGAATCTGTAGAAAGACACAAAGTCTAAGTTGATAAAAGATACACACAAACTTATAGAGTTAATTACCTTGAAACTTTTACACTAGTAACAAAAATGAATAAAATCAAGACCATTAACAATTACCTTTGATTGAGATATTTAGAAATTTGATATTAAAAAATTATTTTTACATGAAGAATTAGAAGAAAATTTTTATATGGAAGTATCACATGGATATGAGAAGAACTTAGATACTAATATGGTGTGTAAATTGAAGAAAGCATTTTATAGATTGAAACAATCTCTTGGGGCTTGATTTGATATATTTATGATGGTTATGCTCAAGATAGAATATAAACAAAGTCAAAGTGATCACACTTGATTTATCAAACATCTATCTTTAGGGGGAGTCATGATCCTAATAATATATGTTGATGATATAATAATAATTGAAAATGATGATATAGAAAAAAAAGCTTCTCACTCAATGTTTATCTCAAAAAATTGAAATCTAAGTGCTAACCCAAGAATTAACTGGCTTGTTAGTTGGTATGGAAGTTAATTCAAGAATTCTTTTTTCCTGTCTCAACAAAATATGTGATAAAACAGCTTGCTAACCAGCTAGCTCTTCAATTGATTTTAATTTGAAGCTAAGTGTAGATGAGGAAGACAATTGATGTGGATAAAAAGATGTATCAATGATTGGTAGGTAAATTGATCTACTTATCACATACACAACCAGACATAACTTATGCATCAACAATTACACAGTAATTCACCAATTCATACGCATTTCAAAGCTTTTCAAGCAATAGTGTGTTTTACGTTATCTAAAGGGAACACCAAGAAAATGAATTTTATTCAAGAAACATGATCATCTAATACTTTAAGTATACACAGATTTTGATTATGTTGGATCTGTTGTGGATCGATGATCAACATCTGGATATTCTATATTCCTTGGAGGAAATCTTATTACTTAGAGTAGCAAAAAACAAAATACTGCATCTAAATCAAGTACAGAAGTTGAATTTTGTGCTATGAACCAGGTATTTGTAAGATGTTATGAGTCAATATCATCTTGAAGCATTTGAAGATCAAGATAAATGATTAAATGAAGTTTTATTGTGATAATAAATTGGCCATTAGTATTGCTCACAACCATATTCAACATGACAAAACCAAACATAAGTAACTTCATAAAAAAAAAAAAAAAAGAGTAAATCTGTACTACATATGTGCCTATGACTCATCAAATTACAAATATATTCACAAAAGAATTACATAGCAACATCTATTATCTCATCTCTAAACTAGGAATAGACAACATACATTCATCAGCTTTAGGGAGAGTGTTAAAAAGAAGTTAATAATCTCTATTTTTCCTTTTATAATTTCTAGTCCTTTTATTTTTCTATTCATTGTATCTCATAATAAGGTTGTAGAGTAAACTGGTCTAGTCTAAACCAATCTGGTTCTCTCTCTCCCGTCTTATTATAGCTGCTTGATATAAATACCTACCAATGTGTAAGCCCTTGAAATGAATACAAGTCTAAGGTCTCAACATTCCTCCCTATTGTGTATCTTTCGTGCATGAGATAGGACAGACGGGAGGAGCTAGGAGGAGATCAAGGGCCTGCACATCTAGTGACAATCACATCATAGCTTGTGAGAAAAACCCACAAATTTCATAGTAAGGATCATATCATAGCCTGTGAGAAAAATGCACAAAATTTTACAGTCATGATCATATTAGTTCATGAGAAAAACCTACGAAATTTTGCAGTTATGATCATATCATTACTTGTGAGAAAAACCGACAAAATTTTGCAGTCATGATCGTATCATAGCTTATGAGAAAAACCCACAAAATTTTGCAGTCATGATTATAAAATAACTTGTGAGAAAAACCCACAAAAAATTGCAGTCATGATCATATCATAACTTGTGAGAAAAATCCACATGGAAGAGACCCCATCAACCTGATCACATCCAACCAAGGTCTAACTGACAGAGAGAAATTGACCAAAATGGAGAGACTAGCAGTTGGTTCTGTACACTCCCGGTTGGAGATGCAAGAGCCCAGCAGCTTCGCTATCCTTCCAAGTTACAAAGCCCAAGGGACAACCAACTCCAGCGGCATTTCAGTCTAATCTGTCTTCTTATCAAGTTCATCGAGAGCTGCCAGCCTCTCCACCAGTGGGGGATGTGAGTAATGATAGGCCGAGTACCATGGATCGGTGTTCATAGCCGACAGGTTCTCCTCCTGCACAGAAAGAACCCCCCACCGATTTTAGATGACCAGTGTAACAATTACTGCTCAAAATCGTTGCCCCTTGGTTCCCAGCCCATGTGATATATAAGACGCAAAGCAAGCATGATGGGTTTTTTTTCAAAGAGGAAGGAAATATTAAGTCCCCAGACATTGATCAGAGGTAAAAAATAAAAAATTAAACATGCCAAATTATGATAAGAGGCAAGGTAGACTAAAGCTGTGGACTGTTCATTTGTCTTCCTTAACTGTGAGAAATGGAAGGAAATCATCCGTGTTATCTCATCAGGATTGGCGATTGGAGGGCATGTGATGGATGATGCTCCATCAGAGCTTGTTTCCATGAAGGCTTGGGGAGGTGATACGCCCTCCCCCAACCCCAATGATTCGATGAGAAATTGGGAATGATCCAGGAAAGGACATAACGCAGCTCAAAAATGGGGAATATATGTTTGACTTTGCTAATAAAATGCAGATTTTGACTTAAAATATAATTGAATTACTTAATAGTTGGTACAATAATGTCTAATTCTGTAGTTGACTTTTATTATTTACTTTTTTTTCCCCTCTTGAAAGCGGATTTCAAGCCTCTGACCGGGTCCCTAGTCAACGTTGGACTTAAATCCGATGTAGTCAGTGAGAGGATGAGAGATTAAAACATAGAGATGAATCAGGAGAAAGCGAACCCATGAGAAAATAAAATTATATGAAAAATTAAACCAAATAAAAACGCCTGTGCTGAGGAAAAAATTATATATAGCTCCTCTCATGAACAACTGAAAGCATTTGACTTTTCATAACCCTAACTGGAAGTGCCCGACTTACAGTCAGCAGAGTCCGACATATTAAGTTAACTCACCTGCAACTTCACAAGAGCTGCACGAAGAGATGCAGCAAAACCGAGCTTCTTTCCAAAAGCATCAGCCTGTATACCACCATGAGAAACAGAAAGGGTTTGAAATCTGGTCTGAAATGGTTGCGCAGAGCCCTAAAAAAAGTGAAAAATTTCAGAGAAATTGGAGCGGACAACTTGAGCATCTCTACCTGGAATTCAAAAGCGCGGCTGATAAGATTAAGCCCAAAACTTACAATATGCTGGAGAGGTATAACAGTATGCTGCAAATGAGAACACAATTGAGGGTATGTCAGGGAGAACTTGCGAACCATATTTTGGTTTGGAGAGGTTTATAGATGATGCAAATAATAGCCCAATATCAGACAAGTTAAAGCCTCATTGGTGGAGAAGATATCTTCAGTGCTTGTCCAGCTGAACAGCTAGTTAAAACTATCAGGTAACCCAAGCCTCTGAGTGCATGGATGTCGCAACTAAGGTGGCCAACCCCTAAGAAATCTTCAACAGAGAAACTGATTACAGGAACAGTTGTTTAGAGAGCTTTCTTTAGGCACAATCTGCTACAGTTAGCACGGGTAGTTTCCTAAACAATCTTGGTCTGATATTTTCCGCAATGGTCAGATTCATAACCACTTAGCCAATAACGCTTCATCAAAAGGACCTGAAGGAACAAACCCCAGTTCCTGGAACTATTTTGGTCAACACGACTAAGAGTCAACATTGGAATAAAATTCGTGAGTAATATTTTCAGTGACAAGATACATCGAGTATGCTAGTGAAGAATGCAAATCACTGACAGAAAATTGATAACTTTCTAGACCAACAGCGATCTAGAAAACAAGCTGTGGGGACTTGGACAACTGATGCATTGAAATTAGTGAAACAGTTGAACAAAATACCTGAAATATCATCAGACCAATGAGCACAGGTTGTGTGTCAAAACCAAAACTGCGAAATAGATCCTTTGAATTCCTCACAAGAGTGTAGCCTCCGAATTGCAGAAATGAAAGAACCTGAGATAAAATATAAAAAATTATATCATTTGTCGCAGTTAACACGGACAATTAAATCTCTGAAGTATTTTTTTTGGTTTGTCCATTGCAGCATAAATGGATGAAGTCTCTAAGATCATATCAGGAAGCATCTTTGGCGTACACAGTTCATAATTGCAAGAAAATGCACAACACAGAAAATTTTAAGATCTCTTATCCGGAGATTCGAGATCCACAGATAAGATTTCTTCGAAATTATCATACCTGGACAGCAATGAATGAATACATCGTGTGATTGAGCTTCCAATGCCCAAGTTCATGAGCTATAACAGCAACAATCTCATCCTCGTTTGCGCACTGCAAAAATTTCTAGTTAGCTATACGAGCCCACTTTAAATGCTTTCAACTTTTATGAAAGATGTAAACTGTACACTGATTTACATGCGCTCTCTTTTAGGTGTAATAGGATTACATAAGCATATGCAAAATCTGGACAAGCCAGAATTTTACAAGAAAAGAATCAACATAGTTTTGTAATGAACACAGGAATCAACCTCAGACTCACAGAGAGTATAATTACCACTGTCTGTAAGTACCTACGGATCTATTGAAATACTGTGTACCTGTTGGATCAGTGTGTCATAAAGAACAATACGCTTGTTCTTGAAGAATCCATACATGTAAGCCTGCCAAAAAATAAGAAATATAACTTAAAAAAGTGAACCACATGAACATCATTAAAGAGAACCGGAATGACAATAACAGAAATGATAAACATGGCAGCCGTAATTGCGCTACGAACACTGCTATTTTTCATTGGGGGGTTTTTTGTTTCCAAACCTACTCTTTGTCAAGGTAAAAAGATAAATAGATAGAAATCTGTTGGCCAATGCGTCTGATGCACATGGTGATATTTCTCACAAAGTGGCCGTCCCAAACTCATTATATTTTTCTCTAAAACCAAAAATATTTTGGGTAACAAAATACTGAACATCAGATGAATACGCCAAGTAATCATCAGATGCCTAGTTGCCAACTCCTATTTTCTTCAAAGAATATGGTTGAAACGGTGGAAGCACAGAAAACAGCATGGCCATCACTATAACCCCATTGTTGTATCCAATAAGCACCAAAACTTTCAAATATGTTATCAGGATACAACGTTACATTCTTTAACATTAATCCCTGAAAGGAAAGCTATTGCTAAGCCCGTTTCCTATTAGTATGCGGTGTTCATCACCACCATAAGGGGTAGGTGTGCTCTTCTTGAACAGACACTGTAATCCAAAGATACCTGACATCAATACTTCTGTTCATTGTGTGCACATATGCGAGTTAGCCTATGGCATGCATCATTGCCAGATTTATCAGACTTCACAAGAAGAGTTGACAATGCACTTTCAACCACGTGCCATACTTGTTAGACAAGCTATCCAACATGAATACTATTTCTGATTCGAGTATCCATACAAAACGAGGCCAATTCCTGGTTTCCAAATCTTAACTCATCGAAGAACAAGCAAGCTTACGAATTAGGCTCCCTACTTTAAAACAAATGAATGAATTCTCTTCCGTGTGTTCACAGCATGCTCAGTCTGGTACACTCGATTCTCAGATTTAGAAATGTCTGGCTCAGTTCAGATATTATTTATAAAAAAAATACATTTAGCGTTCCTATGCTCTAAGGAAGATTATTCTAAATTCAATTTGTTTTCCCCCTCATGCCAATCTGTTGTCACATGTCATGTGAATACGCATACGTTGATATAATTTTAGTGGTATCTCATGAGCCATATCAATGCATTACTCATGAAATGAACTGCCAGGCCAAAACTGAAATAACGTAACTTCTGCATCCACCTTTAGCTACCTCAGCATCTTCATTTATGATTATGCCAATAGCGGTCCACAAACAAGAACTTTTTTGCATTAAATTTATATTAGCAAAGGCATTTCTTTACACACACCCAAGTTCTCTAAAACAATTAGAAAAAACAAGGATTAAACGAGGATAACGACAGAATTACTATGGCACTTCCTACGATTGCAATGCTGACCACTAAATTATGGTTATGGAAGCAAAATAAAAAAAAAATGAAGGGTTTCAGCTTTAGCTGGGGAAATTACAAGCGTCTGGGAATTGTGAACAACAACTCAGCACCCTTACGATCCATCATAAGTTTCTAAGTATACAACTGATTTTGGAACTGGACTTCGCTCCTATTTCTTACTCTTCTCGAATCAGGAATTGGATACAACATATACCAAAGTTGATACTTAAAGCTCACCCAATACTTACAATGTATAATTTCACATAGTCATCCAGTAGCTTCACTTAGATTAGTTATCACGAATTATTCAAGCACAAAGCTGGGGAAAATGATTAAAATGTTCTTTTAATACCTTCATCTTAGAATTTTTATCATGAACTATTCAAACAGAAGAAATAGGAAAAATGATAAAAATATTACTTTAACATCTTTAAAAGCACTACTTCATAGCCATCATTAAACCTTAGGGGAGTATGTAAAAGGTAAAATTAGTTTTTTCGATAGTTTTCTGCTGTACATACACAACATTCCTTCATAAGGGTCTAAAGACCTGTTCAAAATCATGACAGATGAAACTTGGATCAGTTACTAAAATTATCGAACTTCATCTTCACAAGGATCTATGAAGTAGATCACCCCACAATGGAGTTCAATAGAGTAATAATCACCCCACAACAGAGTCGCAAAAGCCTAGATTCCCATGAGATTAACACCGAATCCTAACGAGTTGCATGGACGTCTCTAGAGCAAATTACATTCAATTCGTCAGCAACAAAAGCTCAGTGGCATCATTATCTGCACTTCCACTGCCAACTTGGAATGAGGACGAACAGGAAATTTATATGTCACAACTATTGTCATGGTCACTCGCTGCCCACTCTTGTAGTGCTGCTGCATGTTTCAACTTCCCCTCTTCTTCCCCACCTTCACAATTCACCACCACTATACAGACCTCTTCAGTCTCCCCAGTCACTGACTCATCCATTACCTGCCCCCATCTTCTGATGCTGCAAATTGAATGAACGCTAGTGGGGATTGGGTGAAATGACGAGGAGTGGGTTTAAATAGTGTTGTTTCCATCAGAGTTTGCTTGAAATCTTATTATCTCTTGACCGTTGATGAGAAGTTATAAATCAATCATTATTATTATCAAAAAATATCCCAAAAACTGCAAACCACACGAGTCAAACGAACATCTTTGATCTGATTTCGTTCCTTGGTTTCACTGAGTCGGGCTCAGTAGTGTGGAATGTATTGATAAAGAAAAGGCCAAGGGGAAATCAAAAAATTGAAAGAAAAAAAGAAGTGATATGCAAGCAGATCGTCCAAAATATGTAGCCACAAGAACAAAGTAGTTTACACGCCATGCATTTCATGCAAACGCTTTAATCAAAAATTCACGATGTACGATCATCCCTGTTAAGCATCCATGGCTGAATGGTTAAAGCGCCCAACTCATAATTGGCAAGCAACAACAATGAATCCACAAAGGCAAGGCTCCATAAGGGGAGCACAAACTTTGTATCAACTATTCACATGCAAGAAGAATAAATTTCATTCAGATTAGCACCTTTCAATTATCCTTACGGTAATGACTAAATGGTCAGGTGTAGAAAAATATTATGTTAATTTAATAAAACATTAAATACTAATCAATAAAAAATTGTCAAACTACAGACGTAAGAATCCCCACCAGATGAAATTATAATTCATAGAAAGACGATACAAAAGGGAATGAAAGGGAAAGTAAGGCAGAGTGAAGGACTGCATACTCACATTGCTGTGACTTGATCTCGTAGATCCATCAACAACAAAAAGCTTCTTAAGAGGAAAACTTAAAGAGGATGCTAACTTTTCAATCTTCTCTCTCAGGGTTCCTTCAGGAAGCTGTCTCAACATTCCAGCGTTGTAGTTGATATAGACGAACAAGAGAAATAAATAACATCAGATGAAATATAGCAAGCAAACAACATAGAAAAGTGCCACAATGCTGCAAATGTCATTCAAAGAAACAAGCATCAATAAAATTAAAACTACTTTTATACCTCATAAAAAGCTAAGAGGTTATCAACTTAGTAAAAGCACTTACAGGGGTAAACTTATTGAACAATGGAGCGATTAAGATTGGATATATTGTCATCATCAAGAGAGACAGAAGAAACATAAAGCTCCATAGGTAGATCGCCAGATAAGGGCCTCCTTTCTAAGGACAGATGGGTCAGGAAAAGAGATGAAAATTAGTACATTCACACAAAATGTGAGTATTTATGACACATAAAGAAGCACAAGAAACATCTGGAATCACATAGATTTCATCTAACCATGTCAAAATGCTAAAAAAAAATTGTAAAATCTTCAGATATATAGTAGCAATGGAAGATTTAATACCTGTACTATATAAATAATTGCAGCGACAATTGGAGGACCAAATACTAATGATAACAGAATTCCTTTGAAAATATCTCTGAAAAATAGCCATACCGTTTGCTAGGAAAATAGAAAAGGTGAGAAAGCAGTTCAGTATGCTTATAAGTTGAGATGACTAGAAATAGAAAGAAGATAACGACAGAAAAACATAAGAATTAAAGAGGTGGACAACGTACTTTATTGAAACCGTGACGAGCCTCAATCACGAAAGTTGAATACAACGAAAATGGCAAGTCGGTGATCTGCATCACGAATGTAGATAAAGCACAGATTAATTTTACTCCTGAATATACGGATAAATTTCACAATAGAGTTCTTTAACCATACAGGCACGAATTTGAAAACGGACGACCCCGGGATGGCCGAAGTGCAGAGACTAGTTTTTAGTATTTGAGAGCATTTTTGGCTAAAACTTTGAAAGGAAAGAGGTTTTCAGTACTTTTGTCTCACAAGGGCATCATAATTTAAAATAACTGTTTAATGGTCTTCAAAATTTAACCAGTGGAATAGTCCCACCAAGCTTAAGCTGTTCAATTTTCACGTTTCATCTTCTTTACACCAGAGGTACAGAGAAGGAAAAAGGGGGGCACTCGATGATTCCTACCACTGCAAGATGCTGCAAGCACTGCCGGTCAAACCCTCCAGTTAACAATAGCATATTACAGCCACAAGGGATTTGATTTCACAAGCATCATCCCATGAAATAGGACTGCCTTCTTCTAGCATATCCTTTTCCACCTTCCCTAATGCTGCCCCCCTCTTTTATCTCTCTATTTTCCTTTTCCCTGTCACTCTAATTATCCCTCCTTCTCTTGAACATTATCTCTTTTTCTCTCTCTATTTCCTAATAAACTGGTTTTTGCATATTCCTCTGACCTCATGAGGCCAGGTTATACCCTGCAATGAAAGCCCAACCAAGCAGGTTTGCATTTCAGATAGAGCTCAGGACACAAACCTTGTCAGGTAAATTTTACAAAAGGACAAGGTTCACCATGAAGGTCTCAATTAGATTTTAATACAGAAATACCATGGGTGCTCTAATGGGAATGTTTCATCCATAGACATAACTCCTTCCCAACAATTTTCAGAAACATCTTAATAAAACTGTCCACATCTAAACTACGATCTCAACTATTCGCTAGTTAACAGTTAAATCTCACACATTTAACATAGGCAGGATACATGAAGTCTAAAGTCGAGCTTCCTCTGAATGAAAAACTAAGATCCTCGTGCCAAAACCAACAAGAGTTAGTGCTCACATGACTTTACATCTGGACAAGGGATGTTATCATTCCATTCGCTCTAATTGGTAAGCAAGATATGGAATGGTAAAGCGTTTAGAGATAGGTCCACGTGGATTGAAAACCACCAAACCTAAACATAATCGGGAAATTCAAGATAGGACCATGATCTTCGTTTTATCATCAACACACGTGAAACAGACCTAAGAGCACGTGATTTAGACCAACAAAACTTGGGGCACATCGCTTTTATTCTATACAGAAACGTCAAAAGGACTGCATCACTTGAGAAACAGGCTAGAAATTCTAGACACGGAGATAAATCTGTGTTGGTGATGATGTGGAAGATGAAAAAAACATCAAAAATTAAGACTGAGTTCAGACTAATGTTATGAGTCAAAGGATTTGGGTGCTACTATATCTGTTTTGTTGCTTATGGGAAAAGATATATGGCAGATGCCATCAACCACAGCCTTTTTTCATAAGAAGAACGATTTGACTCAGCCGCTGATTATGCATCTGGCAAAAAGCTGGCATAGAATACACTTTCCTCCCGGCAAGCATGACAGGTAGATTTAGTGATGCAGTCTTTACCCAATATAAACAGATCAAAGGTTACCTGAGAAAAGATTTACTTGGAAAAAAAATCTAATCCGGAGAAACTACAGCGATTTTCTGGCAGAGATCAGATTCAAGCATGACAACCTTAGACTTCAAAGAAAAAGGGAACAGCCATATCCAAACCTTAGACCAGATCATCATCCCAGCCAAAAATGACAGTGTATGAGTTATTTCATTCTCCGCACTGAGACCCACACGCAATAGAATATCGCCAGATCTCTGCAACAAAGAGGCTGATAAATATAAGGCACGATGAGCATATGAAATAAGACATGAGGCACTTCTGTTACCTTCCACAGCCACGGAAGTAGACCAAAAGCCAGAATCGTAATGTCCAAAGCTATCGTCGCAGCTTCACGTACAAAGTGGAAGTAGCTGATATATGTAAAAAAGGAGAAGGAATGTCAGTTAAGATCAAATCTAATAATAACAGCATGAATGGCAGGGCATGAATCTAAAGAAGAAGAAAGAGAACAGGTTATAGAAGATAGTCAAATCAGCTCAAACCAGGCCACACTATGAACAAGCATTACCAGGTACAACATAATGGAATAAAAAACACTAAGCATGATACTATAGGTCTAGGGAAGCATCATGATACGAGTTCAACATTTTATAATTTTTGTTGAAACAAAAGTCAAACCTCTTGTCAAGGCTATAAGCTCGAGACTTTACAAACTTCTCTTGACTAACTACTCCTTCCAATTGCTTAGGTAAGGTGGGCAACTTGAGAGCCGCATGCTGCCGAATGTCAAGATAGGTCTCAAAAATGTATACGCAAATCATGAAACCTGAGCAAAGGCAACAGAATTTTAGCTTGATTCCCAGATACACTTACTCCCTTGATAATAAAGCAGAATAAAAAAGACAGGGAATCATCAGTAAATATGATAGAGATTAAAACCACTATGAATATACCAAGGAAAACACAGGGCTCGGGCATTCTGAAAACGGTGTAATGGACAGGAATCCAATACAAAATGGGATATTGAATAATGCAGCTCTGACATTGGCAAGTTGACGCCATTATCTAGGTAAGAGAATTCTCAGCAAGGAAAAAAAAAAAAAGGACTTCCAACAAATAAGTTCCAACACAGGAATATTGAAATAAGTTTCAGTTCCATCATTATTCTTCAGGAAAAGGAATTATTTATAAATAACTAAATGTCCACTGAAAGAACTAAAATTGATAAGCAAAGAAATATTCGCACTTTCATTAAAAACATGTAGACAAATATCAAAATAAAGTGGAGGTCTTCAGAAAAATGTGAAGCACGGATCAGATAAATTTTTACAGGATTTGGAATTTCAGTACACTAAACTCTACGAATTTAATCATTAAAGCGAAAATAGATGATAAAAGATGATTCCATCATACCCCTACTATTTTACTTAGACACAGCGTATTACATCCTGCCTTTACATATGCAAGATTTTTTGTCGTTGCAGGTCCTTACATACAAAACCAAGATGAAATGAAGTCACTGAATAACTAATCATTTTTTCCATGATTCAACAGAGACTTAGAATGCCATTAAACCTTAGCAAGCCATGTTTATCTCTGACACATAAAACACACGTCAAATTTATTTTTACCGTTCCTGAAATATAATATGCACGCGACCGGAACTTCAAAAATAATAACCAGTCATATGCTAGAGATTTGCAACAACTTTTAACTAATTTCTGAAAATCACAGCCATATTTTCAATCAATTATTTGATTTATTTACTTTGAAGCAATAAAATAGAAAGACCTCAAAAACCGACTAAAAAATTATTTCTTTCAATAGCATACTTTTCATGGCAAACAAAGCTGACCACCGTTCTACCCAGAAAATTAATTTTAGACCAGAAAAAAACCCGTATAAGCAAAAATTTCCATGAAATCATAAAATCAGCAGCAAATTAAGAGATGCTTATGGCCATAGAGCTGTAGAAATCATACAAAACTAATAACTAGTGGAAAACAATGGCAGATCCTAGAAGAACATTCCTCGAAGACCGGCATCATTCGAAGAATAGATGCAAGAGCCAAAAAGGAGTAATACAACACGCAAACGACCAACAGCGCGGCCATATTCGCCGGGGCATCGACAACATGATAAATAAAGAGGAAGAGAAGAAAATAAATAAGAAGACGATAACGAGACAAGGGGGGAGATCGGGGGCGACTAGGGAAGACTATCGAAGAAAAGACAAGTAATGAAAAAAATAAGAGAGCCAGCACAGGTGGAGGGAAAGTCGCTGACCCAGAACAGCCTCCAAGTAAGGGAACGCCATGGCTGCCTGCCGAAGACGACCACGAAAGATTGATGTTCAGGAACCCCACCGTTCTCGAACTTGCTTGAGATTTTCCACGTGGGAATCCGCCTCAGATGGCGAGGGATTAGCAACTGAGATCGAGTACACCTTTGGGAGGGGGGAATGAGAGATGGGTTTACGTCATGCTCACGCACCCATGAAGTACCATTTGAGGAAACCCACCATTCACTTCGCGGGAGTATGCCCGTCGATTCTCCCACTGCAGAGGGCTGCATCCAGGGTTTATAGTGGAATGGCTGAGTGGTGTAAGGGACGGTGGCTGCTAGAGAGCGTTGAATATTTTTATTCAACAAAATTACAACGTTGGAGGATTACAAAATTAACTGCATCAGTTAAATTGCTGTTGTTACTTAGGAAAAGGAAGGAAAATCACTTCTTCTATGGTTTATCAACTTTCCCGGATGAAATTTGGTCACCACCAACATTCTATCACGATGTCTCTCTTACTTATCTGAGCAGAGAGTTCTATATCAAGAACATAGTTTGAAATATAAAAGCCTTGCCCAGATGAGTAAATGAACGTTTTTGAATTATGTGCTCTATAGTGGGACAATAATGCTTAGAATAATTAGTGATTTTAAAACACAAGCCCCCCATCTCCTTTGACAATCATCATATAATTTATACGAAATTTGGTCAATAATTATGGTATAAGTATGATTATGAGAATTTAAAGCAAAGAGTGTTGGTTTGAACCATGCACAAAAGGGCGATTTTAAACTTCGGTATAATAGTCAATATATTTCACGTCTCCATTTTAACTGATCAATTAAATTGGCTTTAGGTTACAATTCACTATAGGATATTATTCAATATTGAGCTTTTTATCTTTACTAGGGACTTGACTAAAGTAATCAATTTCTTCAATCCCCAACTTACATTATTTTTTAACATTGCTCAATATATCCCATTTATTTGATTTCAAATGTGTTAATATATTTTTTTTATAGATGGATGCTCCCACTTTCATGGGTCAATTTTTGACATAAAAAGGGCACCACCTTGCAATCAAATCTATTATTTGCATTTGTGAATATTTAAATCTCCACATATTTCAACTCTATTATTTTAAAGAAATCGTATGCACATCTTTGTAAGTTTTATTTTCATATCAATTCAACAAGTACAAAGAAGGAAATGCTAGCTCATAAGTTGAGTATCATATCAATAAAACACCTCACATCTTTCAAAGCATAAACTGATGCAAGCTACTAATTGATCTCAAATAAAATATGATTTGATCTTGCTCTATTCCTTTGATGCTGACTTGGTACCTTATGATGTAATTTGTAATATTCAGTTTGAGCACCATTTATTTAATTTCTAACCCCAAAGTGCATGGAGAGCTCATTGAAGTCCAAATCAAATTCTAAATTAGAAAGTAGATGTTAAGTGTTTCTAACCCCATTTCTTCATATTCTCCTTAAAAATTATAAATAATTCACAAGAAATACTCTTACGTTTGCATTCACAAACATTATCATTTACTAGAATTTCCTTGATGTAGAAACATATAACATAATTTGAATCTTAATGTTGAAATAGGAAGATAACATCTCAATTGATTTAAGATAAAAAGAATGGGCCAGGCCTGTGCATGCATAATTCTGGTCTCAAAAATCTCCTAAACACTGATTCAATAATAATATACTAAGGTTGTGCCAAGCAATATTCGGTCAAATCAATGATGCTGACCAACATGCCTTGTACAATAATCCAGAATCCCATGTCAAATTGATGCATCCTAAAGTTCTATTAGAGATCATTTAAATTTCGAAATATATAATTTTAGGCTTCTTTAGCCTTACCTAAAAGCAACAATTTATGTTTTTATTTATAACCATTATCTTCCCAAGCTAATAATTTGCTTCATTGCTAAATCAGTATGAATGGGGGTATAATATCTACTTACTTGGAGGTTTAGCTAGACTAATGAATATCTGAAAAGCTTCTAATTTTCTTCTTAACAAAATTTGGGAGCCATATGGAGCAGCTAGCGAGCGAGAATTGCTTAGCATGAGTCCACAACCTCTTTGAACCAGCAAACTTTTTCTCTTTTCTGCACAAGATATAAATATGATGACAAGTTTTGATCAGAATGAAAGATTAAAAACCAGTAGCTTGATTTCTGTAATGATCTGACACAGTTTATACGGTTTTGGGAATATTTAGTGCACCGTATAGTTCCTTCTATAAATAGAACATGTTTCTTGTATGACCAGAGATTTTGTATGATTTTTCTATAAATAGTTCCTTCTATATTGTTTTTTCCATGGAAAAAACAAATAGGTCGCAAGATCTTCAGTTATACTTGGACATTCAAAGAAGGAAAATATGATTTTTTAAGATCAAGTAAAATCTTACGGTTTGGAAAGATACTGAACATCAGATACTCTTCTCTGTAAACAGGAAAGGCCTCACACAGTTACAATCTTATGAGCAATGAAAATCACAGATTTTCCTTCCATGAAGTGAGTGAGCAGTGCAAAACAGTTCATATATGTATACAAAAATGGCAATCTTTAAGCAATCTTAGTTTTCTATCTCTGCCACACAACATACAGATCTGATGCCAAAGTTTTTACAGTAGTTTCAGTCAGACCCTAGAAACCAGGAACTAGAATTTTCTCAAAAAACTCACATCATTCAGTTCTAGAGACATAAAGGACATTCGTGATGAAACATAAACATTTCTTTCCGCCAAGAGAGAATTATACAAGGGTCCAATCTCCGCTGGACTTGGTTGGATATAGTTTACAAGAGCACATTCACTTGGGGGGTCTGGGATCATAGATGCCCAACTCTGTGCGAACTAAGAAGCATTTATGAATGTGAGAGGCACAAGGGGTGCCCGCTGAAGTCTGGGGAATGGGCGGACGACTCAGCTGGGACCTTCTCCAGAGGAACCCCTGGGCAGCTTGGCGCCATGATTGGGTCCGAGGTTGTCTGGAGCAGCTCTCTTTGTCCTCATCTGCAAGGACTGGACCCATGAGCGTGAATAAGGAAGCAGGCTGCACAGCTTTAAGATCCCTTCAAGCAGGCTGGTACCTTCTCATCCACTCTTTGATAGAACTGCCGCAGAAGAATGTTTGTCTCTTCGGTAGATATCACTGGGAAGGGAAAAAGATATATTATATAATTAGGAATTTTTAATCACCAAGCGCAAGAAAGATACGATATTACACGAGATATTTCCGAATCAGGATTAAATGCCAAATAAAGGTGAAGCCCCACATGGCCCGGCGAACATCCAAGTTAACATGACGTTTTAAGATCGTTGTTATGTAGAAAGGATGAACTTAGAGATCATGCTGCAATTATTAGCCATCTTTTCTTAAAATTTTGACTAATCCCTTCCAAGATCTCTCTCTCTCTCTCCTCCCTCCTTCCCTCCCCCTTTGTCCACTACAACTATTTAAAGACTATTTTCCCCTGCCCAGGAAAAAACCTTGATAAAATACTTGGGTAAAAGAATACGAGCTAAGATTCCATTGGCGGCTAAAAACTATTAACCATTTGATGGCCTAGAAGAATATTAAACAAACACTCGTGCAGAACTCAAACCAAATCTCCACCAGATGCATGGCATCCTTCAAAAAATAGACTAAATTTGAATAATGACGAGTTTTTGTTCGTAACTAGTTGGACCGAATAAGAGAAGAATTTACTCCAAGAAGCAGCTTTCTAGCTTGTTTATTTCCACCCAGCATTTGGAAGCATAAAGTTTTGAAGGAAGGATTCTTTCCCAGCAGAGAAAATTTACTTTATTCCAAGCATGCAGAATAAAAAAATCCTCAAGGATTATTTCCCCAAAAGAGAAGTACCTTGGTTAGGTGGTGGAAGGGTTCGGTTGTGAGTAGGGTGATACGTAATGGGTGTCAAATTCTGCAAAGAGACATAAAACAAGTCATGCTCATTCTGTTAGAGAGAACTTTAGAAAATAAGTACATGTTTACTGGTAACATTGTACATTTTGAAAAAAAAACATAATCAAACAAAATAGATGGCTAATCACACAGAGATTGGATATACCAGCAGCATTAATACAACAGTTCATGCTTATTCTGTTAAAGAGAACTTTAGAAATAAGTACATGTTTACTGGTGACATTGTAAATTTTGAAAAGAAAGTTAAGCGTAATTGAAATAAAATAGATGGCTAATCACACAGAGATTGGAAGATGATATAACCAGCAGCATGATGAACGTCAAATAATACTGAATCCCCTCCCTCAAAAATGAATTAAGTTTTATTAGGACACCCAAAAAAATAAAATTTTCAGCGACTAGGAAGCTTCACCAAATGAACTGTGATCTGTGGGAAATAATTTGACAAGGCAGTTGTATAGGTGATTGCATCAAGAAGACGAATGGAATGTCTCCCCAATCTGTGGGAACAAGCGCATAATTAAGGGATAGGTTGTTGATCAGTTTCTTACGTTGGTTAGTTTGTTGGTCCGTTTCCTATGCTGGTTAGGACGTTGGTCAATTTCAAAACTTGGCCACTTACCTATTGTTGATCAATTTCCAATGTTGGTTAGGTTGTTGGTCAGTTTCCTAATTTGGTTAAGTATATAACCAGCATTTTTTCCATGAATTGATGAGACAGAAAATTTTCCCCACTGTTTATTACTGTTTGGTTTGCGTCAAAATCAACTGACCAAATAAAGTGCTTTAGAATCCCTACATTAGAAACAATATGGGATTCAAATGGGAGATGGAACTGGTCAGTAGACGAAGTCAACCCAAGACAGGGAAATGAAACTTCCTGGTGTTCGTAAAACTGAACTGTTTATGCTAGCAGAACAGAATTGGAGTGATCTGGGACAATAATACTCCAAAATAAAAATTCAATCCACTTCATGGTGAAAACAAATAACCAATCACACTGCAGGAGGTATAAAAATGGCTTATTTCAGGAGGCTATGAGGAATTGGCATCGTAAGGTAAGTAAAACCTACGACTACTTTTCATTTATTTAGGCATCTTATCCGCGTGTGGATTTAGTCTGCATCTTATTAATTACTTGATGTCCCACTTCCCTTTATTTTTCCTTCGTGGGTTACAAGATCATTAAAGAATTCTTTCAGGCCTTCTTCAAGAATACACCTATTTCAGGCATAAGTTAAAAGGCCACAACGTGAGAGAAACCTCCCTTGCATTTTCTAGATTAGAATGATGAAAGAAGGTACTGAATCTGTCTTCAGAAGTTCTGCAGGCGCATATCTTGATTTCTTGGATTGTAGTAGATTTTTAGTTCATCCCCCGTTGAAACCCAGCATTTACAAGTCATAGAACGCTTGTGAAGATTGGGTGGAGGTTGAGGGGATGATATCATACATCTAACTAAGATAGTAACCAGAAGGAAGAAGATTTTCTGATTTGTGTAAGAATTCATTGGTTGAAGCACTAAAATAGGAAATAGAGGGGAATCCCACCATAAGAAGCAGAAATTTAATCCCATCACGAGCTCGCTGGCAATTGGTGTTCGTAGAGTTACCGCCAAGGAGGGATATCTCCCAGCATCAAGTGTCAAACCAAGATGAAGGTAAATAATGGATGTGATTCCTAAATTGAAATTACCAAAGGCCTTTGATTCGAGCATATGATGTATTTCCCATTGATATTAAAAAAATCCCAAAACAAGAAAAGGAAATTGAAAAAAAAAATCGTGGAAAGGAAGATTGGGGGCTCCTGATTCAAACGTATCTGTTCCTATGCTTTCAACTCATACTTGCAGGCACACTCACCTCAATCCCTATTTTCCTTAGTTTAATTAGAGTCTTCATTGCAGAGCATCATCACAGTCTGCCACCTTCAATGAAAACTTTCAATAACTACCTTCTGTGAGAATTTATTATCACAAGTTCAAATGAATAACTACGTTTCTCTCCTAGAATCAACCTATTTTTCTTGCCATTCTTCGTCACAGTAGTATCAGTATCCTGCTCAGACTTCCCTCAAAAACTTGAAAAAGGAACGGAAGCCCGACGTAGATCATTTCACCATCAATGACATTTTCCGAAACTTCAACAAACATGCACAACATTCTTCGAAATAGGAGGAAGCTTCGCGCTCAAGAGAATAAAGGTTTCTTTAGATCAGGGGCGAGAAATGGAGATGGTTTGTGAGAGCGTACAGACGGTTCAGCAGGATCGGCAGGCCGGAGCTGGCTGAAGTTGTGGGGATCGCGGGAAGGCCAATTCCCCTGCAGAGAACCCATCTACGCCACCACCGGAAGAAAAGGACCCTCCCCCTCAAAACCCGGAAATAATCTTCGGCGGAGCACAGATCTTCCCGCCAGCCAGCTTTCCCCCTCTCCAGGCAGCAGAGCGACGAAGGGGCCGGAATCGGACAAGGAATGGAGCGAGTGGTCAGATTCCCTGGGAGTACAGGGAGAATTAATTAAACTGAATTCCTCACACACTAAAATATACTAATTTGATCAAAAAAAAATTCAGACTTGGGGCGTCAAAATCAAGTCCAGCCAAGAGTTTCGAAATCCATGAGCCGTGATCCTAGCGAAGACCACCACCATCACCCTTTTCTAGTATCTTAATAATTTAAAATTAGATAAATGTTGAAAATATGAGTTCTTGATTAGCAAGCAGCACAAAAATAGGAAGATTCTTATTATTTTGGGGGGAATAAAACAGAAAAAAAGAGGATCTTTTGTTCCAGAATGGAAGGCTCTCCCCCCCCTCCCCTAGCAAATATGCAAATTTAATTAGAGAGTAATTAATAGTTGTGAATGGAGGATAAATGCATGCTAAATGGGGCTTGTTATAGCATCATTAAAAGATATCAGTATACATAAAGTATCTGACTCTGTCATTCAATTTGGGAAATAATCGTTCATACCACTACTTGACAAAAATTAATTAATGATTGTTTTCAACTTGCCATAAGCAATAAACCACATGATTTTATATCTACATTGACGCTTAAATTGTCAAGGACCAAGAACTACTTAAATCTCAAGAATTAAAGGCTTTATTACCAAGACCAACTTGAATACATGCATCTTATGAGGAGTAGACTTGACCTGAGCATGGAGTAAGTTCAAAGTTGACCTTCTAACACAACCTTCTTGAAGCCTAGGTAAAAAGCTTTATTTGCCCTTAAATCTGTCTCATTTCATATGAATAGAAATTACTTTACTCTTTGACCTTGTGGATGGCACAATGTGATACTTTAATCTCTTTGTACTAACTTTTGAATGGTTTATATATACTTTGCCATAGGTTGTGTTGTATGCACTTACATATTATATCCATAGGTAGATCCTATGATTTACAATCATATTTTATATATATATATATATGCATATATCTGCACTCAGGTCTATACTTGCGATATGTTATGTACCTGTTGACTACATAATTGGCACTTGACTCTTCACAGTAGCTTTAAACTTGTTAGAAGAGATTACTAAGGCAAACATGATGCAATAAATCGTGCAAATAAATTTCATATGTTCTTATTGGTATTGGATTTATAATTTTAATGTGTATTTTCTTGATATTCTCCATTAAGTCATATGATGAAGCACTTGTAACCTTTCAAAAAGAAACCTAGGTCATTTGATAAGGAGACATTTTCCCATATCAAGAAAAGATTTGAGAAAACTGCAAGAACACGTCTTTGCTTCCATAGATGTGACTAAATGTAGCCCTTTGTGAATTGCAGAAGTTTTTGACAAGTGCATGGCTTCAATGAGATTGTATCAACCTACGTTATATATGAAAATCTTTAGCTAGATCCAAAGGTTAGTAGCTGATGAACAATTAGAAATTGTGGTAAACTATATCCATCTGATTTATATATTTATATTTATATGCTACACCAAGTGTTAGCTTCATAAGCTGTTCACCCCCTTGCTTCCTATAGATACATTCATTCTAGCTATCTATTCATCACTTGCTTTGCTTAGAGTTAAGCTACTTTGTGGATGTTATTGAGAAATTTGATGACAAAAAAATCAACTTTGAACTTCTTACAGAGGAAAGGAGATTGAGTTAGAGGAGAATTCTAACTAAAGAAAGCCATTGACTTAGAACTCATACTACATTGAGTTTGGCCAAGTTTGAATTTTTTTCCACTTGACTTATGATTGGGACTATGATAATCTCATAAGAGAGAATCTTTTTTAAAAAAAATCTTACCGATCTTTTAATGGAAAACTAATGATTCCCTTTAATCGATGCCATACTTTGTATACATCTGCATCTTGTTCAACTGGGGAATTATGATCTTTTTACATATCAACTTCCACATGGTTGCTAGCTAATATGCTGACTTTTTTGAGTATCATTAAGTAGTTCAAGTTTGAGTTGTTTCACTGGTATGTTCTATTCATTATAATGCTACTTCTAGCATTACACCACAAGTCAATTAGTCCTTCACTTCACATACAATACATGAATTTGATCTTTCTATACTACTTGGTCGATACACACCTCTTGGGTATCATCTTACTTATTTTTGGGATTGCCTTTTATTATATATTCTTAATGTAGTTTTATTTAAAAATGATTCATAATTTTTCTTGTTTAATATTTATAATACTATGTTGAGTTGGTAATTAGGACAGTCAAGAGAATCACTAAAAATAGATAATATAGCGTAACTTTTAGCATAGACATTTTTAAAGGTAACATATTTTCATTTGTATAGTCAACTAGAACCATGACGACTGTAACCTACCAAGGCCTTTCATGTAACATCTCACCTTTTCAATCGAGTCCCCCAAATATCTGTGGATTAATATTTATTCATTATATTGTAGGAATATGTATTTCTTCTCTTATTCATAAAAGTGTAACTTGGGCTTTGCCATAACATTCACTGTCCTCATTGTGTACATTATATATTACGACTTTCTCTCTCTCTCTCTCTCTCTCTCTCTACATATATATATATATCTATGGAAAGCCATAATACCTTGATAATGCCCTTTTTTCTAACTGTCACCAATGTGGTCTACTTTTCATATAGTGCTTTATTTGTTCAAATCAGAGAGTATTTTCTTTTGGTTAAATTTTCTATATTTATCCCACTATGCATGAAAACAAATGCTTTGGGCGTGTTCCACAGTGCATACTTAGGCACCAACATTTAGCCTACCATGCCAACGGTAGTCTTCCAGGCCAGTGTCAATGTATGTATATATATATATATATACATAGCCAAGTGAGAACCTTGAATGAAACCCTATGAACTGTACAATCATAGATTCTCTATGACCATAATTAACAGAAGAGAGGTCTCTCCTACCTTCCTCGCAGAACAGAAGTGTGTGTGCCTAGGGTTTCATAAGCTCCATTTTTTTTCTGTTCTTTGAGGGAGATCAAAGATCACATCGAGAATAAATGAAAATTTAAAGATATTTCACATCACTTCATGAACATACTTATCGAGCGTCGAGTGAATGATTTTCCTCAACCTTAGAGATGAAGCTTTCGGCATCCATCCACCAGTCTTGACTCTCCTCCACATCCTGGTTCATCTTGGAAGAAGTTTCAGAAGAAAAAAAAATCATTGAATTGGGGAAAGAAGGGATCCAATGGAAGCAATCTCAAGGATCCATGAATAAAAATAAGCAAAGTACTTTGCCCTTCAAGATCATGGTTGGAAACGTGAATTGTAAAAGTTTTTATGAAAGGAGTAAAAGCAGATTGAGATAAAATGAGGGAAGCATTTTTGATTGGAAAGATAATTATTCTGTAAAAGGAGTAAAAATACGGTTTGAGATGAGAGATAAAAGACAAATTTTAATGAATTATTTATTTCTACAAACTGGGGGAGAAAACTGGAGCTCATCTGGATCAGACGACTGGTGAAAGGAGGCAATAGAACTAGAAAGATCAATCCATCAGATGGAAGACAGATGAAAACAATGGTAAATGAATAAATAAATCTTTCTATCCAGTGTGGAAACAGGAACTGTCAGAGGTTTTCAAGGCTTTATTAACGTAGCTATCTCTTCATTATCCTTCACTAGGGCCTTGATGAAAGTTTACAAAATTTTCCTTTGCTTTTCTCCATTTATTTTACTTCGTGTAGGCATTTAATTTCTTCCTAGGAATTTAATCACAATGATCTTTTTAATCAGATCTCTCTCTCTCTCTCTCTCTCTCTATCTCTGTATGTCTATCTATATATCTATATATGAATTTAATCAAAGTTCCAGGTGGATAATATCAGCCAGAAAATATGTCATATATGAGAAAACTATATAAGAAATCATATAACTCGAACTGAATTATGTCATACATGAAAACAAAAGGGAAAAAAAAAGGAGCCTTGAAAGGATATGATCTAACCTTGTTGCAGGACTCAGGCATCTGTCTCATTCTCTCGATGTGCTCTGTAAAATTCAGGGCTTCTTGCCACCATCCTCTGTCCTTCTTACAGCTCTCAGTAATCCATTCACAGTCGTCAATGGAACCCTCCTCAGGAATGCCTTCAACGAGCTGAAAGTCAAAGTCAACATTTGACGAATCCTCACGGTTCCCCCTCTGTGTCGAGCAAGAAAAGGTCACTCCATCCGGGACTACATCCTTGGGCAGTGGGCGGAATGGAGAACGATATCCTGGTCAATAAATAGAGCATCCAGTATAAAAACTTACGCAATAAAGATACACCAAGTACAAGTAAAATAGTAGATGACCATAAAATAAGCTGGTAGAAGAAGCACCCATGTATGTACCTTTACAATCAGGATCGTAACACTTTTGGTAGTAGATGCCGCTTCTGAAATCAACGACATACATTACTGGAAAAAGATGCTAGAATTAGTTGCTCGGAAATACACACCATGAGACATTTAGCAGGTGCAAGTTTCTGATATCTTGTATTAGAATATCTGTCACGTTCCATGGATGCCCATATTACACAATACCCCCCCGTTGATAGAGTATCATGCACGTTTTTTTTTATTTTTTTGTTTCAAAGATAGTCTGATGGGAATTGAATATGAAATGGGAGAAGTAATATAGTAATGATCCATAAGCTGTCAAAAATATACTGCGCTCACTATTTTCATGGTCTGCACCAAAAAACAGTTGATCATTCAGGGGACCTCAACTCCTTTCAATGGACGCAGAAAAGCTCGAGGCCTACGATCCTTAGTGAATATGGAAGTGACTATCCTCTCTACTGAGAAGCTTCAACGTCTATATAGAAGCATGGATCATTCAAAAAGAGAAAGGCCAGTAGTGGTGGAAGCGGTTTGCTTCCTCTAGTAAATAACGAAAAGAAAATTACCATGATTGCTTTTATGTTCACGCCCGATCCTTTCACAATATCTACTCCTTAACATACTGTATATCATCAAGCCAAATTCAGAAAACCAGTACCAGCTTCTGATTTTTCCTGTATAATCATAACAATGGTATGGTTAAAACTTTGCAACAGAACATAACAAGTCCCTTTCATGAGTAACAAAAACCAGGAAATCGTGAAGAAAAAATGACCATGAAAATTGAAAATTGATGCAAAATCAGATTGCCCGTATTTCTGACGGTCCTAAACACATTTATTTGAATAAACGTCAGATCCTATTCGTAAATATCCATCTTCTTGCTCACCAAAACTGGATGGAGTAGAGAAAATGTTGACGTTTCATTTTATGTATATATTCATGTTAGATAATCGGAAGATGACGGTAAGTAACACACTGGTTATCAGATAGCAGTTAACTGTACCACAAATAGTTACACATGCATCATTGAAATGTAATATCTCACTTCACATGGGCAGAAATTCACTTAAAATAGAAAACTTCAAATCGGAAAATCAAATCAAATTCCAAAAAGGAGCATAGTTCTCATGATGCATTCTTTGTATGAAATTTGGAGAAGCAGGAAAATGGTACACTAACCCATGATGAACCAGAGCTTTCAGTTCTAATGCCTCAAAGCGAGAATCATAATTTAAATGGCTTCATAAGCCTGTATATGAAGCTAAAGTTACACCATTAGCGTGCTGCATGCTCCGTTCAAATTTAAGTGTTCACTTCACCTTTTTAAGTATCCGACTTTTAAAAATAAAACAGAGAAAGGAGTTACACGTATCTGAGTTTTAGACAGCCCCCAGGGCATGCTTTTTGGGAATATTTTAGAATTTATTCTCCTTTCGGAGCTTAATCATTAATTATAAGTACACATGCAATAAAACCTAATAATGGTTGTCACTGCCCTTGCTGTCCCATTTCCCTCTTGACTTCCATTGAATTCTTGGCAACCCACTCTTCTTAGCCCGAATCTGACAAAAGTAGCAAAAAGTCCTCACCATTGGTCTTTGAATGATGACAATGATGATAACCAATGTCCCTCATAATTTTCTCAAGACTCCACAACAACGGCCGTTAACTAAAAAATTACCCAAATCCATTTTGGACCCTCCAAAAAAAACTCATATTAGGATTCTTCGCTTCCTGATGTGAAAAACCCCTTGTCATGAGTAGCCATGGGTCACTGTTACCAGGATCCTTGCGACTTCCTTGTTACAGTTACACGTTGGTCACAGGCACCTGGAAAGTATGGAAGCTTTATGATGCAGAGGGAATGGTGAATTCACTATGCAGGCATTTTAGATCTGTTTCAAATCTTTGCACTCCAATGCAGGTAAAAAAGTCATAAAAAATATGTCTACGGAAATCTGATTATCAATCTTCCAAAATAAAGCTGTCAATGTTTATGGAATGTGTTTACAGGTGAACACAAACATTGTTTCTTGGAAAAGAAAACTGAAGAAAAGACAATCCAGAAGAACCCAGATAGCACTCCTGAGACTCTAGAGCACAGATATGTTGAAAGGGGATTTCATAGTCAATCTAGACATCACTACTCTAGCAGCCAAACAAAGAAATCATTGGATTTCAACATGGAAATATGGTCCAATATGGAAAACATCTTTGTAGAAACAGTGCCATGGAATCAAATGATGAGAGGAAAACTTTTCTGCATTGTACGAACTATGCAAAGTTAATGCAAGTTAAATACATATTACAATATATTGTTTCAGACAAAGAAGAATAAAACTTTCTGAAGAAGAGAGAATCAAAACCAGAAGAAAATTTGAAAGAAATAGAACAGTACCCAGAGTATTTTCCAATGAGCCAATAGCTTCAATAAAAGAATCCAAATTTGGGAAGGGTGATCTTCCTGTGAGATATGTCCCAGAAATTTTTTCTTGAGAATTAAGTATGGCGGCTTTTCCTGGGAGATCGTGTCTTTGTTCATGACTGTCACTGACCTAAATGTAAAAAGGATTTAACAAATCAAACATGATTTTTAAAACGAGTAAAAGGTCGGAAAAAACTGCAATGAAAACATTAAGAGGCTACCCATTTCTCACATAAATTTCCTTGCAAATTCTAACACAAGCTAGGGAACAAAGTGTAAAATAGCTTTAAATAATTACGCAACCTAGGAAAATAAAATTTATAATCATAATAATTAACATAAGGTTAAAAATGAAAAACTATCTATTTGAATAATATCATAACATGAAAAGAAGGTTTTCCAAATGGTTAAGGTTCTGAATATCATATTATTCTGTTGAGACATAACATGACGATAACACATTGTTGGTTGCTTCATGCCATAAGGCAGACACAGCAATAATGATTGTTGAAGAGAAATAATACATAAATAACATTTGTTTTAAGTGTTACTGTAGTATAAGAAAACAAATTCTGCACGCTTTTTTTCTCTTCTTTGTTAGAAGAAGCAATGCTTATGGTTTCTAACAAATGACGGCATAATTTTCAGAGGAAAAAATCATTAATTTATAGACCATTTTAAAGAGTCTTGAGAGGCATACTCGACATTACCAATCATTTTACTTTTGAAGAGATTTTCGTGATCTCATCTCTCAATTATTCAAATGGGATCAACTGATCTCTCTATGTTTCGCCTCTTAAGGTAGTGAACTGATGTGCTCATGCTTTTCCCTTATCTCTCTTTGATTGTGGGATTGAAAAAAGTAAATATGACTGCCTAGGGAAATTCTGTAAATAACATAACGAGAGGGAAATTCTGTAAATAACATAACGACATGCTTCCTGACTTTGTGCTAGTCTATTTATATTCGGGGTTGATTTTAAATTAGCAGGATGAACATTTCTGCATATTATGTTTGGACTTATTACTTGGATCTTTTAGTTTCAGAAAGAAGATTGCTGATTGACAGGAGGTGTTGATCAAAAAAACCTACTTTCTAACTGCTAATTTGTCCCTGTGCTCAACAAATTTTTAATAAAAATATAGCAGCATAAACATTCGAACAAGATGTATGTAAATCATACTGTTCACACGCTTTTCCATGTTTATTGAGAGAAGGTTTCGTTTTAAAGGTAATCCTGTTTGCTAGTTTCTATCTTCGGTGACATAGAAATTTAAATTGATCCTTCGGAAAAATTACTACATAACAAGCCTTATGCACCACTCACTTGAAAGTCAACAATCACATATGAAGGTACTTAAAAGTCATGGCTACATTACGGATTCATCTGATCATTTGCAGGTTGAAGGCTTCATTAATGTGGTTAAGGCCAAATCCCACTCTGGGGCTTTTCTATGGAAGTGTAGTCTAAGCTTAAATTAAATGTGAAAAACTCAATGGTCCCAGAAGGTAGCGGTCTCAGTTCATGGTCTCATGAGGTCCTCTTCTGGGCATTTTCGCTTTCAACATTATCAGTTCAGTCCAGGACACAAAGGCTACTTGGCATTTCATCATAGAAAGGTAAGTATCAAAAATAGTACATGTTCCTTGTGTTCATTCAGAAGACCAGGAACAAACGTCTTCTGAAAGGATTGGCAACAACTCTTTCATTTCAACAATTTATAAGTTGGGTATGAAAAAATATATTTACTTCACTTGAGGGGGGAGTGTAAAGCATAAGGTAAAAGCTTAATTATGACATCCTAAAGGTGTTTATGGTTTAGGTTTTGAATGAAGGGTTTGAGTTGGAATACTCTTGCTTACTCTTGATTCCATTTTTTAACCCTTTTGAGCGGAAAAATGGCAACACAAACTTGGACATAGCCCCCTTATTGTGGAACCTCCATCCTTCTCCCATTGAAGCTTATACAATTGGAATTAAGGGATTAGAGCATTAAGTTCTTCATTCACCTCCATTGTAAAGTAGTCAATGATCATTATACTTTCCGTAGATTATACGGATCATGCCTAATGTTTTGTGTAATGTGATCACATTACTATTATCAAAAGTTCATGACCAACCTACTCAATTCTAGCATGGCTATCGTAGACTATGTTCTTGTCTAACTTACGAAATAATGGGATGAAAAATGTTAAAGTTTATATTGTACCACTGTTGCCATCATCCAAGTGTATGTCTAAGTGGTGTTCAAAATGATTTAATCTAGAGATCTATTTTCATTACTAAACATTAGTAATCCTTCTTTGCAATGATATACACTTGATGAAACAATCTATATGATCCAACATTTTGGAGAGTCTTAGAATATGTGGGAGCTATATATTTCTATATAAATATATAGAGGAGACAGGGTCATCCAAATCAAGTTTATTCATTAATTTCTTCCTCTAACGATAGAACAATAAAATCGTTAACTAATTGTGCAAATCATTAAATATATGTTTCATTGAACCAACCTCAAAATCAAATAGAAGGCTCTTCTTGCAATCTAGATCTAGTTTGCAAACAAGAAGCCTCCTGCAGTCCGCATCCATTCTGCAGATTAGTGACTCCATAAATACTTCTTTGTCATTCTGAAAGCATTTACAAATACATGAGTCACCATCATTCATACTTCGACATGAAAATATGTAAGCCAAACTGATCTAAGTGACATGTACTTAGTTTTGACAACGTTCCATGAAGAAAATAAAAAATGTCGAAATATAAAAACAAGAAAAAGAATATGCAAGCTACTAAGTGAGGTTACACAAAACTACTATCGTGATCAATTAAAGATGGAAGACGTCGAGAGAGAAAAAGGCTATAACTTCTTGTTTGATATATCTTAAAGTTATATCATAAGATGAAAATAATTATTTAACAAACGATGAAGAAATAAATGTGCATCGGAAATTGTGTAAGGTAAGGATTCAAAGACAAACCTAAAAGAGAAAACATTGCCCATAGGGAGATGTTGATTTATTATTTCCAGTATATGGTTTCTGCAGCTCAATGTAAGATTACACGTACATCAACAACATCACTATAACAGAGCAAAAGCCGAAATAAAGGATCTGTGATGTATTTACTGTATGTGACTTAGACTAATAAGAAGATTGATTGGAAAACTCTAAAATGCATCTACAAAGAAGAAAAAGCTAGTCCTAAGATGATACGTTTGTCCTACAAACAAAAGACTATGGACATCAAGCTGATGTCACAGACGATAGTTTGATCAACTCTTATCTTGGGTAAGTAGTAAGGAAGATGGAGCGAACCTAATTGAGCATGTCGGGCTGCATTCCAGAAAAAGTGGCCTACTTAAATGAAAGGTGGGGTACTCTTGCCTCAGAGGTGGGGGCCGTTGTGTTCAATCCCACATCACTTTGACAGTCGTGGGCTACTATGCACTCTCTACGAATGGCAATCAAGTGAATGGAGCCAAGGGATGGCAAACGGAATGTTCATACAGGATAGGTTGATTATGTATATACAGGGATTTCTGACATCTCAAAATGGAAATCATTCGGATTTCTGAATCATCTCACCTTTGACATGGTATCAGAGCTTCCTATTCGACTTGCAAAGGTTTGTCGGTTGGATTGATTAGTACCACCTCATTGCTTGGATAAGAAGCCTTTATTGAGTACAGATTTTAACCACACAGAGGGGCCGCTTGATAGTCTCCATATGACACCCTCAATGCCCGTTTCAGCGAAAAAAGATTCAAGTCTTCCACTCAACCAAAAGGGATAGGAAGTTTAGCATCTGTAGGTTTAAGGATCAATGGAAAATGATCCTGAGACTGTCTAACTTCATGTGAATTTGTGGAAGAGCTAGGAGCATTCTTCAGGAATCCTTAGTTCCTGCCTGTCAACCATGAAGAATAATGGCCAATTGGAAAGTAAGATTTGAAAGCTGTTGAATAAGAGTGATTGGGGATTTATGAATGCTCAGTCAAAGACAGCTCTGAGATTGCTGAACATTCTTTCTATGAAGTAGTAAATGAGGATGAGAATGAAACAAAAAAAGCATTCCAATAAGGACCTTAGGACTCTTAGCTGTTCCAACATGTAAATTGCACAACGAATTATTCTGGAGTCCCAAATTTCATGTTGATAGTTATAGATATGGAATAAAATCTTGAAGGACTTGCAAAACGTTTTTGAAATCCTCAACCATACCTAAAACCTTATTCGTGAGATAGGGGAAGAGAAAATAAGAAAAGCAATGGAACATGGCAATTCAAGGAAGGTGACAAGACCTAGATTAAAGAAAGTGAGAGAATACCCAGATTAAAGCAGGGGTGATCAAACAATCAGATTCAATGAAAGGTCATGAAACACCTGTGAAGCGATTTGAAAACCAAAAGGAGATGCCATTGCACCAAATCTAATAGCAGTAAACAAGGAATGTAGAAAATATGAATCTTGATCCGGTGCACTGACAAGTAATCACAACGCCCGTGGAGAGAAAAACTTTTCTTGTTTGATAAAAGAAAAACTCTCTTACAAATAAAACAATATCTGGTACTTATATCAGATTCCTAGAAGGTTCTAGACACACAAACACGGACATATAACTACAAGAAACATAAGGTATTTGAGACAATATATTAAGCACATCTCAACAACACTCCCCCTCAAGCTGGTGAATGGATGTCATCCATTCCCAACTAATAAATAATCTTCTGTAGTTGTGTGCCCAAGATGCCTTTTGTAAGTATATCTGTCAATTTATTGTTTGTTGAGATGTAAGGCATACAAATCAAATTTGTCTCCACCTTTTCTTTGATAAAATGACGATCAACCTCCACATATTTAATATGATCATGTTGTACCGGAATATGCACAAGATTAACTGTTGACTTAGTGCCACAAAAAATCTTCATAGGACTAGTTAGAGAGGTTTTTAGCTCATCAAGCAAATTTTTCACCCAGAGTAACTCTCATACACCTAAGGCAAGTGCCTTGAATTTTTTACTTCTCCAAGTGACAAGGTTGCCGCCAATAAATGCGAGATATCCAGAAGTTGATTTTCAATCAATCATTGATCCTACCTAATCAACATCTGTAAACATTTCCACTTCTACCTTCCCCACTTTGTTTGAAGAAAACTTTTGTACTAAGTGTGCCTTTCAAGTAATGTAACACTCGATAGGCTACATGTAAATGAGATTCTTTTGACTAATGCATAAATTGACTTAATATACTTACCCACTGAGATATTTGATCAAGTATGTGTAAGATAAAGTGGCTGGCCAATGAGACGTTAATATATCTCATGGTCAATAAAAAATTCTTCCTCTGCCATGCATAATTTGCGGTTTTGATCAGTGGGTGTATTGGTTGGCTTACACACAGATTTTCCTATTTTCCTCAACAAATCTATTAGGTACTTACATTCAGAGATGAAAATACCTCTAGAAGAGTGAGCTGCTTCAATTCCTAAAAAATATTTAAGTCATCCCAATGTCTTGATATCAAATGTTTTAGCCAAAAAATGGTTCAAGTTATGTTTCTATTTCATCATTTCATGTGATGATGATAACATCAACATAAATTAATAGAACTGTAACTCCCCTTGAAGAAGAGTGTTCAGAGAATAAGGTATGGTCACCTGACTATAATTTCATTTTTTTTCATTGCTATTGTAAAACATCCCAATCATGCTCGAGGTGACTGTTTTAGTCCATAAAGAAACTTTTTTAATTTGCAAATAATATTCAATGAATGCTGACCTCCATATCTTGGTGGAAGAGTCATATAAACTTATTTGACTAGATCACCATATAAGAAAGCCTTTTTAACATCATACTGTTGACTGTCCTTACTAAAAATTGTTGCTAAAGATAATAAAAATCAGACACTATTCATTTTTGTCACAAGTTTCTTGATAATCAATTCCATATAGTTGTGTATAACCTTTAGCCATCAGCTTAGCTCTATATCTTTCAATCAAACCATCTGATTTATATTTCACCATATACACCCATTTGCAATCAACCATCTTCTTATCCTTTAGTAATTCCACCAGATCCCATGTCTGATTTTTTTTCTAAAGCTTTCATTTCATCACCTATAGCTTGTTTTCACTCATTGGATAGAGCCTTTGAGACATTTTTTGGAATGGTAGTGGTGTCTAAGGAGACAAGAAAGGACCAATAAGGTGGAGAGAGTTTGTGGTAGGATAAAAAGTTGACTTCAAGGGTTTTTGGTGCACTCACATATTAATTTACTTAAGGTGATGGAAAGTGAATTGCAGTTTGAAATGTCTTGATCATTAAATGAAGTAGATGTGGAATTCTAGATATTTTCTACGGCCAAATTAGAATCTGAATTTCCCTACCTAGTGTAGACCTTATAAAATCTAAGTTTTTCAGGAAGTAATCTAGAATAGAACAAGATTTTTTCGGGACTGAAATGGGAATCAACAAATTACCTAAGGATGATGGAATTAAATCATCTATATGCTGATCAATATGATTTGTAAAAAAATAAACTTTGATCATTGGATGAAAAGTTTTGAAATAAGGTTCTGATTCATGAAATGTAATGTCCATTCACATAAAGAATTTTCAAATAAGGGGATGGTAACATTTGTACCTTTTTTGATTATTAACATATACAAGGAATATACATTTAAGTGATCATGGTTCTAGTTGCTCTTTAGTCTAATTATGATGATAAATAAAGGAAACGCAACCAAATGTCTTAGGTTCTAACATGGTTTTAATTTGATGATGCAAAAAGTGGACTGCTAAGAGTTTATAGGGTTGTAGAAGCCTAAGGTTTTAGAGGGCAATCGGTTGATGAGATATGTAGCTGTTAAGGACAGCTTCACCCTAGAAATTTTTTGGCACATTATTTTGAAATAGAATCAATTGAGTTCTTCTAAAATATGTCGTTTTTTCCTTTTGGCTAAGCCATTTTGGTGTGGAGTATATACACAAGAGAATTTATGCATGACACCCTTTGATTGAAAATATGAATTCAGACTTTGGTTAAAGTATTATTTAGCATTATTGGATCTAGATTTTTTTATACTAGTGCCAAACTGATTTTTAATCATAGCACAGAAAAAATTTAAATTTTCACAAACATCAAACTTCTATTTTAGAAGAAATACCCACACACACCATGTACATCTATAAAGGTGACAAACCACTTATTTACACAAAGGTTATTAATGAGACATAGTTCCCAAATGTCAATATGAATATGAAAGAAAGGAATCTTACTCCTTTCTCTTTAAGTTTAAAAGGAAATACCTTTTAAACAAAGCACACACATCACACTTATGTACAAGTGTGTTTAGAGAGCTTACACACATCACACTTAAGGGTGTCCAAGGACACCTTTTGAAACAAAGCAGGGATTTTTTTTTTCAAAGTGCTAAAGGATGGCCCATTTTTTGGGAGTAACCGTATCTTAAGGACATCTTTTAGAGGCTCTAGGTGTTGATTTACTTCCACTAAGTACGTTTGGATCAATCTTTTAAGGAGAAATAGTTCAAATTCTCTAGCAACTCTAATTCTCCGATGATGTACATTATCAAATATAACACAAATATCCTTATAAAAAAAGATATGATAAGGTGAATCTTTCATAAGTTTCTTGATAGAGATGAGATTTTTGGGACATAGAAGACATTAGTAAGGATTCCAAGGGGTTCAAAATTTAAGGTCTCCTATAACAGCAATAGTTAGAAAAGATCTGTCTGCAGTAGATACTTTTTAGTCCCTAGGAAATGGTGAGAAGAATTTATGATATGGTTCGTTGCTTTTGGTCTACAACCCAATTGTTAGAAATATCTGTAGAAGAGGCCCTAATTCCAAGAGAGTAATTAAACTTACCAAACTGAATTCATGAGTGCTATATCATGTTGACTTCAACTTTTCTAATTCAATTCAAAGTCGTTTTATCTCATCCATTTGAAATAGAACACTGAATTTTTGAGGGATCTGATGGCTGATTGATAGGTAATTCTACTGCCAAATATGCTTGACTTCCATATTTTTCAGTGCTGAAATTTTGTGGTGTACCATGCAGTTTATAACACCTATCTGTAGTGTAAGAAGATTTTCTACAGTATGTGTACCACATGTTATCTCAAAAATCAGATTTTTGATTTTTTCTTTGACTAAGTTGATGATGTCGAACTTGATATGATGTTTTCTTCATATTTTTTCCCTTTTTAATCATGAATGGAATATTGTCAATTTCAAGCACTGATAATATTAATTTCTGATGACTTTCTCATTCAAAATGATTGAAATAGCCTCATCTGGATCAGATTTTCTCTCACGGCTCAAAATTTGTTGTCTAACATGATAAAAAATAGAGTTAAGTCTTGCAAGAATTTAAAGACTCTTCTTTGTTCTATAAATTTTGTAGAACAATAATCTCCAGAGGTTTTTTTGTGTCAAGACTATTGTCGAGATGTACTTAAGAACTTGTATACCTTACATGTTTACAGATATGTCCTCTTATATCTTTTACTTTTCGTGTCTACATCAATATGTCTAGAACCTTCTAAGGATCTGGTATAAATACTGGATCCTGCTCTCCTTGTAATGTGAGTTTCTTGATCAATAAAGTTTTTGTTCTTCCACAGGTGCTGGGCGTCTATCAGAGCTCCAGACCGTGTGTTATCTCAACTACATGGTATCAGAGCAATTTTAGGGTTTTAAACCCTATTTTTCAGCACTGTCATAGGTTGACATTACTTTCTTGATGCTTTCTCCATCGTCTGCTAGAGTTACTGGCATCATACATTTCTGGCCAGGGTTCTTCTCCTTTGCTATGTCTCTTGCAGAACGAATCCAGGTGTGGTCGCTCCATTTTTGCTACCTCACTGATCTACTCGTCTATTACAGTTCTTGCACCGTTTTTTCTTGTCTCTATTGATATTTGTTCACGAAATTTGGTATTTTAGTGAATTTGGACTTTTTCTTTAAATGGAAAATGTGGGACACAATTTTTCATTATCTGTGTGGGATCCAACCTCTATGAGGGAAGTTAATCTTGGTCCAAGTGGCTCCAGCTTACTTGCAGAACTTCCTTCAATGCCTGCAGAGTTCAAATTGACTGGATACAATCTAATTCAATGGTCAAAATATGTTCGAAAGGTCTTGACCAGAAGAGGGATGTTACATCATCTGATTGATGGGAAACTGGATCTATTGTCTTGTGAATTTCATAGATGGAGAGAAGATGCATTAATCAAAACCTGGCTTTGGAGAACAATGATTCCCCAAATTACTCGAAACTTTTTCTTCCTATTTCTAGTCAAAGATTTATGAGAAACAGTTCACACAAAATTCTCACAAAGAAATAATGAGGCACATTTATATGAACATGAGACAAAATCTATGTCCACAATTCAAGGAAATAAATCTGTGATTAAAGATGTAGAAGAATTGAAAATTTATGGCAGGAAATCGATTATTATCTTAGTATTGATACAGAAAAACTTGCAGAAATTGCTGTCTTATGACATTTTATCAGAACAAAGAAGAATGTTTAAATTTTTGGCTAGACTTAATTCTGTTTTTGATCAATTCAGACAACAGATTGAGTCGTAAAAGAAAATGTGATTTGGATGAAGCTATTTAAACCATTTTGAATGAGGAAAGTCGTTGGAAATTAATGTTATCAGTACTTAAAATTGACAATACTACATTTATGATTAAACATGGAGAAATTATAAAGAAAGCCACAGATCAAGCTAAGCATCCTCAGCGTGGCCAAGGAAGAAATCAGAAGACTGATTTTGGTGATAATCTGTGGTCACACTAGAGATAGATGCTAAAAGTTGTATGGTAAATCACAAAATTTAGCACTGAAAAATATGACAGTCAAACACATTTAGCACCAAGATTATCAACTAGTCAGCTCTCAGATTCCCAAATCAATCAACATTTTTCTTCTCCTCAGATTAAGGATATAGAGAGGCTTCAAATTGAGTTAAAAAACTGAAGTCGACAGTGACACAATTCTCATCAATTTAGCCTGGTATGTTCCACCACTCTCTTAGAGTTAGAGCCTCTTCTAGAGATATTTCTAATAATTAGGTAATGGACTCAAGAGCAACGAACCACATGATGAACTCCAATCTTTTTACTAAATACAACCCCTATCTTAGTGATAGAAAAGTAACTACAACAGACAAATCTTTCCTAACCATTACAAGTATAGGAGACATTAGACTTGAATTTCTTGGGGTTCTTACTAATGTCCTTCATGTCCTCAAGTTATTTACAAACCTCATTTCAATTAAGAAACTTGTTAGAGACTCACGTTATCATGTCTTTTTTGATGAAGATGTTTATGTCATATTTGATAAGGTACATCCTCATAGGATTAGAGTTACTAGGGAACATGAAGGTTTTTATCTTTTAGAAGAATTGAGCCAAACATATCTAGTGGAAGCAGATCACTCTTTAAAACCTCTAGGAGATGTCCCTTAAGATACGATTACTTCACCAATGGATGGCTCATCCATCCTTTAGCACTTTGAAAATAGTTTTTCTTACTTTATTTCAAAGGGTGTCCTTGAACACTCTTAAATGTAATGTGTGTGAACTTTTTAAACACACATGTACTTCATTTTAATCTCAAAGGGAAAAGTGTGATGTTCTTTTCTTCCTAATTCATAGTGACATTTGGGGACCATGTCCCATTAATGACATTTGTGGTAATAAATGATTCACCAATTTCATTGATGATCGTACAAGATGTATGTGGGTTTTCCTTCTCAAACAAAAATCTAATGAGTGTGATGTTTTGAAATTTTTTTGTGTCATGATAAAAACTAATTTAACACTAGTATTAAAAAATTCAGATATGATAATGTTAAAGAGTATTTTAGCCAAAATCTGAATTCATACTTCCAAACAGAGGGTATCAAATGTAAATCCTCTTGCGTCTATACTCCACAGCAAAATAGTTTAGTCAAAAGAAAAAACCAGCATATTTTAGAAGTCACTCGATCAATTTTATTTCAACATCATGTACCGAAAGTTTTTTGAGGTGAGGCTGTTTTAACAGCCACATACCTCATCAACCGATTACCATCTAGAACCTTAGGCTTCCACAGCCCGCTAGATTCATTAGCCACCTATTTTCTAGACTGTCAATTTAAAACTAGGCTAGAACCTAAGACATTTGGTTCTCTTTTGTTCTCGTTCATAATCAAACTAAAGGCAAACTAGAACTAAGCTCACTTAAATATGTATTTCTTGGTTATGCTACTAATCAAAATATATTTGAGGATATATTTGAGAGGATGTAATAATTGTGGACCACTAGGACCAAGACTAGAATCCCTTGTGAAAGGAGGATCTCTCACAGAGGATGAAGAAATGTCTCCCACATTTTTCATTTAAAAAAACCGGCCGGATTCACGAAATTCAGCATTTTGTCAACATATCTCAATGGAGATGAAAAAAGATGGTACAAGAACCATAGCTGTAAGAGCATAGATCAGTGTTGAAGGAAGAAACAAAGCAATCGCACCTGGATTCACTCTGATACCATGTAGAAAATATGAATCTTGATCCAGTGCACTAATACGTAACCACAGCATCCATGGAGAGAAAAAATCTCTTCATGTTTAATGAAAGAAAAACTCTCTTACAAAGGAAATGAGGTTTGGTATTTATATCAGACCCCTAGAAGGTTCTAGACACACAGACACAGACATATAACTACAAGAAATGTAAGGTATATGAGACAATGTATTAGGCACATCCCGACAACAATGAAAAACTAAAGGAATTTGAAAATGAGAATTATCAAAAGCAATTAAGCTTCGCCTGAGTAAGGAAGAACAAACTGAACATCTAAACCAGCTCAGATAATCATTAGCCAAAATAGGAAAAAAATGTGCATTGAAATTTGATAAAAATGTAATTCTAAAATCAATGGATTTGGGAAAAGAAAGAGACATTATAATAGTATGTCATATATCTGATTTCAGAAACACTTTATCAAAGGAAACATAAAATTGACAGGTAAATTATTTCGTTATTGTTAAAAGCTAATCATTGCTACTATGCTGAGATTATATCTATTAAAAAAGTGCATACCATGTTCTTGGATCTGAAACGTCTGGTAGGCAGAAGTACAGAATTCTTGCCAGCTTTTGAAGAGGAAACTAAACGGAAACACCGATTTCTTGAATAAACACCAGTGTCCACAAAAAGCTGAGATGACAACTCAGCAGAGCAAATATTTTTTCTGATAAACAATTTTTCAAGTTGTGGATCTTTGTCACTGGCTGAACATATCCGTGAGCATAGCTGGTAAATACCACGATGACACCAAACAAACACCCATTACTCTACTTGCCTAGAATAAATACTGGGATTTTGAAATGAGAAATAAGCATTCTATTTCAATGCAGAGATTGTGATGTAAAGAAGCAATTACTTGAAAACTGCATGCAGACTACATAGCATGAGGAGCCATCATTATGCTTAGAGTGTCCAAATTTGACTCCAACCAACACAGGGTCATTACTGTTGCAGCTTTCATGTCATTTTGCAAAGTTTCCAATCAATAGATATTTAGGAGGGGTATCAGATATCAACCGTTAACAGAGCAAGCTTTACAAATATTGAAGTGCTAAAACAGCCAGCCATGATGATTCAGAGGGAGGTAAACGAGAGGTTCATCTTAATGAAGCAAGACTAAATTCTCGTCCAGATTAAAAAGACAGCTTTACAAAAACATTGCCTGGTTAGTGCACACGGCCCTATGACTCTGGATAACCCAACAAAGGGGTCCCTAAACTATTTTCGCCAATCGAAAAAGTTCATGTGAAATCACATGAACAGCTGCATCCCCACCTAAATTGGTCGAGCCTCAGTTCATTTCCATAACTAAATTCATTGACCTGGTAGATATTACTATAAACAAGGCATGAGTAACATTTACAAAGCCAAATGATAGAAAAACAATAACTAAAGGCAGCTGTTTTGCATGATGGTCTACCAACACTGAAACTAAAACTTTCCTTGACAATTCAAGGAAAACATTTAGCAGCACAAGCATTTTATCACTTGCCAAAGATTTAAAGGAATAATGTGTTATTACAGATAAAGTCTAAAGCCATGGATTAGTGATCAATCTTTTCCTTCTAACACTGAGTACTATTATTCACTTTAAGTACACCCAATCAGGTAAAGCACCAACATCCATAAATATCCATGACATACAAGATGGTGAAGAAGAGAGATTATGCGACAATTTGATATCTGTAATCATTCTCCACGTTCAGATTCTTTGATTATTATGGCACTCAGTGCATCTTCCTAATATTTTGGCATATTTTTCCATGAAGGAGATGTAAGATATGATAAAATATTAGAAACGACACACTACCAATATTTCAATATTTTATTGTTACCAGCTTAACACTTTACCTCAGCCTTTCCATCTCCATAACTCTCCATCTCTCACATCTCTCTCACTCTCCTCATTTTGGTGGGGCAAGAATAACAACAGCAGTGATAATGAAGGAGAGACTGCAGATGCTTGCCAAGGCAATGACAGAAAGGGACTTGGCTGAGTTGTGATCATAAATGGTAGAATAAGGTGATAGAAAACAGTGCCTGTGGCTTTGACCTCCTGCTTAGTTTATGCAGACAATGGGTATCTTCCTGCATATTTTCTACAACTACTGGAGAGGAGGACATGCTAGATGAGCTAGGCCTTGGGTCCAAAGTGGTAAAAAAGGCTAGTTCAACACACTCTCCCAACTATATCGTATTCAAAGTGGTAGCTTCGAATATGAGTGCAGACCAGATTAGGGGCCTAAGTGAAGGTCAAACTACGAGAAATGAGATGATAGGTTCAAGAGAAATACAAAAATTGAGAACTATGTATGCACAAGTATGAATAAGGAAAACTGAAAGGATAATGTCATAAGGCTAATGGATGAAAGATAATGATCTATATCCCTGTAGTATCCTAAAAAGACAGAGAAGACTGAAAGACAGTGGAATGAAATTGTCTTAAGGCGTGAGCGATAGTCTGAGATTGGTTTTTGAATATAAATAAAGCTCTTGCACTGACCATGCCCAAGTGTGTCACAAATGGAAATATAATTGTCATATATAAAAAACGAAAATGAGGAGATATAAAAACGTTAAATACAATTTTTTTTATTTGGTGATGGTTTCATCAGAAGATTTAGTTTTCTAAACACATTGAATTGATGATAAGTCTATCTGCTAATTATGTTAATACATGCATAAGGATGATTTACATTGTGATATGCTTTGTTTAGACAGTGAAGGCACCTTAGTTACATGTCAGGTGATATTGTTTATTATGTATGACACGATAAAGATTCTTATTCAATCAGTTTACAAGACTTTAAAACAAAAATAACCTTGCTTTACAGTTAGTCCTCTAAGAATGTAAGACCTATAATACGGATGCAGGTTGACAGCCCTGATGATGGGTTAAGCAAGACATTAACTAGTATGGCGGTGTAAAATACATCTAAAAAGCAACTCTCGCATGTTTGCTGGCATACAATCCTTGATTATTTGTCATCATTAAAAGAGGTACCTGATTAGGAACTAAAGTAGGATACAACAGTTTGGAGGGGGTACAAGTGATCAAATAGTCAGTACCTCAGAGACGAATGCTCCAATATGACCATTGTCCTTGAATGCTGTCTGAGGTATTCTGATGATCAAATGACGGGAAAATTTTTCTATCAAAGACAGAAACAAAAGTCATAAGAAATGAACACCAAAGACATGAGTCATTTCATTTTTCTTTCAGATTAGTTTGGCTCTCAGCACCAGCACGATGGAAAATGAAGATGAAATATGTTGGAAAAACATACTCATCGTTCTTAAGAACCATTATAATAATAACAATTGAGTAGAGTACCAGGATGCTGTTCATTTAGTCACCAGGCTGTTCTACAAGAAATTGACAAGGGAGATGGAAAATTGACAGACTATAACTAGTCATTCAAAAAGCAATGAGACATGATAATGATTGAGGTTGAGTTAGTCCACGACCATAAACTACTCTCCTTGAAATAATGAACCCTATTGAAAAGCCTTATTCATGCCACTTGGCTAGGAGCACATTACTTACTAGAATAATATATACCACAAGAAATTCAAGCATGAAAAATTACAGTTAGATGGTCAATGTCATAACAAAAGAGCCAGGCAGACTTAGGCGTGAAAGGTAAAGCACAAGACATACATGGTCACCTACACGAGGAGGTCACCTTCCACTCACCATTATGGCTTGTCAACTATTGATCTGGGTAGCAAATTCAAACCAATTCCAACTCCATCCCCACCCGACAGATAACAGTGTGACCTGATATTACTTTGAAGTTTTATGGAGACTGTACCTAAGGTACCTGGAATTTTCATACGTTGGGTTCAACTTAAAGTCAACAACAAAACTGACAATGTGGAACATTCTTTCGTTGCCCTAGAGTTAGGAGGATTCTATGCTCCATCTCTTGCTCTAAGACTAAGAGCAACCCTATTATTTGTACGAGTAACTTGTTATCTAGAACCAAACAGAAATTCCTACATTTTTCTGAAGATTAAGACCCTGTTCTTATGTGAAGCATATAGAATTAGAACCAGTTAATCCAATGAAAAGAACAGATTTCACATTGCTAGTAGATTTTATGGAAAAGAATGTATTATTAGGAGTTCGGGTCTTAGTTGGACCAGTTAATAGTTTGTCGGTTTCCTACTTGTTATGTCATTTCCTTGTTTTGTGGTCCTGGTAAATAACAGTCATCCATGATGTGAATACGAGTTGAGTTTTTCTTCTGCATATCCTCATAGGATTTGAATCACTGTTCACGACAGATTCAAAATAAGAAAAATAAAAATAATGAAAATTTAAAATAGAAAAAATATTTGAAACAACTAAAGGAATCACCATTTTCGTTTATCATCCTAATGTTAAAAAGACTAGTGCTACTATACCAATGAAGCCTATGAAATTAATACCATTGAAATTTAAAACACATTAAAAAAAATTATCAGTAACAAAATACTTATTTTCTACCATTTGTAATATTACACTAGGAAAAGAAAAAGTGAGCAAATCATAGATGGATACTAACTAGTTTCTTCCCACCCCATTAAACTCACTGTCTCCATTGAACACAAACTATCATTGCTAAATGTAATGGGTTTCTTATGTCACAGCTCACCTAGTGGACAGTCATCAAGTGGTAATGGGCCAAACATGTCATGGCCCCTTACACTACCTCTAGCATTAGGATATAAACCCTAGACTGCTGTCATTAGTGATTGATTTGTGATTTTCACCATCTACAATCATAACCAAATCCTCAAAGTATCATGTATTTTAAAACTCAGAAAGTAAATAATGTTTTCCTGAACGAAAGAGAGAAGAAAAATAGTAGGGATGCTCAAAATGTGTTTCTAACAAGAAGTGAACATGAATTATTAGAGACATGAGGAAGACCTTATTGTTTGTAACTTGAAAACCTCTTCACCAATTTAAGCATTGTAGAACTGCACTAAAATGCTAGTATTTATATACAGAAATAAAGAAAAGGACCACAAACATTTAGACTCAGATCCACAAGTCAAGATGAATTAAGAAAATGTAAATGCCACAAAACAAGACGTGCATAGGAACATACCAACAGTAGATGAATCCAATTCCATAATCCAATCTTGTTTTCCTTCAATAGAATATTTATCAAATAAAACAGAAAATATAACTGACACCAAGATATCAACCATTTCATCAGCATTTCTTTCAGGGTTGTCTCTCTTATTAAATTCCAGATCAAAGTACAGGTGACAAGGCAAACCCTAGGAAGAAATATTTTTGAACATTTAGAAGCGGCTCAATAAAAATAAAATTTTCAAATAGATCGCAATAACCATACTGATGAAAAAAATGTTTACACTTGTAACATATGAGGATTGGATAAAAAGTGGAAAGAAGATTGGATTAAAGCAACATCAAGATACAAGATTCCATTAAACTCTAATATTTCATAAATTTTTCTACAAAGTTCCTTCAAGGATAGAGTATATGAAAATGAAACCACGAAAATCAAGCCATCCAAAAAGATATTTTATGATATTGGTTATTGTTAAATGTAATAGGCACCTTATGTTACGGCCCACCCTAGTGGCCAAACTTATTGTGGTCCATTACACACCCTCTAAGGTTAGGATATAAATCCTAGACTGTGATCATTATGGTTGGCTTTCCACTTCCTACATGGTATCAAAGTGTGGTTAGGGTTTCAAACCCTTCTACGGCACTATAATAGGTTGACACCATTGTCACTAATGCCATCCGCCAAAGTCTGCCAAAGTTATTAGCATTGTGCCTCTTTTCAGCAAGGTTTTACCACCTCTGTTGTGTTTCTTTTCTGGCGAGGTTTTCTCCTCTGTCGTGTCCTCTCTCTAATGAGGTTTTCTACCTCCACAATGTTTTTTTCCAATGAGATTTTTCCACCTTTATCGTCCTTTTTTTTGGTGAGCTGTGCAGCCTTCACCAAGCATCTATCTGGCAAAGGATGTCTTTCACCGACATTTTTTCTCCACAACTATTGTCACAGTCGCCGCTTCTATTTGCCATCAACGTTGTTGGAACTTTCCTATCTCCCGTCACTACCACCATCACTGTCATCTCCTTCAACATTTGCTGGTCAGCGGTCAACTATGGCAGAAGGACAGAAACCTATTGTTTCACTTACCATATAGGATAACTTCATAATAAGTCAGAAGCTAATGGGAAGGAATTATCATCATTAGCAACGATCAAAGAGAATTTATTTCAAGAGACAAGGCAAGATTAATCATCTAATTGAAGGAGTGTCATCTAACCCTAATCTCTATGTTCAATGGGAGTAGTATGATGCAGTCCTAAATCTATTGTGAAATTCTATGGAGACTCAGATTGCCCAGTTGGTGTGTAATATAGAGACATGCAACACGACGTGGGATCATCTCGCATTGATGTATTCTAACAATATTTTTCAGATATATGATATGATATGATGTATTATGAATTGAAGCAAGGTGATACAGATCTGAGTCAATATTTTGGTGAGATCCCACATCTTACTCAAGATCTCAACTCATTACTTTTTTATCTGCTAACCTACAAATGATGTAGAAGCAGTGAGATCAAATGGCCATGGTCAAGTTCCTTAATGGACTTTGCCCCGAGTATTAGAACATTCATAATTAGAGATTAGTAGGGACTGAACTGTCAACACTTGCTGAAGCCTATTAATGTGTCTCTCGTGCTCTTCTAGATCATGGCATTCTAAAGACCACAACCCTTGTGGAGAACACAATGTTAGTGTCTACTTAGCAACCCTCTCATGGGCTTATTCATAGTGATCACTTTGGAAGAGGGGGAAGTGAAGGTAGAGCATTTGGAGAACATAAAAAATATGAGTGCACATTTTGTGACAAAAAGGGGCACACAAGAGATAAGTGTTATGCACTTCATGATCGTCTTCTTATGACTGCCAATGTTGTTGAAGGAGAAGAGGAAGGACCTCGAGGCACACATTACATCTCACTCTCTAGTGAGGAGTATGCTCACTTGCTCTAGTTTTGAACTGCCCAACCAACATCAATATTAATTACTACTTTAGACACACCTAAGACATCTACAACATGCTTCTCTTGCACATCCACATCCTCTTAAAGTGAATTGCCCCATTGGGTTCTTGACTCAAGTGCAACTAATCATATTACAAATATATCCAAAAAATTTATATCCTTTTCTAGTCAACATGGTCTGTCTATTGTCACCTTAGCAGATGGCTCTACTACACCTATCACAAGTATAGGGTCTTTATATCCTAACCCCAACCTTCTTCTTATATCAGTTTTGCACATACCTAAATTCTCTTTTAACCTTATTTCTATTAGTAAACTCACTCAATCCCTACAAGCTGCAATAACTTTTTTTTCTAATCTATGTTTCATTCAGGACCTAAAGACATGGAGGATGATTGGAGAAGGATATGAAGATAGAAGGCTATACTACTTGAGAAAAGCTTCTTCTGCCATGTGTATTATCACTTCACCACTTCAAGTCCATAGTTGACTAAGTCATCTATCTCTAGAAAAACTTAAATTAATAGTACCTAATTTGTCTAATTTAAAAGTATTAGAGTGTGAGTCTCCCAAGAAAGTCTGTTGTTGGTTGCAAATCAGTCTTTACAATTCAAGTTGAACCTGATGGTATAATTGATTGCTTGAAAGCTCAATTAGTGGCAAAGGGCTTCACTCAAGTATATGGTGAAGATTATTTAGCCTATTGCTAAGATTACTTTCATTCATATTGTGTTTACCTTGGCAGCTCACTTCTTTTGGCCTCTCTATCAACTTGATATAAAGAATGTATTTCTTCATGACACTATATAAGTAGAGATATATATGGCACAACCTCCAAGATTTAGTACATATAGAGGCTCTAATATGGTTTACTGATTATGAAAGTCCCTTTATGATTTGAAGTAATCTCCTCGAGCATAGTTTAGTCAATTCAACAACACTTTGAATGAGTTTAGTCTTCAAAGATGCAGTGTTGATCACTGTCTTTTATCAAAACTCTTTAGTTGGGTGTATCTTATTAGTTTTCTACGTCAATGACATTGTTATCACTAGGGGTAATTATTTTGATATATCTCACCTCAAAACCTTTTTGCAAAGTCAATTTGTCACTAAGGATCTAGACAATCTCAAGTTCTTCCTTGGTATAGAGGCTACTCAATCTAAGGAAATGATTGTTACCAATTAGCAAAAGTATACTCATGATCTATTTGTAGAGACAGAAATGACTAAAGTGAAACCAACTACTACTCCTATAAATCCCCACTTAAAGTTGTCTCATGTAGGAAGATAATTATAGATGATCCAAGATGATATCAACACTTAGTTGGCAAACTCCTCTACTTGACTATCACTCGGTCAGACATCTCATTTGCTACAAGTGTCATAAGTCAATTAATGGATCAACCTCATAGTGGGCACCTTGTAATTATTACACGAATTTTGCAATATCTGAAGAAAAATTCAAGCAAAAGGTTATTACATAAGAATCATGGTCGTCTTAACATTCAAGTTTTTTCTAATGCTGATTGGGCTAGAAGTAGTATAGATAGATCTATGACTAGTTATTGTATTTTACTTGGTGGCAATCTTATTTTTTGGAAGAGTAAGAAACAATTAGTGGTCTCATGATCTAGTGTAGAGTCTAAGTATAGGGCTATAACACATCACATGTGAGCTCATTTGGATTTGACATTTTCTAGAAGAACTCAAGCTTCTTCCCCTTTGCCCTATGAAACTTCGATGCAACAATCAAGTTGCCATTCACATTGCATCTAGCCCTATCTTCTACGAGTACACAAAACACATCGAAGTTGACTGCCATTTATGCTCCTTGGGTGATAGTCATTTGTATCAAACTTGGTGCATATGATATCTATGCTCTAGCTTGAGGGGGGGCTGTTAAAATGGACCCTTTATGTTGCGGCTCACCCTAATGGCCAAACTTATTGTGGCCCATTTCATGGCCTCTAGGGTTAAGATATAAACCCTAGACTATGATCATTATGGTTGACTTTTCAATTCCTACAGTTATAAATGATATTTCAGATGTTTTCATGCATGAAACGTATAACTACTTTAGTGAAAAGGGAAAAATTGTATCATAACAATGTTTCAACACATCTAATATTTACGCTACCTGACTATGAGGATCCATACAGGACCAAGTATAGTGAACCTTGAGCTCAAGGAGCATCTTGTCCAAGGAAGGCAAGACCCACACTTCTATCCTATCCACTATCCTCCTCTATAGACATTCATAGAGACTCAAGCAAAAACCAATATTAACCCCACTTGTTTCAATTGAAAAACTATCTCTTGTAGGACTATTCCTAAGATGTTTTACAATAGGAACAAATTGATGGGAATGAAGCTAAACCTAAAGAAAATCATGAGATAGAACTTAGAATTATGAAAAAAAATAACACAAAGATAATGAATGAGTTGGATTGAGAGCACTGTAGAACCACACATTTGAACGAATCTGAGGGCCATAGCAGTGCAGCAAGCATGTGGAATCTATGGAAGAGAGTATGTCATCGAGATACTGATTGTAGAAAGTACGATCTTGAAATTGATATTAATGAGAACAATCAGAGAAGGAAAATTATGCAACAATACTATTCTGATTGCATGAACTTATGTTTTTAAAGTGTAATTCTATCTTGTATAAAAAGTTCAAATTAAGAAAGACAAGCAATACAAGAATTATTAGAAAAAATCAGTTTCTAATGAAACCCTGACTAGATTGTAGAAACTTACTGTAAAAGGTTGATAAATCCGAAACCAGTTCCTAATTTGGAGATGACCTTTCAAGAGGCTCTAAAATTTGTTCGTAGCATTTTGTAAAGCTTATATAAAGAGGCTCTGAAATTCCCTGGGAGCAAAGCATTACAACACATTCATGTTGCCCCCTTTTCTCTTGGTTCTCTCTCATCTTGTCCATCTAAACATCACAAGGTTTCCTATAACAATGATCAACCCTTCATCTTGACATCTCGATGGCCACACTATGTCCTTTAAGATGAGGACTGAAGTCCCTGTGCTTTTTGATGAAATGCAACTGGAAACATGTTGGTATGAACAAAAACATGATGTGACTTAGTATGATGACATGTATAAATGAAACGGTTGCCAAATCAATGGATTGCATGTATTTTTTTACAGATCATCATGAAATAATAACATTCAGTAAGTCATTTGTCATTGTGTTTAAAGCAAAAATCTTGGTCAATACTAATAGAGGGACTAAAAATAGAGGATGACACAATTTTTACGGACTTAGAAGGATAAACACAGATTCATTGACACATCAAGGAGTTAATTGTGACTACTAACACCCAACAGCCCCTTCTATCCCAGATCCTAATGATGTCTAATCAGCCAACATCTCCTTGATACCTCACACACTCCCTGAATAGGACTAATGATAAAATGGTAATCATGTATTAGGATAAAGCAGGGAGCCTGATCTAAGATTCGATATTACCAGCCACGTAAGAATCATCCTCTTCTTTGCCTAATCTACAATATTTATCATAAAACATATAGTAAAGATTTGTAGAAAAAAAGAAAAAAAGTAATGGCTACAAACAAAACATCATCATGATAGCTGAGCAAACATCTAATTTATCATAATATTAAATTGGTTATATTCTTAGAATTTTATAGTAAACCGTTACCTCTTGAATGACTTCATAATGATGCCGAACTTTTGAGTCCATCCTTTCATACCTGAAATGAGATCAGTCAGAAGACAGCGAAAAATTGTGTCAATTACAGCAGGTATTTGTCAAATCATCAGGCAAGAGTATGATGGAAGTGGGGAAAGGTCAAGATCTACACAAAGTACAATTTAGGCAACCTTCGCCAAAACTCTTCATAAGTGCACACAAGGAACCGTCTTTGCCCATTTAAGTGATCTTGATAGCTGAAAAGATGAACTCGTTCATGTGTTTTGGCAAATCTAACAGCCTCTTCTTGTCTAGGAAATGTAGCCCACACCTCCTCCCTAGATGAATGAAGACAATTAGCATCTAATATAACATCTTAAAATAAGACATGCCAATTTAAAATGATACATGCTCAAGAAAGAAAGGCAAGAATCCAAATATGATAAGGTAAAGAAGATAGTAGAGACCATGTCTGCATCTTGCTCACAGTACCTCAAATTAAACTCCTCTTGTTCCTTGAGATCAACATGGATTTCACGTAACAGCCGTAATAAACGTGCAGGCTTTTTCGCTGGTACACCATGTGGAGAGCCATAAAATACAACTGGAGATATGTGCTTGACACCATTCAATTTACATGCCATAGAACTTGATGGACACAACTGAAATTGGGGAAAATTAACTACAGCTTAGAATGGAAAATTAATCTATCCAAGCACCAGAATGCCCAAGTATTCCAGTGGAGACATTGATGTATAAAACCATGACAAGAAAATCAAGCTACATTTAATAATCCAAAAGTGTTATAGGAGCACACATGGGACATGCAATCAAGGACTCCTGACAGCAGAGGGATCTGGTGATGATTAGTAGTGAGATTTATCCATGGAATAACCAAGAAAATATATTTTGAGAGTATAGGTGGCATGGAAAATCATCCCGGGGAGAGCTTTGTCGGAAAGTGGAAATTCAAGTGCTAGACTAGCAACTATTTCTGACTACACTGACATGAGAGAAGAGACTATGGAATCTGTCAGATGAAGAAACTGGGTAACTTGAAGTTCTAAACCAATTTTGTAGAAAGATAAATGTCAATGGAAAACATAGAAAGATCGAAATGGGTAAGAGGAAGAACTTTACAGTCTGACTGACCTACTATCATACCAGATGGTTGTACCAGACATTGGATGGCATCAAATATAGGGTACTTCCTTTCTGCCACTCGAAATAAAATTCTGAGGTGAGATTTCCACATGGGAAATTGCTCATATGTGACCCAATTGATCCCTTTCTACACAATCTCCAGACTTTTGCAACATATATGGGAATGAAGAATAGTCATTGGCCCACCTGCATCTTATGTGCACATCTTCAGAAGAGATACGATAATTGTTAACCAGCTTTGGAGGAGATGCAGGCAATATAACATCAACAAGGTGTCCTCAGCAGCGATCAGAAATTATCATAGTTTGAATACAAAATACAAATACTACAAGCGATAGAGTTAGAGTCTGACCTAAAACAACCATTTTATTTATAACTATAATAAATTGCATTCAAACTCTTCAACCGAAAGTAATAGACTCTCCAGATTCTTGATGCAACCAAGCAAGTGCTCTATGTGAGGAATACGCTTGCTCAAATAAAGGATCAACGAGCCTGAGAACACCTGCATTAATCTATAGACACATACCGAATATAGCATAAAAATGTCCAGGGCCATTCTAAGATGTCAACTAGAAACATCGTTTAAAGTTGGAGGAATTCCTGACCTTCTCTCTGGACGGGGGTTGTGATTCCTTCAACGAACCCCGTGCTCCAAAGTGGGAGAGCCCAGAGCTCTCTGCTCTCATGTCACCCCGCCTCCTCTGCGCCTCTCCACCTCTTTTCTTCTCCAGCAGCGCGGATTCTGCCACCGAGCTCCATCAGCATAAAGGATGATATCTCCCAGTATATATATATAAAAAAAAAAACCAGCGCCGAGTAAAATGCGCGCTCTCAGGCAGGCCGGAAAGAGAGAGGAGACTGGAGCGTGATAAGGTCGAAGAGGGTTTCTGGGGTTTCTGGGGGGCGTGGAAGGGTGAAGAAGGGACGAGAACTCACGGGGAGTGGCGATGCCGCACTTGAAGCAGTCGAAGAGCCGATCGACATCGTCCTTGGGATCCGACGCCGACATCCCCACCGGCGCCGCCGAGCTCGCTGGCGATCTAACAACTCCGGCGCCCTCCCTCTGTTTAGGCGGGAAGCGGGTTTCAAGCGTTCAACAAACAAACAGCTGCCCAAATCGGCGTTCCACAGACTCGGATCGGAGACCCTGCCGATTTCCGACCCAGACTGAGTCACCGAGTCCGAAGAAAGATTAAGACCGCCGATTCTTATTTTCCTCTAAAATTAAAAATCGAAGAAAAATGCCACGTGTTGGATTCGATCTAGGGGCGAAGAATCCAGTGGTTTCCCGCGCCACAATGCCATCCTCTTTTGTTATTATGCTCGTTTCGGACGAACCGTGGCGCCGTCCTAGCGAATATTCCCTTCGCAAGACACTTGGCGGCACTTGCTATGGCCGACTAACGGCGCGCCACTCTCGCGTGAGCGGCGGCGCTGTATTTTTAACTGATTTCCAAAGGACTCCAGTACTTTTAGAGAAATTGGCTTTTTATCCAAAAAGTAGTACATATAAGAAAACAGGCATTCTCGATGGTGGACATGCAATATAATTATTTTTAGATATAACCCTCTGATGTGGTGATCCGAGAAGTTTACCAGATATTTGGTTCATATTGCGTTAAGAAGCATAATAGTATAAATTTTATTAAGTTTTACTTTTATCCCCTATTCTATTCTCCCCTATAGATTATTTTTTCAACGTTTCTTATATCTTTCAAAGGTAATATATTTATATAAATTCAGCATCGAATCAAATGTTATTTTCGATATATGTCTCCATATTTTTTTAACAGAAGCCTCTTGATTACAATATAATGCTTCTGGGCATCTAACAGAAATGAGCTTAATAAGTGCAGGAACCAAATTCTGTTAGTACAGGGTTTATGCGTACAAGTTGGGTCGGTACACCGTTCTTTTGACGGTGGCCGGTAGAGAGAGAGAGAGAGAGAGAGAGAGAGAGATGCTATGCTAATTCTGGTTTGCTTTATTCTCCTTCTGCACCTCCGAGGTCCAGCGAGGTGACTCTCCTCTGTTCTGCCATCTTTCTCCGACATAGCTACCCGTTGGGAGCTTCTCTAAGCCTCCTGAGGTGCCGGAGGAAGAGCGAGAGGACGCGAGAAGGGGATCGTACTGCGCGGAATTGCAGCGCGTTCTGGCTGTTGGAACGGGCAGAGTTGACAGAGGAGAGGGAAAGAGATGGCGGGTAGCGAGCACCCGTGTTGTCAGCCAATGTTTTGGGTGTATCTGATGATTTGCGTGGCGCTGGTGATGTTTGCCGGCCTCATGTCGGGGCTCACTCTGGGCCTCATGTCCCTCAGCCTCGTCGATCTCGAAGTCCTCGTCAAGGCGGGGCGCCCTCGGGACCGTGCGAACGCCGGTCTGTTCCATTGCTCCCTGGTTTTAGCTCGATTCCTTCATTGAATATCGTGAGTCATTCTAGCTAAACTCTTCACAGCTAAGATCCTTCCCGTGGTAAGAAACCAGCACTTACTGCTCTGTACCCTGCTCATCGGCAACGCCCTTGCGATGGAGGTCTGCCTGCATCCTATGTTCCATATTTGTTCTCATTCTTTTGATGTGTGTGGAATTGAATTTTTTCTTTCCTTCTTTCAAATCTTCACTCGTAGGCACTGCCCATATTTCTTGATACGTTGGTTCCGGCGTGGGGGGCCATCCTGATATCTGTGACGCTTATTCTCACATTTGGAGAGGTAAGACCCCCGGAAGGTCCCTCCTTCCCCGTCTTTCCTCTTCACTTCGGAGGGTTGTTTATTAGATTGGATCCAACGTAAAATTGAGAGAGAAGCGTCAATTCTTTTGTTTCCTGACTTCTGTATTCATTTCCAGATCATCCCTCAAGCTGTATGTTCACGCTATGGACTGAGCGTTGGAGCCAAGTTGTCTGGAGTAGTTCGGATCCTTCTACTGGTGTTCTTTCCCATAGCGTACCCAATTAGTAAGGTGATTCAGTTTCCGTAATCCTATCATGTCTCTTCTTCTGTTCTCAAAAAGGTAATGTTCTTGGCATTTTACTCTAACAGCTGTGTGATGACCACTCCTTGTCGTATAGACCACTTGCACTTATTCACGATTATTTCATTTAGGTCGGTATGGATTTTATTAAATCTTCAAGGTCTTTATTGTGTTGTGTGCTGACCTTGGTTGAATCCTATGATTGACTCGACCATCAGCCCCAGGGAAGTCGTGTCTCATTCTAGACTAGTAGCTGCATGTTACTCTTGGGCTTGAAAGATGTTTCTTCTTCTAATTATATTTCGAGACGAATTCTTAAAGTTTACATTGCTTGACCTTGGTGCAGTGCAAACAGGAGCAGAAAGGTTCATTTTTACCATCATTTCTCACATCCGAATCTTCATATTTATAAAACCAAGCTAGATCAAATGTTTTTTCCAAAGAGTCTAGTGAGCACATTATATAGATTACTGATAATAAGATGGTGTAAAAATCAGGATTATGACAACCTTGTGGATTCCCATTAATATGTCCAGCATTTTTCATTAGTTTTTCTTTGTCAGTTCCTTGAGAATTTTCATACTCTCTCAATCGCTTGTTTCCTAATGATTTCTCCTACATTCATTCAGTTAGTTGTTTTCCCTTTAATCGATTTCAAAAACTTCATGCCCTCCTAATTTTGATTCTTATTCAATTCATCTTGAAACTACTAAGATTTTTTTTTATATATCTCTTGGGAAGATCTTGGACTCGCTTCTTGGAAAGGGGCATTTTGCACTGCTAAGAAGGGCTGAGCTGAAGACGTTAGTTGACATGCATGGAAATGAGGTCAGTCTCTCACATTTGTCTCTCGTTTTTTGGTAACTCTTCGATTGCAGTTAAAACAGTGTAATCTGAACAACTTTGGACATTCTGATGAGATCTCCAATGGGTCAATTATTGAAGGAACTTGGTGTTCATAACCAGGCTACTAAGTATCCGGGCTCAATACATCAATCTAAAACTTATTCGTTAGGGTAAATTGTACCTTAATTACTACTATTCGTATTTTAGTAGTGAATAGTCATGATGTAACAGTATAATTAATGTAATAATTATAGCATTTTCATCTAGTTCCAAGTAATATTCTTATGTGAGAAGGTATCGTGGGAGCTATTTTACCGTCGAGTTAGTAAATTGCCACCGGTTAAATATAGAACACAGAGCTTTAGTCTGTGTACAGCTCCCATTCAAGGGACGGTTTATGATCTCGCTATTATGTTTGAAGAGTATATGATTACCAACAAATTCAAACCTGTAGGTTCTTAATGGTGGCATTCCATATTTGTGGAGTAATGGGACATCACAGATTCTCCTAGGAAAATTTATGACTCTTTTTTACTTATCACATCAACAGGATCTTTGGTTCAGACTCGATGAAGTTGATTGTGATGAGAACACCCAATCCCCAGTGAGATACTGGAAATTTTTGAAATGAGAGCAAGAAAACCAACTATGTATTTTCTAATTTTTCCACCTTCTGCCTTTCCTGGATTGCCCAAACAGGCACCATCTATATCCAGTTTATTCTCTCCATGAGATGCAGTATTCTAGCTGATTATGTTACCCTTTGAGAGATTTGTGGAAGAAAGATACTGGATATGAATATGATATCCCAATCCTTAGGATTATACTTCAGATATTTATTGGAGCTCATGTATGTTTCTTTCTTCTTTCCGTTTCACTTCAGTACACCTTAAAATGTAGTAAACAGACCATAGGGAGGCTTGTTAATGTGGTAAAGCATTTTTTTATTATATTCCTTTATACAATTGGTTCCTACTATTTGATCAGGTTTTATGCAAGATTCGTTGATTTTGTCTTCTTATAAATCATATCATGGACAATTTCTTACACGTCATAATTTGGTTTCAAAAAGTGTTTTCTAGATTAATAATCATACTTTACTTTAGGAATCATCCAATTATTTCGTCATTTTAATTTTTCTCTATTGTATGTTAGGCAGGGAAAGGTGGAGAGTTGACTCACGACGAAACTACTATTATCACCGGAGCTTTGGAATTGACACAAAAGACCGCTAAAGATGCCATGACACCAATATTAGAAACATTTTCCCTGGACATAAACTCTAAGCTGGACATGTATGTTGTTTATTTCTTCTGGAACTATTTTCATTAAGTTTTTGGGCTGTTCTGATTGTTCATTGTTTACCCTCTCTTAGGAACACAATGGGTTTAATAATGATGAAGGGGCATAGTCGTGTGCCTATTTACTCTGGAGGGCCCACAAATATTATTGGCCTTATTTTGGTGAGCACATATACTGTCGTATTGTTATTAGGATAATGATTAGTCATGGTTTCAGCCAAATTTCCTTTCAGTTTAGCAATCCAAACTTCGACCACAAGAACATAGCTTATAGGTCCAACATTCAGGAAATTAAAACTGATGGAAAATATTGATGAGAAGAATGCAATTCCAACAATGGTTTAGCTGTAATAGTTGCCTTATCAATAATATATTTTCGTAGAAAAGTGTTTACAACTAGTTTGGTCTCTTGGGAATCCATCCCTGTTTAATTGCCTGTTACTGATGTTGGAGTATAACGGAAAGGCCACATTGATTTTATTGAGACGATTAATTATTAAAATAACAATAAATAACGATGATGTGCAAAGTGTAAATCAAATAATTGAGTTTAAATTCATTGAGCTGTATGATTCACTATTAGATGTGTTATTGAATTACGGATGAACGAATTTTATATTCTTTAGGAAGAAACTCCCATTCATTCAGAGATCAACAATGTTTCAAATCAGCTATTTTGAGCACAGAGTCATCCGCCTCGTCTCCACAACCATTTGAAAATAAAGGCTCTATTAAAAGTATTTTTTTGGTTAAATTAACTCCCATTTTTCCAAATTTCCCTTTACTTTGTCAGATGCAAACCTCTTGTATCTCCACTAGCTACATTCGAAAAGGTGTCAAGCGGCTTCAACTTGTTTCTGGTAGATTTGGCATCTTAAGATTGACACTATCCAAAGCTAAGCTGAACAACATCAGTGTTGAGAGAATTCTTATACCTCCCAAAATACAACCTTCCTACCCTCCAAATTTCAGGAAAATCTTGATATATTTAGCGTGGCCATTTGGTAAATTTCATATATATTTCAGAATTTATCAAGCATCCAAATCATATATATTAATGAAAGACATAATGTGTCAATGAGGTGGTAGCGACAGTCCAGTGATTACGTCACATTCTGTGGCAAAGTAACTTGTCTCCCAAATATTTTGCTTGTCTGTGGCATTTATGCTATTTTTTGGCATAATTCAATAACCTCTAATAGATTCCATGAATGTTTTAGTTATCCTGCACATATTTCGAAAATTAATTGTTAATTTCTTGAAGGCCTTCATAAGAAGTAAACTGTCGTAAGTTAATATGACGAACCTTTCAATATGTTCCAGCGCATTTACTGACAGGTTGGCGTTTCATAGGCTTCCTAACGTAAAGGATGTGAATGGATCTGTACTGCCAACTGCCTAAGAATAATCTTTCGTTTTCTGTTTGGGGCATACTTAAATAGGCTGATAAACGTCCTAGTGGAAGTGCAACCCAGTTGAGAAAAGGACTCCACTGGGTAGGAATTGAAAACAGCTATTTTCTAATTTGCCGTTGATTATCAATCTTGTTGCATTGTTTATGTAATGAAGAGGACTGGTAAAATTGGAATCTTTCTTGTAGAACAAGATGTAGGATCCAGTTAGTTTTTCGATATGTTCATGCTTTGCAATGTCATCCTTGTAAGAGTGAAAAAATAAAAGTTTTATAATCATTAAAACTTGATGTTTATAAGTAACATGTGCCTCAGTTAAGCAGAGGTGTTTAATGCTTTCCAGAATGATTACGACTTTAGTCATTATATAGTTATATATATATATTTCTCTTTGCTGAATTCAGACTCGGTGTCTAACACAATCAAAACGCGATACAGAACATTCTTAATAGAATGATCCTGATGTTATCTGCCACATGCATTGGGAATATGCTTGATGTTAAAACACCCACAAACCTTGAAAGAATAAATTTCTTCAGCTCTAGGCTTTATTTGATTTTTCTTCCATTTTACTATATTAGCGTGCTTATTTTGTTTATTTAAGATTCCTGTTTAATAAATTATGCATAGTTTTCAATCATCCGAACTCAATAAAAGTCTGGTGTGACAATTATGTAACTTAACAGTATTTCCTTTTCAGGTTAAGAATTTAATTACTTGTCGACCTGAAGATGAAGTTCCTGTTAGAGATGTTACTATTAGAAAAATTCCTAGGTATATCTCTCAGCAAAGCTCCACTCTGCGATTTTCAAAGGCTCACTCTGTTCTTCATTATTTTTTTTCTGTTATCCTGATAAGCTGAGAAGCTGATAAGCTGAGAAGCTACGAAAAATGAAGAAAATCATTCTAATTGTTATTGAAACTGAGAAGCTGATTTTATTGATAATAAAAGGATAAGCTTTTTGATAACTTGTGATGATTTTATATATGAGGTTTAAGACTAAGGACTATAAGATTTCGAAAATAAAAATCTACTAAAAATTAAGCGAATATGATAATGTTTTCTTTGATGAAAGTTAGAGGTTAAGCTGTGCTGAAAATAAACTAATTGTACACACGGCTCTCACTTCTAAATTTAAGTGTGGACTTTGGTGTGGACAACTCGAGGTGCTGACGGCCCACTGACATGTGTTGGTGGATTGAATTCAAAATAGATATCAGATTGCATAAAGTTGACACATGTGACAATAACTTGGCTTGGTATGAAGAAAATCTCGGCAACCCCCTAACATGGGTTGACACATCTAATTTGGAACAGAAACCAAAACTATACAAGTCAACACCATCAATAGTCTCAAAGAGTGTGTTCACAGCCCACTGACAATTGTTCTCCAGTACAATATGGGAAATAAAAAATAGAAGAATCTATGGAGATTGATGTCTATTTTTAAGATGCCTTGGATTTTCTTTCGTCAAGTCAATAATTCTTAACTGATGTATTAGACAATGGACACTCAGAATCATAGAGCCTCTAACTTCTTAATGAAGTCTGTCGCAGCACATCAATCAACAATTGATATGACTTGTGAATCCGACTGTTATGTTATATTTATGTCATTGAAATGTCCTCTTCGAAGTTTGCCTTAATAGTGCATGAAGAGAGTATTTGGAGCAATGATTTATAGTTTTTGATTCTTGGTTTCTTAAGAGTCTGTCAAACTTTGATGAGTTGGATCATTTTTTTGCAAGTTGAATGCTGATCTGCGACTGCACCTGACGATTTGGCCTACCCGACATTGGATAGAATATAGGAAGATTAGCCCATAGTGAAAATGCTATGGGCAGACGAGCATTAGAAACAAGTTAATTTTATACAAAGCTGCAAACAAAGTCTCCCCTCCTCGTATTTCTTTTTCCTTCATTTTTGTGTTGGGGTTTGTAGCCAGCTTCCATCTTGTTACATTGTGAATCAGGTTTTGCAGTTGTCAGTTGCGAGGTTGCTGCCAGAGACAGCCATCCAATATTTTTCTCCCCTACATTGATTCTTTTCCTCTTCACCCATCCGTTTTTTGGCCCGTTATTGTCTGGCAATTTCAAGTCTGATCCTGTAGTGCTGATCCTGTAGAATGTCTTTGAAGCGAAAGAGGTCTTTCGCCCAGAAACCTTCAGCGAGAGAGTAGAGAGAATATTCCAGCTGGAATATATCGAAGTTTGACTTAGTATACAATTAAGGGGTCCAAGAAGGTCTAATGGACCCAAGTAGATCTAGTCAATCCAACTCCAACAAGAAAAAAATACGTATTCCTCAAGACATCCCGATCTGAACTAGCTCATACAAAAAGGATCAGCCATTGATGATAGATGTATGCCACTCTCTTCATGTTTCTAAAGCTTGCGCAGATGTTCTGATGTTCCTCACCTCTCTCTTGGTTCTGTATTTCTTTTCGGTATTTCTCCTCGATAACCTCTTCGAGAGTGTCACTTTTGTGATTCATAGGCCAATTTAAATCACACTCAACCAATACCCAGTGTCATGCATCCCACCTGTTTGGTTCTTCAATTTCATTTTAATTGTCAGCAACTGTCCAGGTGGTGTGCGTTTATCAAGTTTAGTGAATGTGAGATATTTCATAATTGAACTGACGTGCAAATGACTGCGGTGCACAGTGGCCATTTTTATTTTATGTGACAAGTTGAGGGTGAGATAGTTACTTCTACAGAATGCGAGTTTTTCTTATATTTCAGTATTTCTGGTACGTCTAAAGAGTGTTTCCTTGATTCATTATCCATGGGTAAATATTTGGTTTCCTTGTGACTATCTATACTGTTGCCTCTAAATACAATAAGTTCTACAGTAGGTTCCATTTTTTCTGGTTTTCATTCAGTTACCATCAATTTCTTTAGTTATTAAAGCCTTTCTATGTTCCAGGGTTGCAGATGATCTCCCACTTTATGATATGCTAAACGAATTCCAAAAAGGTCATAGCCACATGGCTGTGGTTGTGAAGCAAATAAAGGATACTAGCACAACAGTGGAAAAATTCAACAACAACGGGTCTGAAACCAGAACCAATCGGAGTCAGAGGCGGACTGATGGTACTTTCCATAATTATTTTCTTGTAACTAGTCTTTGATCTTTGAGCTGATATGAAATATTGTGTGTCACATCTGTATCTGAGGAAGACTAAGTCTACATGATATTATGCCATTTTTGGGGCTAAAAGGCCGATTATCAACTTCCAGGGGAAAGAATGCGTAGTCCTGTTTTAAGAAGCATGGACCAACGTGGAGATAATCACCCACAGATAAAGAAATGGGAGCGATTACGACAGCAGAATATTCTTGACGATTTGGATTCCCTGCCAAGCTATCCTCCCGATGAGGAAGTCGTTGGTATCATAACAATGGAAGATGTTATGGAGGAGTTGCTACAGGTTTGAAATATTAGAATCATGCAATTTACTTCAAAAACTCTTGGATAACTTGGGGTATAGATGACATCTTCCGTTTGTTAGTGTGATTATGCTTCTACCTGTACATGGTCAAATCTGATTTAGTGCTTACATGGAATGTAATATAGATTTAGATTACTCATAAAAATTTTATTATATCTCTTCGCATCTTCTAGCACAATGGGTATTATGATATTGATGATTTTCGCTGGGATGGGTTTCATTTTGTTTCACTCTGGCTCTGCATTAAAATATCATATTACTTTTGAGAATATCGGTAAAGCATATTAGTTACCAACCTGTCTTGGATAGAATTTCGTAAGGATCGACCCCAAACTTGTACTTTGGATCCATATTCTTTACGCTGAAATAATCAGGATGTCACTTACAGTAAATAACCTTCAGCGTAATGTTGAATGGCCATCCATGAGCAGACGAGAATCGTATGCAATTGTTTGCCGATGCTTGTGAGATTTTCAATTTTGTGGTCACAAGCAACAGCCATTTGAGAATTACTTACGTGTACTACTCTGGATCATATTTCTTCAAAGGCACTGGATGAAACTATTCTCTTCTAACCTTCGTGAAAGTTCTCTCTTGTGGCCCTACACCTTCCTGACATTATACCTGATTTTTTTTGAAGGAGGAGATCTTGGATGAAACGGATGAATATGTTTACATGCATGACAGGTGAATAAATTTTACCTATTATGCTCCTTCTCTCCCTTCACCTTCATTTAGTTTGAAATTCTCTCCATTATTTTTTCAGGATCAGAATAAATATGGTGCCTCCAAAGATATCATCTCCAAAATCTCCTGCGGCTGCGACCACCACCCTCTTTCAGAGGCAGATTTCAGTGGGGTCTCCTCTTCCTCATCGTCATAGCTCTATCTTGAGCTCACCTGTTCAAGCTCCTGTTGGTTCTCCACCTCGACATGCAGCTGACAGCCGCACTCCTTCAAATCAAGTAAGTGCAGAAATCTTTATGATTGCTTCTTAGTCCCTTTCATGTATTAGTTCCAGAACTGATACTCCTTAATTTATTTATCTCAGCCCTAGAGTATGATTGTCCGACGTCTCCTCCCAAATCTCAATATCACACGTTGTCCTAATACATTTTAACAATTTTTATTTGCAATGAAAATATTATTTTAACTGCTCCTTCTGGGACATTATTTCACGTATCCCTTTTTAACATGTTTTCCCAAGAAACATTAATCTATAAAAATGGTTAATTTTAAGTAATCAAATGAGCTAATATATCTCACCAAATCTCTCTCTATTTAGTAGGCAAAGCAGAGGGTTTTCTCAGTCAAATTCACCGATCAAGCTTGTTGAATTGCTCACTTATCCCTCTATTTAACTGTGCGAATTCTATTTGTGTTGTTCTCAATTCAATCTATTGACGTGAATTCTCCAAATTTCTCATTGACATAGAAAAGTTTATGTATAAAATATCCCAGATATATCACCCTGCAATCAAGTTCCCTTTGTCTATTTGAATTAGTTCAGGTAAAAAATATATTGAATGCGAGTTTTCTATCCACCTATGCTCACATGAATAGATGCGATATAAAACAACATTTCAATGTTAAATAATTTGTCTGATTGCATATTTCTAGCATCTGAGGAGGCACCTTCTATCCCTTGTTTTTCTAATCTGTAGTTAGAAATTTTCTTTCAAGTTCATGTGTGCCCTCCCCTCTATTCAGGGTCTGGGGATCTCATCGGAATTGCATCAGAGAGATGGTTTATAGCGACTTATTTTGTGCTTTCCCACTATACCTGAGGTAATGGAAGAAATTTCATTAAAAAATCAATTAATTACTTATTTGATGAAAAGTGATGGTTATAGTGATGCTCCAGCATCTGAAAGTGATGAAAAGTGATGGATATGAGTATTGCTCTAGATGAGCATCGCCATCAGGCGGCAAGTTCAGTTGGTGACTTCATATAAGCAAATGTACTTATGCTTTCAGAAGGTTGAGTTAGATGTCTAGAGTACCACTAGAATGAGCTATCATCAGTGCCTCTATCAAAAGTCTTTTGTAATAAATATGTGATGCCTCTCTCTCTCTCTCTCTCTCTCTCTCTCTCTCTCTCTCTCTTGGTCACTCAAGGACAAATGTATTGCTATGAGAAAAGTCAACTTCTGAAAATGATCAATTATGTGAGGACTATTTTATGATTCCAGTCACTTGAATTGTGAACTATGAGATAATCAACTCTCCATGATGAGATAATTCTGGTTGTCATAATGTTATACTTGGCGTTAGAATAGTGAATTTTTTTTTCCATTCGTCTTTATTGAGGCTATGAGCACAATCATGACACTGTATTCAGCATTGTCCTCTCCATGTACATTATGATGCACTTGCTCAAGGAACGTGTCAACTTCATTTGTTGACCTTTCTTCTCATATTCACATCAATTTGAAAGCAAACTTTACTCCTCACTTATCCATAATTTGTATATATCTATATAAAGATCTAACGTTTCACTCTCTCTTTTCCTGAATAGTAATCATGTTAAAGTCACAATTTTGAGGATGAAGTTAAAATATGGTAAGAAAAGTATAACATCCCTAATTAGCTTCAATTTGATCTGAGATCACTTGGAAGTCAAGCACAAATTTAGTATGGTTTCGAATTTTTTTCTCATGTGCTAATGGTTAAACAGATTTTCTCATTGGATAGTTAGAAAAGAAATTAGAAGTTTTTTACATAAAATGTAGAGATATATGTTGGGTATTTTATGTGCTTTTGTAACCTTATTTCAGATGGAAATATATTTTTTATCAGATTTTACTAGGGACATTTTTTTACTCAAAATTACAGCATATTTCATAATATTTTGTAGTATTTTCTGAAATCGTAATATTTGACTAGTTTAAGATTTGTATAATGTTAAATCAAAATACACCTTAACATTAGTCAAAAAAATTATGTCAATAATTAAGTGAACTTTAATTTCATGTAGATAACATGATTTATAATTTTTCATAAAAAATAGTAATATAGATGGGTGATTTCTTAGTCTTAATAATAATCAACTAGTTATTCTTTACATTATCAATCCTTGTCTTTGTCTGTTACAAGAGAGAGAAGATGCTTGGATGGACATCTTTCTCATTTAATTATTAATCAAAGATATTTCTCCATAAAGAGTTTGCTTATCTAGATATCTACAGGATCCATTCTAAATTTATGGAGTCTCCAAATAACTTCTCAATGGTGCTTCGAAAAACTCTTTAACAATACAAGCCTATCTCGATAGCGAGATTATTCTTATGTTACAAGAAACAAAGAATGTCTAAATGAACTCCATGTTACTTGATGAATTTTTAGATAGCAAATGAAGTAAGGCCTCAACCTTGCACTTCACATAAAATTTAAATCTTAAAGAAGGTAGAGTGCTTCTGTTCTTAACATTTTTTCTTGTGCTTCTTTGTCCCCCACAACTATTTAAAGAGGGGTTGAATGTGGCCTCAAAAATAGTATGTGACCAAGTATTGATTGAATTTTGCAAGTGAGATGTGTATTGACATTTGACTTTTGAGTCAAAAATATTTTGTTGTTGTTGAAATAATCGAATGAGTAAAATGAGACGGTATATAACAATTGATTTAATGTTTAGAGGAGTTCAAGGCCAAACACCTTCATAACTCTGGTGATAAAATGTTGAATCAAGTTGCAGCACTAAAATGACAAAACTTGTTCCTTCCAATACTCTCATTGACATCCTTTTGTTGCCTTTGAATCAATCACAACTTTGATTGGTGGATTTGTCAATGAAAAATAGTAATTTTATAGTAGTACAATATCATTAATTATTTTTAAATAATGGTATTAATCCAATGTTGAAATTCTCAAGAAAATGAGGATTAAATATATAGCAGTTTACCTTTTATTTTCATGTTGAGTCAACTCACCTAAGTTGAGTACTGAAGTGTCCTTTATTAAAAAGAAAAAAAAGGATAGCAACATAGTGGTACATTACAATGAATCGGACATTAGAAATTAAAAAATATTTATTGGAAATCATAGAAACAAGAAATTTTCAACCATTCTCACAGTGAAGGAAGCAAATCTTAACCTCTATAAAGCTAATGAATATGCATTGATGGAGAAAGAGCCCACTTGCAAAAAGACATTCATATTTAATTGAGGAAAATAAGAATCAAGCAGCCACATCAAAATGTCAAGCTTCGTGGATGTTTCAAGGAAAACTTATGTTGTGTAATTCATACGATAGATATTTTCTTTAACAATATTTGTTGATTTTAGTAGAGGGCTATTTTGGCAAGTGTCTGCTAGATGCAGGAGCCATATTTAGAGCTATAATCTAAGTCAACATGTTAGCATTGAAAATATTGTCATTGAGTTACTAGGTCTATGAATTCATTGGTGCAAGGGGAATAGTAGAACCAAAGAAAGGTGTCTTTAGGAGACTACAATACATAGGTGGCTAAATCACAATAAAAATCCTTATTGGACATTTCTATCACAATAATAAAGGTGCTCCTCTCCTGGTTTCTCTTTGGAAATTATGAGCCTAATATCAAGGACACACTATGTTATAAATTTCTAAGAGTGGCATTTTTTAGTATTTTGTAAGGGCTTTGAGTGATTAAATTATTCCTAGAAGAGAGTGCTTAGTTGACAAAACCTAACTTTAGAGTAATGAATTTAGAACAATGAGCTTACATTGAGTGTCTAATGGAGGGTCAATTAAATCCATGACTTTATGAGCTTAATGGGTAGTTGACTTCAAAGAGAGCCATAAAATCTAAAAGATGTGCTCTTGGAAGAATATAGTATGTTGATAACTCAAGCATTGTAAGCACACCCCTGGCTTTACTAATCAAATCAATTGGCTCACCTTATTTATAAAAACCTAAGTTAAGTTAGACCAAACCTTTGAGATTCGAAAAGACATTCACCTACCTCTTTTGGTTCTCATTTTCACACTCCACAGACCAATAGTGTCAGCTCATTTGATTTAATGGATAAGATATGTTGAAATTGGGCCAATTTTTGAAGTATTTAACTAGAACTTGGTCAATGTTCATTGCATTTTATTTGGTGAGTCAACATGTTATTTGTAATTATAATTTTTGCATGTATAACAATTCTGGCTTTGTTAAATCTTTATGCTCTTATCTAGTTCAATGTTGGTTGTCATGATGCTGTCTTGGTGGCATATACTAGTTCAATTATTATTCATTGTCTATGGACTATCCAATAGATTGACTAAATAGTGCATATAATCTTAAGGTGTGTGCACATGTAGCTAGGTCTTGTAAAAATAGGACAATGTAGTCCATGTGCCATCTATTTATTCGTTTAGCTAATCTCATCGGATGAAGAAAAGTATTATAGTACATATAAAAAGAATGAAATTATTGCTACTGACAATTAAGTTTTATTGTTATGCAAATGTAGTGTGTGATTTACAATAAACTCAATCATGTAATGATATGTTGATCAAAGTTTTCTCTAAATATATGTTGCTCCTTTGTTACTAGATATCTTCTATTGAATCTAGGACTATAATATAATTAATAAATATGAGCACTATAATCATAAGATAATATTTTAATAGCTAATAAGGCTCAATTATTTATTTCTCATTTTTACTCTTAATTTAATTCCATGGTTTCTCATTTTAAATATATGATTTATTTGTGGTGCATTTTTTAATGTTTCATAGAAATTGAGTGAAATTAACTTTATTGAATGGAAAGACTCGTGTACTTTCTAGTTGGAATGAGTCTCCAGTAGTGAAATAAATATACCATGCAACAAGGTAGTTGGGTATCTTATATGCAAAACATTTACAATAGATGATAGCTAACTACACAAAGGAAAAATAGTGACATTTGGACGATTTTTAGAAAGGTTTAAGTTTGATTGAAAATATTCACTTAAAATAAAGTTAATCGTTCATTTTATCTACATGAGTCTGAAAATAATTAAGTTGATATTTATGTGAGGTTCATGTGATCTTGTCTCTCCTAGAAACACTATATTCTTCAATCTTAGTTTTGACATTTAAAACAGTTTTAGAATTGTTGAATTCCAACTCATGTCAAAATGTTGTTGACTTTAGCATTAAAGAACCAAACATGCATGTTGGCAATCATTGTAAAGTTTTAGACACCTTCACAATAATGTCAAAGGAGTTTAAGAAAAACTTATAAGTTTGTCTTATTTTAGAACTAAAAAATATCTATAAAGTAAAAATGATCATTTTACATCATTGTTACAACAATGTTACATTGCAGTAAAATGATGATCGATTTCTGTACAGATCCAAGGAGAAGTTTCACCAAAGCTAAGATTGATTTGTAGATGTTTCACAATTTTATGTATTTTAAGAAAAGGACACAATTCAAATAATCAATTGACTCGAGATGAAAAGGTAAATTCATCATGAGAAGAAAAAGATAGATAAAAGAAAAATGTAACATCACCAGAAGATTAATTAGAAGCATTTGTGAATAGTTTTATTGGGATGGAACAAATGGTGATATTTTTGAACATTTTGAGGTCAATAAAATGAGAAACTAACGTCCTATGAAGATAATGGATCGAAAATCCATTTCTCAATTCCTTGTGCAAAAGTTGTTGTGTTTTTGTTAAGGAGAAATATATTGTACGGTGATTTATAAAACATATAAATTCAAGAGTCAACTTTCATACTCAAGGGAGCTTCACACAATAGGCATGTAAGATTTACCTTTATTTATATTTTATAAAGGCTCTTAGTTTAATGGGCAACAGCTAAGAAAGTGTAAGGTACAACTAGGCATTTTTTAAGATATGAATTTGAAGGATATATGAGCTAATTAACTATTATACTAAAAATGAAAAATGAAAAGTATTAACAGCTAGAGATGATGAATAATGTGAATATTACATCATAGAGATAAAGACAGCATCTATAATATGTGATAAAATAAAGTGTCAACACTTTGATTTTAAGAATTGACACTTCCAAAAGGGTGCTTTGCTCAAAATGAAAAGTTAAACAAGGTGAAAGTATTGCTACTTTCTTGCAAAGTTTTCATCAATAATGCAACAAAAATATCAATAATTTACAAATAGTAATGCTAGTAATTCAATAAAGTACAACAATCAGATTGCCAAAATATATGCCCCCCAAAAGCTCATAAATCATAGAAAACCAATATGTCATAGTACGAATCAAGAGACATATTGAAACCGTCATTACATCCATGGTTAGTTCAAGAAATATAATCATGTCTAGGAGGATCTTCATAGTGATCCAATTTTTCCTACACAAATCTCTTCAACATTTTAGTAAGCTTATTAACTACTAAGTGCAACCTCATCTTTATACATTTCAATAAAAATGCTTTTGAAATTTAGAAATTGATGACTCAACAATCATAACGCTTCTCTTGAAACCAAAATATTGAAATATCAAAATATACTACATAAATAGGAAATAATTTAACATGGGAGCCAAAACACACCTTGGCAAATTAAAATGCTCCTAAGGCAACATACCTAGTTGAGTAAACAAAGAAGATAAGTTGAAATGAAGTAAAAGAGTTAATGAAATCATTAAAGGGTGAATTTGCACACAAATTATGACAAGTCAACCCCATTGTTAAATCATCTACATATCGCACCATGCCAAAATATTCTCTAATCTACTAACTAAATTATTTACATAATCATCTAAATTCAACAAAATCTATATTTAAAGAGTTTTCCTTTTAAATTAGATAGTATGGAGGGTTGAACTCCCAGAATTTTTCCCATGCTTGGTGATCTTATGAGATGTGATAGGTGAAGCAATACCCAATTATTTAGCAATACCCAAGTATTCTCACAATGATATCCATGAAGTACTAAGGTACTAGTGAGTTTATTTTTTCATAAGAATAATAAAAATTATTAGGATGAAGTATATCAATCCCTTCTAATATAAACTGAAACAAAGGCACAAATAAGTACAGTCTCTAAATTGAGAATAGGTTTCTGAGTTTTACAGTGAAGGACAAGCATGGGCGTCAATGAAAAATGGGCCAAAGCTTGGTGTTCAAGAGCATGAACGAATGGCCTTTTAAAACTCACAAATCACATGCAATTAATAGTTAATTCACGTTTTGGAAATTTTTCTTCCCAAAAAAAAAATTTAATAAGATTTAACTGGTGTCATTTATTCTCATTAATAATCCCAACCAAAGACTTGTGCAGACTTTTCCATCCCAAATCATGTCTGCATTTTCAACCTGATTGGCAAGGTGGAAGTGGATGAGTCCACTGGATAGAGTTGAATAAAAGATTGATAAATAAATTGGAGCCATATTGAATTGGTCATGATTGCACAATCTTTGGGTGTTAAAGGAAGGAAAACCGTACTTAGATATATAACTCTTCAATTTAAACAAGCACGTCTTTAATTGAAATAAAATGTTGAACCACATCGAGTAGTTTGCATGAATATTAAGCTGGAACTAAGTGTCATATAAATTCCTACATTCTACAAAGAATTGTCTTAGGTCACTTCTACAAAAATCAAGTAAAATGCCTATTAAAGTCTTTTTAGGTAAATTACTGATAATAATAATAATTTGTTGCTTCTGTTCTTCAGTGGAAATACAGAATTCCTGATGAAAAATGAGTATACATCAGATTATCCCAGTTTAGCCAAATCAATTCCTTATTTTTCCATACAATGCCCCAGAAGCTCATCAATAACCAGTTGCCCATTTAAATTTAGATCAACACATTGGAGCAATAGGCAGCGACCTCTGTGAGTGAACAGTGCGGTGAATTTATAATCACCAGAGAGTGGGTGGCCTCATCAATGAAAGATTATCAAGAAGGTGGTAAAACTATACTTTCTTTGGCAATTTCAGATACCAGCTTGATAAAGAAAGATACAAGTGAAATTAGTGAGCTAGAAAAGAGCTTTACAGAGCAAGAACCTCCACGAAATGAGTCGAGTGTTCTAATTATTTAAGCCAAATGACATCTTAAAAAAGCAATTAATCAAAGCAATGCGACAGCATTAGCTTGAGAAATTGGGTGCATTTATACACATTAACTGTGCCAAGACGACAGCTTGGACTATAAGAGGAGAGAACAGAAGAATCTGAGGCACACCAACAAGAAGTAAAGATGGGATTGACTTAGCCGGCATTATTAAGGAACAGTGTCCGACATAACACATCAGCAAAATGCATAAAAAGAGAAACTTTCCTGCTTGGCACATGGAATTATATATTCTAAAGATCCCAGACCCAGAAGGCCAGTAATATTACAATATACCAACTCAACAGAAAAGCCTTTGAAACAAGGAAGGAGATAACCCCAATAGAGAAACTGTATATCCAGGTAAAATATCTCTGCACCATTAAAGCAAGCAGTGTCACGCAAAATCCAAGGGAATGAACAGATAAGATGGGAGATGGCCCACCAGCAGTGTCAGTCTTTGGTTAGATCAGAAAATGAGTCTGTGCTCCGACTACTACAGAGTCAAGGGATCCATCCCTGAGAGTGCTTTCCGGCAAGCCAACGAGAAAGAGATCCTTGAAAGAAGGATTAGCAGACAGCAGATACACAGAGAGAGAGAGAGAGAGAGAGAGAGAGAGAGAGGGAGGGAGGGAGAGCTTTGCAGATGAGGCTGCGGAGTAGCTATTCTTCCCCAACTTTTGAAACCCTAGAGAAAGTCTCATTTGCCCACCATGGTGGTACCCATCATCAAGGCTTGGAATGGAGAATGTTTCTAGTGAGAATCTGGGGAGACCCTGGCCCTCTTCTTCTTTCCATGCCAAATCCCTTTGACGAAGGCGTCAACAATCCAGCGCTGACTCTCGAGGACCAGCTCAGTCCGCTTCAGCTCCATATCCATCCTCAGCTTCTCCATCTCCCTGGCCATCTCCATCTTCATCTCCTCCGCCCTCAAGAACCCATCCCCCAGGATCCTCACCGCCGCCGCCACCTCCTCCAGCGCAGCCGGTTCCCTCTCCTTCCTGCGTCTCTCCTCCACCCTCTTCCGCACCACCGCCGCCGCAGCTAAAGGCGCTGCCTTCCTCTCCGGCACGCCGGGAAACCCCTTGAAGCATCCGTTGCTCCCTCCGGCGTTGTGGGATTTAGGGTTCCCCCAGTGGTCGGCCTTCGTCCTCACAACCTTCGGGACCTGGAATCTCAGATCATCGATGGGCTTTCCACCATTAGCCAATATGGACATCACGCCGCCGTTCCTCTCGCCATCGTCGTCATCATCATCATCATCTTCTTCTTCCTCGTCACTCCCATCGCGGTCATTGTCCTCCTCGCCGGAGAAATTCTCCGGGAACGGCGGCGGCGGCGGCGCCGCCCCCTTCGCGGCAGAGGTGGGGCCTCCGCCGCTCCCAGTTCCCCCGCTGGGCGTCCCCATCTCCATGGCGTCCATCTCCCGGAAGTGGACCCAGGAGGTCCGGTGGGGCCGCCTTTTCTCGGATCGGTACCTCTTCCGGAGCTTCTCCATCTTGTGGCGGCACTGCACCGCCGTCTTGGGGCTGCCGGCGGCGGCGTAGAGATGGCGGCACCGGGAGGCCACCGCGTCGGCGACCTCCTCCCAGTGCGGAGCTCTCAGATTCCCCCTCCGGAGGGCGTACCATTTCTGCCGGTACGCCTGGATCAGGGCGCCCGTCTCCTCCTGCGTCCAGCACGGCGGCGGGAGGCGCCGGGCGGCGGAGATCTTCCTCCCCGGGGGAGGGGCTCCGACGTTCTTGGAGTCGCAGGGGTCGGAATTAGGGCTCGAGGGCTCGAGCTCGCTGCCGGGGCTGGAATCTGCGGCGGGCGATTTGGAGGAGGAAGGAGAGGGCGACGGCGAAGGGGAGAGAGATGGGTCGGCCCCTACCTTCCCGGCGGAGATGGGTCCGGCGACTCCGGCGGCGACGGCGGCTGCAGCAGCGGCGGCGGCGGCCATGGGAGCTGACGGTGGTGGTGGTGGCTGCCCTGGGGAAGGGGGGGGGACGAGGGTTGGCCTACATATGGAAGAGAGAGAAGAAGGGGGATCGGGGCACCGCTCGAGGCCTGCCGGGGGAGGTGGGACGGCGGAGCACGACAGCCGCCGCGGTGTTAGGGCGGCGCGGGGCGGTGCGGTGGGGGCGGTTTGTTGACCGCGCCGCGGCGGCGGCGGCGGTGGCCGACCGGAGGCGGGGTGTGGGGTGGGACCCAATTCCTGGGCGGTGGATATCGGATCCGGAATTTTGGAAATTTTGGCGGGCGAATTGTTGGACCGAATCCTTTCCCAAACTCGATTGGCGGGCGGCGGGGGGCGGGCGGCGGGCACATACACACATACACACATGTAACGTGCTAGTTGGTATGAAATACCAAGAGTTTTGTATGAAATACCGAGTGAAAAGGCGGAGAATTTTATCCCTAATTTGAGTGGGTTTTTTTTATTTCAGAAAACTTCTTATCTTTGAAACATAATTCGAAAAGCCTTCACATTTGGATCGGATTATTCTTTTTTTATATATTTTTTATGACTATATTGACCGATGGGTCCAAAAATTTCAAGAAATGGGCTTCTAAGCCAAGTCCTTGTCAAACCCAAAAATGAGATTCTCATTTCTCTTGAAGATATTTTTCTCTTCACGTTAATTATACTTTGAGGAAGCATTAACTCGTTTTATTTACTATGCATTGGATCATAGCTACCCATTAATCATGTGCAATTTAGGATCAAATTATCTTGATTTGTAATTCTCAAAGCATATGCGTTCATGTGATTGAAACACATGAATCATTCACAATTCTGAGTCTTTTGTTAATTTAGAAACTTGTCCCAAATAAATATGTGCATCATTTCCATCATCAAGTAGGATCTATAACTCAAAGTCTTGAATATATCAACATGATACTCAATCACTTGAGGAAATAAACTTAATTCTCAATGGCTTGAGAGGTGAGGAGTGATGAAGGAAGAACGTGGAATTAGTGATAGAAGATAGGGAGAGTGAGTTTTTAATGGTCTTAGCCTATCCTTATCATTTTTTTTCACACCAATCTCAATTCCCGCCAAGACATAAAGAAAAAGTACATCTTTTCTAGCAATGTGTTGGCAAATAGATAAAAAAATATAACTATAGATAAAAATTAATTTTTATATAAATTTATCATACAGTTTTTCTATTTTTTAAAAGGCAAAAATATCCACTAAAGAGCACAAAAACAATATTTTACTGAATTATATTTTGATGTAATTACACATGGGATATGCCATCCATAAAAAACATGCTAGACTTAGTGTTGGTTTTATGGTATATTATGTGCAAATAGAGGTCATTATGTGAGAGTTGGGTTGACTCATCATAACCTTCTTTCTCCAAGAACCATGAATTTTTAGGAAAACCAAGAAATAAAAAAGGGCAAAGTCTCTCTTGTCCTGATATTTAATCACTCATGCTTATACTCTCAAGAGGTAAAGTTCTAGAACAACAGGACCTCATCTACTCTGTCCCTCTCCATCACAAAAGACTGAACAGTCTTCACCCTATGATAGCCTTGATCTTCTTCACCTAACTCTTCTAATAGTCAACTATTTAGTCAATAAAGGGCCAAAGAGGGGTCACCGTTGCAACTTATCCAAAGTATTTGTTTGAGCTATTTATATGAAGTATATTTAATAGAACCTTGTCAAGTCTTATCTAAGCTCAGCCTTCGTAAAATAAAAAATTTGAAAGATGGGTCTGAAGTTTGACGGCCTAATCAAGGCAAATTCACCATTACTAGTTGAAAAGGAGAGCCCAGTTGTTATGGGAGGAGAAAGGTGGACGCTACTCTCTAAGATAGCTGAGGGCTACTTAGATCGTATAATCCAACAAAACTCATAGTTGACCCTTTGAAAAGGCTAGATTAGGAACCATTTTTATCGTCTGAAATCTTTTAAATTGAAGCTAAGAAAGATAAAACATGTAGGATAAAGCTGGACTTCTGCACATTATCTCCCATTAATATTTGGGTCAGACACACGCAGATGCAAAGAGAAAGCTGATTTTAGTGGGGACAGATTATTTCCACCGATGCAAAGAGAGCTAATATTGGGCGTATTTAGATTGCTTTGTGTGGTCTGAAGCACCCTGTGGCCTTCGGTCCGTGTTTTCCGGGGCACGCCATTTTCTTCGCACTTGGCCCCCATCGGCGGCGCCGTCCGCCGGACACTCGCCGACTTTCCGGGGTCTCGCCGGGAATTTAAACATAACATCTCCGCTTAGACAAGGAGAAAGAGACGGTCGGCGGGGTCCGCGATCTGATGCCTGGGCGGCTGTCGCGGTATCTTCCCCTGGACGGAGAGAGGAAGGCGCTCCGGCGACGGCGGCGGTGCCGTGGTCTCCAAGGAGGTAGACCGCTACACTAAGTCGCCGGTCTCTGCCCCCACGACCTTGCTTCTTCCATCTTCTACCCCATCTGGTCTTCAGTCAAAGATTGAAGAAGAAGATAACGACGAGGTCAGTGGAATCTCTGCATGGGCTTCCAGATACTCATAAATCTTATGAATTAAGATGTATCTGACATCCATTCAACGGATTAGAGAGAGGGAGGGAGATAAAGAAAGCCAACCCACCTAGTGCTCATTTTGTTGGGGAGGGGGGGAGGGGGAGCGCATTCAAAGGGCGGACCATCTTTGACTCGGAAGCAAGACCGAGTCATGGACGAGTGGAACCCAATACTTAAGGCTTCGAGAAGCTGCTGCCAACTCCTGGTCTCCTCTTCCTTCCTCTTCCGTCCCCTCCCCCCCACTCTACTTGGTCATGGAGATGCGCTGCGAGGAGACGATGAGTCTCCTGAGTGACCTGCCCAGGTCGCACTATGAGTTGTGGTTGTCTGATCTTGCTGCGGACGTGTCGCCGGCCTGCCGCGGCGAGGCTGCCCTGGGAGAAGGGTTCCTTGCCGAAGTGGCGACGGCAGCGGCGGCGGGGAGTCAAGCTGCCGACGCCGTGGAGGAGATCAGGGCGAGGAGGAGCGGCAAGGAGTGGCGGGTGGAAAGCTGCGGCGAAGGGATCCTTCTAAACGTGTACTTTCCGAGCTCTCTGACTCGGAGTCTCACCGGCTCCCGGCTCAGGCGGGGACCGAGGTCGAGAGCGCAGGCCGAGGGGAATAGGTAATCAAACGCCGCATAACTCTACTTGAATTGCTGATGAGCACTTCCAAAGCTTGAAAACTTCATCGCAGAAAGGAAAGCCTTCGCCTTTCCTTTGAGAACTGTGATGATTTTTTACAGCCCACGATCGTTTACAAGCTACGTAGGGAATCTATTCCTCAAAACATTTAAGTGGCAGATTACCCATTCTCAAATTATTTAAATATCATGAGAAAATATTTAGTAATCACATAGGCCGAAAAATTAACTCCCCCCGTATAAACAACTTCTGTGCCTAGAATTGTATTCAGGCTCCTGTATCACCTTCTGTTACCCATATGACGGTATTTACTACTTTCATGCCCTTTCAGGGATAGAGAACCACCACTAATACACGGCTGGTGGCCTGCCATTTGGGAGACAAGAGAGAGGAGGAAGTCAAGAAGATGGTGAATGGGGGAATCTTCCAGTTTCCAGTAGGATATTTCATTTCCTTGCATATTTCAAAGGCTTACCCCCCCAAAATTTGACTTTTTCTTTTCAATTATGTTAAACTCATTCATACTTTCCTCAATATTGAGAGTAGGACTTTCAAGTTAATCATTGATATCTGGAGCTTCGTTATCACCGTCTCCACCTCCGGTATCTTAGAATTAAGGTTAAATCCGATGAATCTCCCTCTGATTTGAACGCAATTGAAATGAGATTTAATCAAACCCCTTTCAACCCCCAGCGTGTACTTTACAAGAGCCTAAAAGAGAGGGCCACACGTGCCTGTAAAAGCTCTCAATTCCGCTACAAGGGCATTAAAGCTGGATACTGAGGAATGGTTCACTATTGTAGTTGTAGGGATGTGAGAAACTGTTCTAAATGCCCTCATCATTGCTTCCTTCATTAATGACTTTTATGACTTCCCGAATTATCTAGCTATCAATTATCATATAAGTTTTATCCTAATTAAATACTGGGTTGATAAAGTTTTGCAAGAGAGTTTAAGAAATATTAAAATTGAAAAAGAATAACCTGTAGAAATCATTTTAGATTGCCATGCTATAAACAAGTTTAAAATTTTATACATGTTCCTTACTCATGTGTGAGATGATTTCTTTGTTGAACTGTATGGAGCTATGACTTTATATGATCAATCTAAAGATTATCTATCACATGTTACAAAATAAGTCAAGGGATAGGTAGAAAGGTGGTTTGGAAATAAGTGATTTACTAAATAAGTGGCTTCTCATGCCCTTTGGAATAATAAGTAACTTATGTAATTCTTTGAGATTGATGGCACATGTTGAGAGCTTACACTGGATTTCATGTTCTAATGTAATTAGAGAAAATCGAGAGTATTTTTCTAGTAAAAATCTTCATCCTTGCACACCCATTGACACCCTTAGATAAAAGCATTGGCATATTATGTTCTTATCAACTAGTTAGGAGACGAGTCTCAAGTTTTATGTTCATTTGAGATGAGTCTCAAATTGATAATATTGACATCAAGTGGTTAACCTAAGTGAAAATTAGAAAAATCGAAACCAAAAAAATTGGACCAATAGGCATAATTTTACAAGCGTGGGGGCCATTATGCCTATATTGATAGAATCAATTTCTTTAAGTTCAGTTTTCTAGAATAAGTTTTAAAGTTGATAGTAAGCTTATAATTTATAAGAAATTTTCACTATTTTTATCATCATAGTATTTTTTTTCATAAGTAGGTACCAACCTTTAGAAAAGTTTATTGTCAATTTAGGATGAATAAAAAATATTTTTGAAACTATGTACTATTAGGTAGAAATCAATGGCAACTGTTAATTAAAAGAGAGGAAAAATAGAAAAGGAAAATGAGAATACATGAAGTTCAACATTTTAGTAACTGAGAAACTATGTTAAATGATAACACAATCATAATTCAATACCTTAGAAATTAAAATGCAAAATAAATGTATATTAATTTTTTAGATTTATGTAGATAGAAATATGTTGTGGAATAACATAGTAACTCAAGAATTTGTCAAGCTTCAAATCCTAGCATATGAGAAATTATATCAAGTTTCATATTTCACTGCAAATCTGTTGTAGAATAGTATAACAGATCAAGCACCATTCTATAATTATAGAAAAAGTAATGCAGTGAAATGGCAATATATCAAGCATTCTATCTCAATATATGAGAAAGTAAATTGTGGACTATTAAAGTACATCAAACCTTATATTTGAATACATAAAACTATGTAGCAAAAGACAGTTATCACACTTTGAAGAGGTAAGTTAATTATGTGGTATATTGAGCTTGTTGTTTTGGATACGTGTCATGTTGTGTAATAACACAAAATATAAAGTATGGTGTCTATAGATATAATTTACATGTGGAAATAGAAGTATCAAACTGATGAGTAATATGTAAATAACTCTATATATATAGCTATTAAGTGCATGAGAATGACATTACCAAATAAAAATATTATATCAAACATAAATTGTAGAAAGGGATCAAATAAAGGAATTGTATGCCAATAACTGTGTCAACATATCTCAATATATAATGTGTAGTAATATTAGTTGGTACATGAAGTTACATATCATATCATATAGAATTTGCACTGCAATAGTAGTCAATATATGAAGCCATATATCTTAGTATATTGAATCTGCATATTAGTCAATATATATGAACTAAAAAGTATTAGTATGTAGAATATGTTATGGAGTGCAAGTACCATAACATATTCTTTTGTGATAGCACCATAAAGTCTTGGGCACATTTTATGGCATACAAAATCAGTGTGACAATATATGATTATTCTTAAGCATTATGTGATAATTAGAAATCAACATCGTATTGTGTAAGAATAGAAATCGCATGCCAATCTGAAACTCATAAAGAAAAGGCTGCATTATAATAATAACAACAAAGCTATCTATAGCTTTATATTAGAACAACATGTCATATGACCTTACCTAACTTTTGATGAATGAATGAATACACTAATCTTATTTTAAAAATGTAAATTACAAATTCAAGAGGGCCAACAAGTATGAAAATTCAATTGAGAAGTTTAAGTGAAGTTGTATCTCCATACAAGTTAGTGCATCCAAATTGAATGTCTATTGACAATTTTTTGAAGACCTTAGGCTTAGAGAGAAACTTGCAACTCTAAGTTCATATATCGAGCTATCATTCAATTTTGCTCCTTTTAATACAATTTAATATGGGTGGAATTTTCTCAACAAGATTAGTTATTTATAAACATTGATAAGTCTACATTATCATGAGTTAATAATTAATTAGTAATATTGTTTTAATCTTAACTCATAAAAAGTAGACTTATATTTATGTTAAATTGTGAAAAATAATTTTTAGTTAATTAATGTAAGTTTTTGGCTAATTATGTAATTTTATGTGAATTATATAATTTTTCTATTCCTATTTTTGAGATAAATGAAGGAAAAAAAAGAAAAAAAAATGGAGAGGAACCTGCCAGCCAACTAGGCCCGCAAATAGATTGGAAGTATAGTCACTATAGATGAACTAGTAGGAGATATGTGTGCATCACTCTCCTTCCACGTCATTGGTGGCTAGTTAGGCGTAGGTAAGGAGTAGTCGTACACATGTGAGAAAGGGACATATTAATTATCAAATCTCATATCATTATATATCTGCCTCAAAAATTGACATATAATTGATGTGAGACTAAACTGATAGTCACAACCTCCCAAAAGATTTTAATGATTTTAATACCTAAAATATCTCTTATTTATCATAAAGAAATATTCTTATAATGTCACTTTATAAGGGTATTCGTGTATTTATTTCATTTTGTCTCATGTAAATAGGCAATTAATGAGGGTTAGAATCTTACTAGAGTCAAAACTCATATTTTTATCTAATTAAATCGTAATTTTTTAATAGATTTTTGGTGAGCAATTAAATTGTTAGAATAATTTAATCATTGGCAAGAATCTTAGCAATGTGATTCATGGAGTATTATTATTAAAATTACTTAATGATTCTACATAAAAAGATTATGAATCTATCGAGTAAATCATCTCCGATTAATCGACGAATAAATCGTTGTCAAGAATAAGACAATTAATAAAGAAATGAGTCACTACCTCATAAGAGCGTACTAGATGTAATGAAAAGCCTTTTCTTACTGTGCAGACCTAAGGATGAAGCTCCCTAAGATGCACCCCACCTCCATCTAACTGATCTTTGTTGGGTGACAATCGCTGAAAAATCGTAAAGTCACTATTTTTTATTCTATTGGGTGATAGCTGCTAGAGATGATTTGATGACTCACTTTATTAATTCCTAGGCTTTATAAGAAGGTCTAGAGATTGTCCACATCGTCCTTGTCCAAAGAGAGCCTTTGAGGTTGTGAACATTATATGACAATCCTCTCGAATGCTCAAGATTTTAATACATCATTGACGCATCACCGCTGCGACGTCGACACTCTATTTTACTATTTTTTAACTAATTTAACTTTCACTATCATTTTTTAGACTTCGAAAGGAGATCCAACGAATGACCAGGTCGTCTATGTCTAAAGAGAGCTCGTGAGGCTATCGACATCAGATGATAACCATCCATAACATACCAAATTTTGACGATCACTATTGTGAGGCCGAAACTTTACCTTTCCTATTTTTATCTTAATTTTTATTTCATTTAGTGATACTTTGTGTGATTTCAGGTTTCAAAATTATTCTTCATTTAATTACAATTCTTCTAACTTTTACAAATCTTAATTTGACCAATTAAATTGTTTGTAGTCATTTATGTAAGAATCATTAGACGGAACTGTGTTTCTACTTGATTCGTGTTTGTTAGGGTACTGACATCATTATGATGTCTGCACTCTTACTTTTCTTATTTATGAATTTTTACATATATTATATATTCATCATTTAGTCTAAAAATCATATTTTTTAGAAAAATTCTGAAATATTACCTAATATTATCTTACATCTAACTTAGAAATTCCCTACTATTTTTAGAACCTTTTATCGAATTATAATTTTTATTTATTTATTTTAAAATATTTTTAAAATCTAAAAATTAGTATTTTTTTAGTTTTATAAATTTTAAATTTGTGTGATTTATTATACAACGACTAAGTCATGTTAGGTACCTAGACATTTATGGAGTTGTGAATTTAGAACGAATTAATACCAAAGCTCTAGTGTTGAGGTTTTTAAAGCCTTGAATTTAAAAATGAGTGTTGGGAAAGATTCAAGTAGTTAGAGCAATGAGTCTAAATTAGGGAGTTCATATTGAATCTCTAGTGATGAACAATTCTAAAGTGATGAATTTAAAAATGCATTTGAGTAGTTAGAGCTATGAATATAAATTAGTGAGTTCATAGCAAATCTCTAGTGATGGGCCTTCGAAAGTTATGAATCTTAAATTGAGTCTTGGGGGCATTTGAGTAGCTAGAGTTATGAAACTAAGATGGAAGTTTATATCAAATCTATAGTGTTTAGCCTCCTAAAGAAATGGAAATAAAAATGAGCCTATGGGTAATTTGAGTATTCAGACTTGTGAACCTAGTAGAAGCAACTTACTATGTTTTCACCTTTTTGTACCATCTGTTGAACCTTGAGAACAGGTCTCTAAAGAGTAGAGAAGACTAGATTATGAGTGCCAAAGCACTACGAATTATGTAGTTATCTTACTTGATCCTCTTAGTCATTAAGAAGGAATGCATTCACTTGAGTTTATAATATTTTTCATTTGCTACCACAGATTTGTTTCATCTTTACCCATTTGAGAATATGAATAATTCACCTCCTCCTCTAAGTTTTTTAGTAGGTTAATTGTGGGTTCTTTGCTTGAACTCTTTTTTAATTTCTCCTATGATCCAAAATTTCGATTACTATTAAATTTCATGCATTGAATATTAGTAGGTTATTGACATGCTTCACCCAAGAAAAAAATGGATTAAATAACAAATGATTACAACGACATATATTAATGTGTCAAAATTTATCTTTAGCCATCACACAACAAGCACGTGGAATGAAATGATCTAATCAACATTATTAATCATTTAATTATTATTTAATTATGTTGGAATTGATAACAAAGGCGAATTGAAATTAATTTTTGTGATAAATCATGTTATTTGTAGTGAGCAGGGTTTGCTAGTCTGTTTAAGAGAAGTGGTACTAACGATGAGAAATTATAGAAAATACCCCGAAATCTTATGTTTTCTTTGTAATTTTTCTATGAGACACTGGACACAGATAGGACCTAGACGATTCCACTTTCTCAATGGGTTGTGATGTTCTCTATTAGAAATTGATCACGCGGTTGGCATGGTTTTCGTTTGCGCATAATGCAAACCCCCGAAGGCCAAACTATGGCTTTTTTAGAGTAAATGAGAACCATTTATTGATTATCGGAAGTAATATTGAGCCAAAGACTGGGGAAGCTCGGGGGGAGCCAGATGGAGCCAGCCCGAACATTGCAGCCTCTTCTGAACTGCTTCCTGCGTCACTTAGCTGCGATCGTTTCCCCACGCGATGTCGGCCCCGCTGGTCAGCTGTCTGAGGAGGACCGCCAGATGTCGATGGGGCCCGGTGTACCGGCTCCGGTCATCGGAGGGAGAAACTCCTTTGCTTATTCTGCAGAGGCGGGGGCCCCCTCGCAAGGCGCCTCTGAGATCAGACAAACTAAACAGCTGTTCACGGGGCCCCAGCGCTTCCCCTTGCCTGCCGCAGCGGCTCCATTCAAACTGATATTTTGAAGATAATCTGGAGTTTGTCGTCGGAAGAGGGGAATCTCTGCGCTGGAGGAGGCGGAGAACGGGTGGAGGAGGGCATCGGCGGGCCCCGGCCGGCGAGTCCGACGAGAGCCGCCGGGGTCAGTTCCCTCCTCCCAGCGGTAGGTTCAATGTTCGTTTGTGTCTAAGCGCCTGCCGGAGGTACTCGCCGGCTTTTTGTCAGACCCGGCTGATGCTTCGGATCCGTACTCGTCGTCTCCCCTCCACCGTCTTGTTCCCCAGTTTTCTCCCCTCCCCTCCCCCTTCTCTCTCTCTCTCTCTCTTCCTGCGCGTGCACGGTAGCCATCAGCAATGGGAAGGGATGAGCTAGGCGGTGTCCTTTGCTGTGAACGTATCTGAGTTGCACCGTGATTAACCTCTCCCTCTCCCCCCTCTGTCAGTCTCCTCCGTGCGGTCTCTTTCTCCAGCCCAGGCCCCCGTCCTCTCTCTCTCTCTCTCTCTCTCTCTCTCTCTCTCTCTCTCGTTGAGTTATATCTCCTCAAAAATAAGTCTATTTGTCTTATTTGTGAGAGTAATGTTCAAGCTGAGGCCTCTTTTTAAATAGTAATATGAACGATGAGCCCGAAGCGAAAAATAATTCATTACTAGAGAGAGAAAGGGGCGAGTTCTCGCACTGTGTTCAATTTTGAAGTTCCGTCGATCCATCTCTCTAGAATCAAATTCATTTATTGTGTGTTGAGTGACTCGCGCTCTAGAATATAATCCATCGATCGAGAGGAGTTAAACTTCGAAACATTATGGAAGAACCAGGTTTTAGAGAGAGATCCACTCGAAACATCTCATAATGGTTCGATTCTGCAGAGACGGAGACCCAGGAAATTTCGACGCTAAACCCATTGAAGTGCACACGTCTAGAGAGATGGGGAGAGAGAGCGTTGCAGATAAAGCTCAGCAGAAAGACCGACTTGCCGTACACTTCCACTCTTGCTATCAATTACTTGGAGTATACTCTCGTCATAGTCGACGCGTTTGACTTGCTTCTTAATATATAGGGGGGGGTATAGAGAGAGAGAGAGAGAGAGAGATGGGGCAATTGTAACGATACTTGGCCTTGAATCTCGGAAGTTGATATGATTTTCTAATCGCTGGCAAGTTAAGAAAATATTGAAAACGGTCATTAAACAGGGGGGTGACGGGTGCGCTGGCTGCAATGATTACGCAGGAGCTTGACGTCAACGGCCTGCGGCAGCTGCCCGCCGCCCCGGCCGGAATAATTGTCAGCCGTCGTAATAATGCCCAGACAGCGACGCCCTCTTCGCATGAAAGAAAGAGAGGAGAGAGGGAGAGAAGAGAGAGAAACGAGCAGACAGAGAAGAGCTGCGGTTGGATCATGCTGAGCATCGAAGTAAATCGCGCCACCGCCTGGTATAATATAAAGCAATAATGGAGGAATCGAGTTTACAGTTGTCCGAAAGCAATGGCCGTTGGCGGTGGTCAACGAGCCCGCCGCTCCTGATAATGGAAATCACGGTGAAGCTCGCGGTGGCGGTGAAGAGGGCAGGGAAGGAGGTCCACGCCGCCGTAGCTGGAGAAGACGTCGCGCCAGATGTCGGCGAAAGCCTGGACGATGAGGGTGTGGTGGGCTGGCGAGTTGAGCGAGAGGAAGCGGTGGAGGAGATCCCGCAGCTCCTCCCCGCTGAGGATTTCCTTCTCCACGATCATCTGCAGCATGGACCGGCGGAAGTCCCCCAGCGGGTCCTCCGTCTGCTTCACCACTGCAACGAAACCCCCCACCTTACCGGCGGTGCGGCCGCCAACACCGCGGCCACCGCCGCCTCCTTCGCTAATGCTCCGCCGGTGGCGGCGACCGTTGCGGCGGTGGCCTCTCACAACGGCGGCCGGCGGCCGGCAATTGGCCGCTTCATCCTCCGTCTCCCCCCATCTGGAGGAGGGCGCCCAGGAGACGACGCTCCTCTCCAGCTCGCCGAGCTGACGGAGGAGTCCCGAGAAGCCCGGAGAGGCAGCGGTAATCTCGTCATCGTCGTCGCCGTTGCGAGAGGTGGAAGTCGTGACAGTCGTGAGCGTGGTGGTGTCCGCCGAGGAGCTCTCTGGCCTCCCGGAGACGAGGCGATGGGAGTGGAGGCGGGCGGAGAGCGGGGTGGGCGGTGTGCCAACGAGATCGCCGGAGATGGAGACGGCCCGGTTGTCCCTGCAACCGCACTTGAGTGAGAAAATGGAGCTCGCTCTCGGTTTCTTCTTCATGTCGCCGCCCGTAGACATCACTCACAAGCCGACCTGCTCACAAGCTAAGATGGTGCCGGACCGGACGATCCGGCTGTTCAAATTTATACCCAGGAGCCAGAACTGCCCTGCACAAGCCTTGAAAATGGACGGGTGGGATACGATCATCAGAGGGCTACTGAGATACTAAGAGGAGGATGAAGAAGAGGGGCTTGCTAATAACGTACACGACACAGGGGCTTTTATGAAAATGCCATGTACTCCGTGTCCCATATATTGGTGGTGAGATGGACAATAACCCACTCACGTTTTCTGTATTTGGTTCTTTAGCCCCCAGCATAAGGTGCTTCCGAAGGTTGAGGCTCCCACAAGGGCGGGGCGTCTCGCAGATATCCCTTTCATATCTAATAATAGAAGAGATTGCTATCCCAAAATGTACATAAACACCTAAACGTGTAGAGAGGCGTCCTTTTTAAGGGTTTCGGAAATTTAAATAGATTATACCATAAGTAGATGAATGCGGGAGGTTGGTGATGAAATTGCTGATGAACCCATTACTTAGCTTGTGTTTGACTTGCCCCACCACTACTTAAACGTACTCAAGAAGGTGGAGGGCTGTAAATGTAAATGTCTCTCCTTCCTCTTGAGGAGATACGCCCAATAATCAAGAGAGTGGGGCATGGGAGGGGGGTTTTCATAAAATGCACGCAGATTCACGTGTAGAGACTAGGGTATGCTAAGGAATGCAAGAATACGACACGTTGGCGTGGAAGTCGATGATGAACCCTTTCTTTATTGTGAGTTTGACTTGTCAAACCTTTCAAGCTACTTGGAAGGTGGAGGACGTATATAAGGACATAAGCCTCTCTCTCCTCTCACTAGAGGATGGAAACCTGTCACTGAAAGAGGGGAGTTTTCATGAAATGCACACGCACACACGTTCACATGTTGGGAAGATAGAATGTGAGAGCCTTCGTTGTTGGAGTCCTTTTGTTCCTTTGTTTGATTGATTAAAACTTAATAATAAACCCTTTATTTATTTTGGGGTTTGACTTCCCACTTATTATTAAGGTAATTGGGGAGGCGAGGCATGCCTCTAGTGTGTCTTTCCCCAACTTATTGCTTGTCTTCTCCTTGATGGGGTTCTAGATTCAGATTAACCGAAATCATAATCTTTGAGTCAATATTTTCAAAAAAGGCTGAGATTTGGCCATGACATCAAAGAATCAACGACATCTTAGTTCACATGAGGAGCATCAAGACATTTGTCTTTATTTTTGGGAGCATGAGAGTGCATGCACATGCTAACACTCTTGAAAACTTATGAATTTCCAAAGTAAATTAAAGCATTTCGATTATTTGATGTTAATGAAGAATAATTTTTCAAATGAAAGTATATTTTTATGGTATTTGGGAGATTAATTTGCATAAAAATGCTCACTTCCATGAGCTAATGCACAGATGATCATTGGAGAGCTACATTATATGGGAACATTCTCTAAAGTTCTATGTTTTGGCAAAGAAGGGTGATCAAGTCGAGAGTATTTGAATTTTATTTCTTTTTGTGTTCCATGTTTGAAACAATATTCAAGCAAACCGGTGTACTATGCCACATAATTACTTTGAGCAAATAATGAAAAAATCTGGCGGGCTGTTTTTGGTAGAGAAAATAAAAATTCTAGAATGGAAAAATGAATTAAAAACTTTCAGCATGATCTCAACTTGAGGTCTTCATGTATTTCACCAACAAATAAATTGAGCAATAGATGAAAGAATATGGTCTCATAATATTCTATCAAACTCCTCACTAGTTATACTCAACGAGTTGAAGGAGATTGATTGGGCCTGATTTATTGGGGAAACCAACCCCCTGGACTCAAAACCTAGAAGTATACTTGGGTTCATGCTCCCCTTGACAATAGGCTAGTTAGTTACACTTATTGTAGTCAAACTGTACTTGTGATTTCTGCAAGTCATGTCACTTTGGCATGTTAGATCGAAATTACATGATTTTATGCCAAATTGTGGCAATGAGTGGAGTGGACCAATGCACATAATGCCACAAGATTATTTTACCTTTTCATCAAGACTATTAATAGTTTCACTTGATATAGTGTGCCTAATTTATTTCCTGTTGAAATCCAACGATCTGAAACCATAAAATAGAGGGCTGGGGAAGCAAAGTATGTGGTCCTCTTTTGAGGACCATAAGTATATATTCCTCTCAAAATATAGAAAAATAACTAATATGAGACTAAACTCGTGCTATTGTTTGTCGGTAGGTTTTTAATAATTTTAATAACTAAAATACCCCTATCTTATAAGGACATATCCATATGATGTCACTTAATGAGGATATTTGCATATTTATTTAATTCTCTCTTATGTAGGCGAGGGACCGGTGAGGGTTTGAATTCTATTAAAGTCAAAATTCATATTTTTATCTAATTAAATTAATAATTAAGTCATCAACATGATTTATGAAGTATCATTATTAACTACTAAATGATTATGGATAAAAAGATTATGAATTCATTGAGAAAATTATCTCTAATTGATTGATGAATAAACTATTGTCAAAAGATGACGATCTACCGAGAGATGAATCGTCACCTCATGAGAGCTTACTAGATGCAATAAAGAGCCTCCTCTTGTTATGTGGCCTTGAGTATGAAGCTCATTTTGTTAGGTGATAATTGTCGGAGATTTGAAAGTCATTGCATTTTTACTATGTCATGTGACCACTGCTAAAGATAGTTCATTGACCTTTTTTATTAATTTTTAAACTTCACAAGAAGATCAAAAGATTGTCTACATTCTCTATATCTAAAGAAAGCCTTTGAGGATATAGATGTCATATGATAATCCTTATGAACAAATAAAATTACAACGATTGCTACCACAAAGCCGGAACTCTACCTTTCTTAGTTTAAACTTAATTTTTGTTTAATTTAGTGAGATTTTATGTGATTTCTAATTTCAAAAACTTTTTTCATTCAATTACAATTCTTCTAGGTTTTACAGATCTTAATTTGATAAATTAAATAATCTATAATCATTTACATAAGAATTATTAGACAAAACTCTATTTCTACTTGAATCATGTTCGTTGAGATATTGATGTTATCTTCATCATATACACCCAAATTTTCTTTTTTGTGAATTTTTAAATATATTTTATTTTTATTATTTAGTCTAAAAATTATGAAAAATTATATTCTTTGAAAAAATTATTAAATATTATTAAATATTATCTTATATCCCTATGATTGACCTAGAAATATAGTTCTACTATTTTTGAAACCTTTTATCAAATTTTAATTATTAATGTATTATTAAATATTTTTAAATATGCAAAAATTAGTATTTTTTAAGTTTATAAACTTTAAATTTATATGATTTATTAAAAATGATAGGTTATGTCACCCCCCTCATCTTCTCTAACCAATGGGTAATGCCAATTGTCACAAACTCAACCTAAAAGTTCTACTATTGGAGTCCTCTTCCCTCTCTTATGACACCCTCTTGTTGTCATACCATTATACATCCATGACATTGCTATAAGGCTCACCAAGAGGAGAGTATTGGATTCTTTGTGAACAAGCACCAAGTCATTTCATGTTCTGTGCTCCATTTCCATCCTTTCACTTGAAAATAAATTAATCTTTAATGTTTTCTTACACATTGAGTATCATTAATTTTTCAAAATCTAGATGTATCTAAGAACTGAGTATTATTCAATCAAATTGGTCATGAATTTCGTATTTGAATACCATGGATTCATTTTTTCAAAACAAATTACATCTCCAGATTTACTTTTAAATTTTTATATGACATAATATTTATCATTTTTTCAAAAAAAATGGATACCATTGATTAAAAAATACAGTAAACAATGAGTTCTAATCAAGATTAATCAATGAATTATCTAACACTATGGTGTTATTGGATATATGGTATGAACATATATACAGTATCTATACAATTACTCTCCTATAATATATTTTGTTTTGTAACATGATTGGCACACAGAACTAGAAAATATTCTCATTAAGAATGAGTAGACAAAATTATTCAAAGAACGTTCATCCTATTAATGAAAATGTTAACCAATGGATTAAAAACTAAGATGCATTATAGCTTGTTGCAGCTTGAAGAGCCAAGCAAGAAAGAGAGTCCCAAGAAAAACATGTGGTGTATAGAGAACTAGACTGAATTCTTAATTAATAGGTTCATAATATATATGAATATCTAGATAAAGACACTCAACTACTAGGTGTATCCTATAAATAACTAATACCTATAAGTAAATAGATTAGACTATAGAAAATACATACATATGGAAATGCCATAGACTTACATCATGGCATTTAACTAATGTATAAAATAGGTTAAAAAGAAATACAAGCAATTCACATGAGTTATTTTTCATGGGGCTCAAATTCTGTTGCAAAAAACAGAAAAAATGCCTTATCGAGTGATATGAATTATTGAGCTTTCCGATTTCTGTAAACTTGGGAAAAAGATTTAAGGGTATGGAAAGATAGGAATGGAACAAAGATATCATGGAGAAGGGAAGCCAGAGCCATGTGGGTAGAAGAATGGAACTGGATGAGAGAGAAAATATTTTGGTTGAGGACTTTTGCAGCAAGCAGCCACTCAATCTTGACCATCTTTTTCATGTCCATGATTGATTTGAAGGATAAGTTACTTTGCAAATGAGCTGATCTTTGCATTTTGACTAAGATTTATTAAGAAAAAACTTTCATCTTAGTTACATAAAAGACCCAACCACATAGTTAAAAATATGAAGGTTTTCTTTATTTTTAAAATACCTTTTGGCTAAAATTAATCATCAAATAACTAAAAATAATAAGCTTGCCATCATCATGAAAGCTCACATCTTAGACAAGTTATTGTAGATCTTATAAGAAAACGAGCTCAGGTGAGTTGGACAATGAACAAACTTTGAATAAATGTATGAGGATAGAAATAAAAAAAAAAGAACCACACATAATGGCGTACTTTTCTAGTTAGTATTGTTTTTCTCTGCCTTGATGCTTTGGCTTATTCTACTCGTCATTAATGTGTTAGTAGGCAGAACAGTCGGATAAATTATTCTTCTAGAACACTAGTTAAAAATTATTCCCCCAAACCAAAGCTCATTCCCGTAATTGGCATAAAAATATAAAAGAAAGTAAAAAAGGAAATACTTGCAACATTACACATATACCTGACATTTATTGTTTCTTGTAGAATTATTTAGTATTAAGTTTCTAAGTTGGAGGAGTACATATGATTTTTCAGCGTCAATGTTGAACTTTTTGGAAGATTTAATTTTATTCTTCATAATTAGGAAAAATGAGGTGTGAAAAGTTTAAAACGGGATATAAGATTCAATCGTGAGAAAAAATCTTCTCCATCAATAATATCTCTCTAAATTCCTATAGGTAGAACCTCACATAGATGTCCCAACCCTTCAAAACATACTTTTTGGAAAGGACAGGCTAATAAAATCCCAAATTAGCCCATTTTTTTCTTTTCCCTTTTTTCTATTGATTCTTTTCAACTTTCTTTTAAATTATCATCATATCTGATGTCATTTCTTTCATTGTACCGCTCCAGGAGCCTATGCTTCAGTAGAATAGTTTCCCAATAATTTTTCCATAGTTTTATACCTTCCTAGAGTAGGAAATGAGGCTTTAATCCTTTAATATTCTTAAGGATTGGAAGGTTTCACCCGTGTCCTGAATTGAGACTCAATCAAGGAATAATCTTGGATTTGAACAGCTGAAGAATCGGTTTGGCAGTTTGAGAATGAAATGATTTTATTGTTCCCTGCGCATGAGGTAAAGAGGTAGGAATCTACATCTATTTTCCGTTTCTTTCTTGAGCATTTCTGTATCAGTGAGTCTTTTCTGCTTTCTGCACTAATGACCAACTAAATATGTTCAGACCTTCGAAGACCACAGTACATAAGAAGACACCAGAAGTTCTGTGGGGGTAGAATGGCTGCTTTGAAAGAAATATTGCACCCCGAAGTGTGCCGTGCCAAACCCCCTCCACCTCGAGCCTCCTGCAGAAATTTGATTTTTCGTTGAGATCTGGTATTGATAGGAGTAAGGTGGTTGACATGATTATGTAAGAAATTAAGTTGCTCGTCGTAAAACTCGCCTAATTTCCAGTTTAGGTCATATGTTTTATGGATTGATGCTTTTCATGACTGCTGGATGAAATTCAATAATCTTTCTCGTTATTATCAAAATCATGGAGTGAAGTCATAAGCTTTAGTTTCAATACGTAATATAGTTTTCCTCATCTCTAAGGCTTTTCTATTCCGAGGACCAATCATCGAACTGATTCCACACCCTAAAATTCAATCAAAGTGGAGTTGGTTGGATGCAACTTGGGTAAAGAAATGGGAGCCGCACTTTGAACTTGTGCCGAGTTTCATTGAACTTAGGTCTATCCATGACCAAAGATCGTAGGAATTTAATCAGATTCAGCATTCTTCTAATGTATCTCATTCATATTGGGCCGGACACCAAAATCGGACGCACAGAAAGCACCTTCTTACTAGAGAATATGGGAATAAACAATTTTTTTTGGGGAGATAGAAAGCATTAGACACTTAAGGCCAACCACGAAAGGAGAAAAGAAGTGATCTTCACCAGGACGAAGGGCAGAACATGCCAATCAGCGAAAGGAAGGAACTAAACGTATGCAGATACTTAGCCCCATCCCACATCGGCTGATGTCTACTTGTAGGGTGGAGGGGGGACACGCCAGTTTGGATAAGGCAAGAAAAAGAGTTATATAGAAGAAATTTAGGAATCAGAGGGTAGGCATGGATCTGTGTCAGCACAGAGCTGAAAATCGTTTTGTGATTTAATCCATACATAGCTACATATTTTAAAATAATCTATTTATCCGTGGACTGTGCATCTGTGTCTGGGCTGCACGGGGGGTGGGGGGTGGGTTGGAGAGAGAGAGAGAGAGAGAGAGAGCCAAGGTAGAAAAAAAAATTCGCGACGAAGAGAACTGAATGTATTTTTCGAAATTAACATTGGGCTATAAGTGTATTAGTTTGTGAGACATGGCAATTTTACTACTGGGTACAAACATTTGGTTCGAGAAAAATAGTTCATGCTGTTAAAATTCACGAAGCCCAGACTTCTTAGTTGATGCTAAACTTATTTTGGACCAAGAACAATGTGATTGGCTACCATTCCTCATCCCAGTTAAATAACTATTTCTACAGTACTTTGTGGATTCACTTTATATCTAGGTTGGGATTGTAAGCATGGCCGTCTTGAATATTATAATTGCGTTATGGGCTGGAAACCCATGCTTACGTGATGTAGCGGTAGTAAATAGGTGTATGGTTGGCATTAGCTGATCAAATGGTCTTGTTGGCCTCCCAAGTGATCAATGCTACGAGAAAGTGCATGCTACAAGCCACAAGGAACCATGCTGACCTTTCTTTTTATATGGTCCGAAATTTTCTGCTCTTTCTCTCATTTTCTCAGACACATTACTTTTTTAAATAATGTGGATTTTGAATGACATTCATTGTGCTAATATTTTGATAGAAAAATATAATAATATTTCATTTAAAATGAGATATTTCAGATATGCATACAAACACCACTCAATAAAAATGAATCAAGAAAAAATGTTGTGAATGTGGATAGACTGGTGTAAAACATGTGAATGGATAGATGGATACATTTATCACGATTAAGAAATTGGAATCATAGGTACGTATAATTAAGGAACCTATTCCATCATATATGATGCCATTTAAAAATCTTATAACCATTATATTCATACAAGAATAACTGAAAGGAAGAGAAGACCATTGAACACACTAATTAGAATCTTCGAGAGTCTTTTGGTGTTTAAAGTAACATGAAAAACACCCTTAAAAATATTTAAAATAGTAAAACTAAATGATTAACAAAGAAAGGCATCTGAATGTATATGGATATCCAAATTTATATAAATTTATTGTGAGAGAAAGTTCAAAAGGTATAGTCATTGCATGTACTCAAGCATAGTAGAATGGTTGACTGTAAATATTGTAATAGGAATGATCTACTGATAATTAAACATTGACATGTTTTTGCCGATGCTATGTTTTATTCACCATATTTTTAAAACTTTTGTTTATCACATGCACGACTGTAAGGAGATTCACAGTCTGTATATAGAGAGGCGGTTCTAACTTCTCATTCTAATTTTCGTTTCACAACTTTGCATCAAAAAACTTTTATTTAGTCAATTATACAATCATGTTCCCTTGTATATCTAGGTTAGTGAATACTAAAAAGTTGCTACTTAAAGATGATTCTCTCACAATTTACTCATGGTAAAGTGTACCTTTTTACCAATAATTTCAGAACTAGTGACAACCTTTTGTCAAACTGCTTGACACCAAGAAGATGCTCGTTAGCATAATCCAAAATGGGCCAAGTTTCTCAAATAGCATAATACGGCAAAGTATTTTTTGGAGATAGAGACCAAACACCTACCGAGGTTATCCATGCCGTCTAAGTGCTTGTTGATCAGCTTGAAAGACTTTTATGTGACGTAGGCTATCAAGCCTTGGTTACCGATGGCGTGGCCAAGAGATCTAACAAGAGAAGAGGGGCTGGCGGATAGAGACAAAGAATTCTCCGCCGGTCGCTGATGTTGCTGGTTTATACCATTCTTGTCAACGTCCCTGATGGCATCTGGATGCTTTCATTTCGTCTATTGATCAAGAGAGGGGAAGCCTGACAAGGGTTTGGATGCGTCATGCGACCAATAAAGATTGATTCTGAGAGAGAGGAGTGAGAGAGAGGTGGAGGGGTATTGAGTTATAGAATGGAGTAGGGCCCGCCATCCTCAGCTCAGAATGACTAATTAGAGCGGTTGGACTGGTATTATCGCGACGCAAATCAAGCCATCCATTCGCTCCTGTCCTGTCCCGACTTGCAACGTTTTCCAGCCTCTCACTGGAAAAAGTAAGAGAGAAGAGACTTTACATTTGGGTCCCGGGGGTGGTACAGCCGCCATCGATCTGGCCCACCTGAATCGAACTCTCTCTCCTTCCTACCCTTCTCTTAGTCAGCAACTCACCTCCCTCTCTCTCTCTCCCCCAACTATTCTATATCACCAATCCCTTCGTCAGTAACTCTCTCTCTCTCTCTCTCTCAACTATTTTCTATCACCAATCCCTTCGTCAGTCACCAACTTTCCTCTTGTTGTCCTGGGTCTCGTCTTCGAATCCCTGGAACCTTTCTCTATACGTTTCTTCTTCTCCTCTGTTTCCTGCCTCTCTCTCACTCGCCAGTCCCTCATATAGCTCCAGCGCTTTCTCCGTCTTCCCAGTCCCTCATAGAAAGGGGAACCTTCGGACTCGCAAGCGGCTTCCTGCAGGTGTGGCCTCATCATGGGCGATAAGGTTAGTAATCGTTCATTTATTTCTAGGCTCCAATTTTCTCTTCTGCTGTTGTCAATGTCAAATCCTTGCCCACCTTAGGGGTTCCTCAGTTTTCTTCTTTCTTTAATCGAACGTTTCATTTGTCATTCAGTCTTAACTAGGGAAGATCTGCTCCGTATCATATTTGTCTCGATGTTTCAGTCTCTCTGCTCTTCTGTCTGACCTATAACTTTTGTCCCCAAGATCTCCCTGCAGGTTCCACTTATCCTGCTTTTGATCGAACATCTCTCCTGTTCTTTCCCTCTGTCTCTGTTTCTCTCCCTCTTAAGTTTCTTCCATTCCTATTGATCATTCAACCTGCACCATCCTTCATCGGTAGCGAACCTCGCTTCCAGTTTCGAGCCTAGAACTTTTCCTCATCTCGTCCTGTAACTGCAGAAATTGGTCTTGAAACTGGATTTGAACGATCCGAAGGAGAAGAAGAAGGCATTGAAAGCCGTAACAGCCCTTATAGGTACAATCTCCCCTCTCTCTCTCCCTCTCTCTTCCCCCTCTCTGCAATCTCTAATGCTTACTTATTATCTCTCTAGGGATCGATTTCGTCTGCATGGACATGAAGGACAAGAAGATGACCGTGGTCGGGATGGCCGACCCGATTCGCGTGGTGGGCAGACTACGCAAGTTCTGGCGCACCGACGTCGTTTCCGTCGGCCCCGCAAAGGAGCCGGAGCCGAAGAAGGAAGAGAAGAAAGAGGAGCCCAAGAAGGAGGAACCCAAGAAGGAAGAGGCCAAGAAGGAGGAGCCAAAGAAGGAGGCTAAGGAAGAGAAGAAGGACCCCAACGAACAGGTGCACAGGGCCTTCCAGCCCCCGATGACGGTGCACTACGTTGTCCATAGCTGCGAGGAGGACCCCACGTCGTGTGTCATATGCTAAACATGTTGTCCACGTACCCCCGCGGGACCCCTAGACGACGTGTACAGATGTGTATGGCGAGGCCGTCTTCGGCCGAGCAATAGGGACAGATTCCCCATAATATGTGAGCATCTTTTTGTAGTGTATCGGCGCATGATGACTCTCGCGATTGCCCCGTATATTCTCATAGTGTTTATTATGAGATTACACGAAAAATCTAACCGATGCACTAAAGCAACAGTAAACCCATATGATTCTAGACTCGCTATTTATTTCTCGATCAGATCACACTCTTCCTTCGCCATCAGTGTCCATTTGCGTATCGTTGACGAATCTGATTATATAACTCAATTGAAGGACTGCTTCTAGAACGGGTCCACATAATTAACCAAAACATTTAACGTTGAATCTCTTATGTTACATTATTTTAATCCATGCTCCGCTCCACGGACAGAATTCTCGATGTCTCTATCGCGTAGACTGTTCGGATGGGATGTATGGTCCAAGTCTAAGTAGGATATCGAAGAGTGAACTCGCACACCTCAATTATAAAACTATTGTAGCATCTTCTTTGATGAGAAGCTTTTCCGTAAAGCGTTTCGATTCTTTGAGCTCCACCCGGTGGACAACTGTCCCCAGCTCAGACCCCGAGACCAGGCGTTCTCGTGCGGCGGCGCAGGTGTCGGCGATCGGCGTGTTCCCACCGCGCAGCCGCAGGCCTCGCCGGCGGCTGCCGGGATCTCTACCTTCCCGACTTGTGTCCCTGATTCGAATATACCCTCATGGGGCAAAGGAAATCCCCATTCTCTCTTTCTCTCATCGTTATATATTTATCTATCCGATGGAATTAATCACGTGGAGATCTTCCAGAATCACCCAGCCACCGAATCCTCAGCCCTTGCGAACCTAACCTTGCATGGTCCACACTCCCCAACTGTCTGTCTTCCGTTAAGTCGGGGCAAACAGTGACACGCCCATCTTCCCTTCCCCAACTAAACAGGGGGTCGACTCACCGGCGGCCATGAGAAGATCTTCCCGGGATGCTCCCCTTGAGGCTTTATGATGCCCAGCGCAGCTTGAATGAAATTATGACTGATCCATTTTATATTAGTAATTGCTGAACGGGATGAAAGTCGCATGCCCACAATCTTTCGGGGGATGATAACCCTTGTGTACGGCCAATGGGTCCGTCAGCCATGTGCATCAGTCTCGGTACTAGTGATGGGCTACGGATGTATGATACTAAATTATCATTTTAGTTTCATTGGGTGTTAAAATATAATTTTGTTCTTAGGTCCCCTTAGATAACTCAAATTTATGATACACCTTATTCTTTGTTAATTAACCTTTGAGGTATTTACTAACAAAATCATTAACATCTAGTTTGTAGATTCCATAATTCATTTAAAAGATAGTGACTTATTGATAAAGAATATGATGAACTCTTTATGAAGCCTAGTGGAACAATTGGTGTTTAATCTACTAAACTGAAGGCAATGCATGAATTAATTGTGGCATTATTTTTAAGGATCGGAGAACAAAAAATATTAGATAATATGCTATATTAATGGTAATTGATGATCAGTTACATAAGTTAACATATAAAAATAATCTAAATAATATCCTTAAGTATCTTTAGGCCTTGTATATTAGTTTTAAGGAAGCTATAAGAAAAGACAAATAGGAGGATCAGTCTTTTCCAGACTCCCACATAAATTCTAGTTTCTTATCAAATTATGGAATCAAGTATTATAATAGTCTATTGTACTCCACTCTTTAAGGATCACATTCTAAAAGTTTTGCTATCTCCTGATCACTAAACGCAAATGCTTTAGGTAGTGTCTACTAGATTTCACAAATCTAAGCAACTCGTATAGTAAAAAATGTCTTCTGAATTAACACCTCTAAGTCAACTCATGTAGTACATGTGTTTAAATAGAAGAATAAATCAAATGAATGCTCTCACACTTTTGACACATTACTTCCTTTATCATGAATTCATGGGTTTGGAGGAACAAACCTTCTTAGAGACGAGATGACTGAATACTTGGTAATTTGCATTTGAGTCTAGGATAATTAGGGGTTCAATTCAAGACGGTTGTTTTAAAAAAAAAATACTGATATTAAAGACTAATCAAATGAAAATGGATTTACCTAGGCAACTTTGCAGTGTACTAAATGTTCTAAAGAGTCAAAAAAAATTGTTTTAAAGAGTTGATTACTCTCATTACACATTGGGAGGTTAATACTTACAATGAGTACTTTTATTTGGCTTTCAGGATTTTCTGTTAATTCCTAATTCTTTGCTTCCAATAGCTACAGGTAACATATTGTCTTCATCCTATTGCATTTTACATTTTTGTTCCCCCCAACTGCCTTTTTGTCAAGCAAGTTGACTCATTTCATGTGAAATATAACATACAAATCTTGTTGGTGCCCTTAAAACCTTAACTTTTCCAAATGTTAGAGTAGAGCATCACGAATGTATTTAAGGCCCATATAAATATGGAAACTTTTTTGAACATAAAACTATTATTTTACTCATGCGTGACTCAAAGTATGATGAGAGTTGTTATGCATAAGTTGACTTATTTCATTGAGTGACAACATTTCCATAGTCAGCTTAGTGTAATTTTTTACAAGGCGAGTTTGCTAATTTCCTTAGTCATCAATAGTGTTAAGGTGAGCTTACTCGCTTCTATTATAGCAACTTATTATTTTCAGTCCCAAGATTGGCTAGATAGGGTGACGTTAGGTTAACTATGTTGATTTGTCACACTAGATCAAAATAGTAGTTATCTAAGAAAAACCTCTTTTTCCAATTTGAGGTGATTTCCTATTTGCTAACTCATTGAATAAATTGATTTTTTTTTCTTTGGGAGGTGGGGGATTCAATTACATACTTTTAACTTGCTACAAATTAGCTTTTCATGATGCTAACTACACTTTTTATATCACCAGTACAAAAGTAAGCTTGGACAAACATAATTTTAAGTAAAAAAAGGAAATCATAAAACTTTCAGACCTTTTGAGCTTATTGGATGACCCATTTATACTTAATAGAGAGAATCTGTGCATTTTATGAGCTTTTAAATAATGGAAGCATTGCTCCATCTTAACAAGATGAGATTTTGTAGTAGGTGGATGTTAATTATCCATTAAAATTACTACTGTAATGGCTTGAAAAATGATTCGTATCTTAGTCCTCTCCAACCATCATTTCAAGAATGAAATTCATTAAGATTTTTACTTTTCCACACCTAACAATGTTATATATCAATTGTTGAGTCTACTTATTATCATCGATGTTGAATTTTGAAGCTTTTAGTTGTCAAGAGATGTGCCTTGTTCCTTTTTAGAAATTGTGGATATCAATGTTTCTGCTATATTTGTGACCTTTCTTTATTTAATTAGTTTTTTCTGTTGATACTTTTGAGTCCTGATCTCCATGAGTTAGTACTTTGGCTTTGCATAATTGTTGACTCATGTGGAGTTTACTCACCTTTAATGTAAAGGTAACACTCACGTTTTACTATCAAAACTTTCTGGTAAAATTTTTGTTACCTAGAAAAGATTTATTGAAGAAAAGTTGACGGCTCATTAAAAATGTCAAGAGGGTTCTTTCGAATTATAAGTCCCCAACATGCATGTCACCAACTCCAATGGTGCTTGGATAATGACTTATCATTTCGCTAAGGTTAAATATTTTAGTTGGTAGGTGCTTAGGAGTTAAAATTCTTAACACTGAATGTATTGCCATGGATACTTACAAATTCATTGCTTACAGACAACAAGAAAATTTCTCCTTGACCTTGAAACATGAAAAGACTATGTGTTGAATAATTATCATCATAGTAAAAGTGATGAAACTTATACAACTCTAGTAGTCTTCATTGGTTAAGCTTATAGAGACAAATTATTAGCTGAGTTAGCATTTGATAGTAAGCTTTAGTGTGATAAGAATTACTAATCCATATAAAATAAAATTACCACCGCAAATGCAAATATTTCTATAATAATTTTAGAAGCTTCTCAAGAAGTACCTTTATAATTTTACAAATAAAATTATAAAAAAAATATGGGTTAGAATTTTTAGATGAAGAAAGCCTATAAATTGTGAAGATCATCATTTCATGATATTTTGTTATAGAAACAATCAAATAAATGTAGACTCTAATAATCGTCCATTAAGGTAAATGGAATTCCATTTAGTTGACCTATGGCTAAAATCAATAGGATATTTCGAAGCTAAGAACTTCTAAGCTTAAATTTTGAATGGCAAAGCATTGGAAAGCAATCATGTTTCATTATGAGGTTATAAAAAAATAGTATCTTATCTTAATTTCTATCAAATGAGAAATAATTAGTCATACAAAAATATTCATTTTAACAATGGATATCCTGATTTATTTTCCTCTAGATCCTTCCATTTTAACAATTAATATCCTGATTTATTATCCTGATTTATAACAAGAAAGCACATAACAATTGAACGACATTTTATTGTCTTTTCTCTCTATTACTCTATTTGTGGCCAATGAATGTTTATATTGGTTATTTTTCACAATCCTAGTAAGAAAACAAAATTACAAGTGGTTGTCTTTCATTTTCAGCAACCCAAGCTTCAGAAACATCCTCCCATGTGACCATGATACGATATTTGTGGTGTTTGACTGGGAAACTCCTGATTACCTGTTGGTAATCGAAATCATGGCCTGCCATTATACCCAGCTGCAAGGCTAACGGCCCATTCCCTCTTCCCCATCTCTTTCACCCGCTTACATCTTAAGGGCAGGGGATCGATAACCGAGAGCATATGGCCCAATACTGAGGCCCATAGATTGTGGGCCCATTAACCATAGCCCATTACTCTGAAGACGCACTTTCAACGTCCAGAGAGATATCCCAATGCTGATACTTTTTATTTTTGGTTTTCTCAATTTCAAATGAATTGCACCAACATAAGATTATTATTTGCCTCCCGAGACCCTAGATTTGTGAATATGGCCGTCTTCAATGCC